TCACAGGATCTCACTGTGAAATAGAGTCAGCGACTGAGCGTTCTGTCGCACAGGCGAACGCCCACAGTTTGCGCAGAGGGTCGCCCCAGCAAACAGCCGTGAAGTGAGCGAGTGATTTTTATCTGGGGTGTCGGTGGGGAGGGTTGCAGGCCAGGCACACCGGGAGAGAGAAACTCCCTTCCTTCAGTGAGGCATTGGTTAGCGCTCTCGCCTCGCAAGAGGACCTGGGTTTGATTCCTGGGCAGGGCGAAATCTTAGGTTGATGTCCGTCCTAAAATTGCCGTTTATAACCTTTTTCTCTCATATGTGGAGTCTTGTAGCTCAGTGGATAGCGAGTGCGCTGGCCTGGCAAGCGAGAGGACCTGGGTTCGATTCCCGGGCAGGGCGAAACTTTGGCAAGTTTCCTTACCCCACACGCCTCTATTTACCAGCAGTAAGTAGGAACCTGGTTGTTAGTCGATTGGCGGATCACTTTCTGGGGGTAATAATCTATTCAAAAAATAATGAAAAAAATAATATTTTGGTCACTCAATCCACGACTGTTTGCGGGACACCGCTATGCGAAACAAGCTACCGCGTTTCACCCACAAAATATAGTCGATTTATTTTACAGTATATTCTGTGAAGCGCTTAAAGATGACGCAACAACGTGATAAGGCGCCACATCAATTGCAAGAATCATTATTCTCTTTTCCAATAGTGCCACAGGATTTTTAATGTCCACCAGTGGGGCCAGGACTGGGTGGGGGGGGGGGAGAAAGTGTACATATTAGTTTGTTAAAAGCGGGACTGGAAGTTGAGAAGCCCATTATAACAACAACAATTTACATTTACACAATGCCTTTCACGTTGGGAGGACGTCCCAAGGTGCTGGACAGTCAGGGATTTGGACCCGAGCTGAGGGGTGGAAGGGCAGGGTGGTTGGGGGGAGGAGGGTGACCGAAGGCACCGTCGAAGAGGAGGGTCTTGATACAACAACAAGATTCCATTTATAGAGCACCTTTCATGTCGGGAGGAAATGGTCAGGGTGAGGGGAGGGAAGGGAGGGAGCGAGGAGGGGGTAGAGAGTCGAGAGGGGAGCTGAAGGCTGAAGGTCAAAGAGGAAGGTCTTGAGACCGGCCTTGAAAGAGGAAAGGGAGGAAGCGGCGAAGGCACTGGGGGTATTGATAGAGACAAGGGAGGAGGCAAAAGGAAGGGCCTGTGGGATGGAGTTCTAGAGGGTGGGGGCAGAGAGGCTGAAGGCCCGACCGCCAATGGTGGGCTAGGCGGGGAACGTGGAGCAGGCCAGAGCCCGCTGTGTGGAGGGAGCAGACAGGTTGATATGGCAGGAGCAGTCACAGAGGTAGGGAGGAGCAAGGCCCCGAGTGAGCCCATTACTCCCAACATTGGCTGTTATCCAAGTTGCGTTGCAATTTTCCTTCTGTGCTCCATCTGTAATTGGCTCCAGCGCTGCCATCAATCACACTCTGGCTTCCAGAGCAACGGCTCATATTTATACGGAGGATTGATTTATGTATTGATGGTGTTAATGTTCGGAGTGAACGTTCAATGGGCTCAAACCAAGCTGGTAACAATAGCCTCCATTCCCTTCTTCTCCCAGCGTGTGATGCTCAATCATCTCTGCACTTAGCTATGGCCTGAGGTTGAGCAGACGAGATCACATTCCTCAGAGCACAGAATGCCATAGAAGCGATGTGATTAAGGTGTTTAAAACACAGAAAGGAATCCACATGGGCAAGAGCCTTAAAATCTTTACACAGAGGACGACATTAAAAAAAATGCAGCGAGACATAGATAGGTTAGGTGATTGGGCAGGTAGGTGGCAGATGAAGTATAATGTAGGGAAGTGCGAAGTCATCCACCTAGGGAGCAAAAACAGTAGAGCGGGTTGTTTCTTTAGAAGGGGAGAGATTGGAATGTGTTAGCGTCCAGAGGGACTTGGGTCCTTGTACACCAATCACAGAAAGTTAGTCTGCAGGTGCAGCAGCAATTAGAAAGGCGAACGGTATGTTAGCATTCATTATGAAAGGATTAGAGTATAAGAGTAGGGAAGTCTTGCTGCAACTGTATAGGGCCCTGTGAGACCACACCTGGAATACTGTGTGCAGTTTTGGTCTCCTCATTTAAGGAAGGATGTACTTGCCTTGGAGGGGGTGCAGCGTAGATTTACTCGGTTAGCACCAGGGATGAAGGGGTTGAGTTACGAGGATAGGCTGACCAATTTGGGCCTATATTCTCTGGAATATAGAAGAATTAGAGGGGATCTTATAGAAACCTATAATGTTTCACAACCTTAAAATCAGAGGCAGCCCTTTCGCACTGAGTTGAGGAAGAACTTCTTCACTCAAAGGGCAGTGAATGTATGGAACTCACTACCCCAAAGGGCTGTTGACGCTCAGTCCTTGAACATATTCAAGACTGAGATGGATAGATTTCTTACTGCAAAAGGGATTAAGGGATATGGGGATAAGGCAGCGTCAGGTTATTAGCTGGAGTTAGATTAGAAGATCAGCCATGATTAAATGGCGGGGCAGGCTCGAAGGGCCGAATGGCCCACTCCTGCTCCTACATGTTATGTTTATCCCAACTGACAGCAGCTCAAACAGCGGTCAGCCAGTTAGCCTGGCTCAGTTGATAGCGCTTTAATAATTAATAATCCTGGCATTTGATACAGCGCCTTATCACGTCTTCGAGACGTCTCAAAGCGCTTCACAGGATACACCGTAAAGTGAATGGACTTTGCATTTTGTGGGTGAAATGCAGAGCCAATTGCGCATAAACGTTCACTGCTGTACGGTTATTCCACTGCTTTGAGTTGTCCTCCCGACATGTACCAAACGTCATTACAAAGGCATCTGCAAACTGTAATAGCTACTGGGGAAATAGCAGGTGCACATTCCTTGGAAACAAAAGCAATAAATAGTCCGATTAGCATTTGCCTGCAGTTAACCGTTGCTTGTCCCTTCCTGTGAACCTGGGTTATATGTTAATTTGGGTGTTTGCAGGCTGACAAAGTGTGGCTAAGAGTAGGGGCTTGTTTTTCTTGCATACTTTCCTGCGGATAATCTGTGATCGATCCAGCCCGATGCTACAAATGGACTGATTATTATCTCACTGAGAAGAACGATAAGGACATCCTTTGTTAGCTACTTACAGGTCTTGTTATCACCTTTCGTTGATATGTTTCCTCTCCCCCACCCACTCTCACTCACCGACATCAGTGTTGACAATGTCACAGCACCTCTTATAAATAATAATCCTTGCATTTGACATAGCGCCTTATCACGCCGTCGAGACATCTCAAAGCGCTTCACAGAATGTACTGTAAAGTGAATTGACTTTTTGCGAGCAAAACGCGGCAGCCAATTGCGCACAGAAGCGTCCCACAGTCTGGATTGAGCGACCAAATTATTAGTATTTATTTATTATTTACTTTTTGAAAGGATTATTACCCCCATAAAGCGATGCACGTGAAGTATGGAAACTTGCCTGAGATTTCGCCCTCAGGAAGAAATTGCGAGATGTTTGCGGGGACATCGCTGTGTGAAAATTGCTTGCCTCGTTCGTTTACAAAATACACAGTCACTGCACTTAACAGTAAAATGCTGTGAAGCGCTTTGAAACGTCCTCCTGACGTGAAAGGATTATTATTATAATAATAAACACTCTGAACAGAATTCGCTGAACACACAAAAAAGCAAAAACCACAGTGGGAAGACAGGTGTTTTATTTTACTTTTGATTTACTCTGATAAATTATATACTTTAATCGTGTTAAAAATGACGGTCGGGGTGGGGAGAGAAATGAAAAAGGTAGAGAACAGAAGCCAGCGGAAGCACACCTCATACAATATTTAATCAACTGTTTCCTTTAAAACTACAGGAAGCCTCTCAAAAAATAAATTAACTCTGCGTTGCAACTGGTCCCGCTACTTTGGGATAATTTTCCTTAAAAAAAATTAAATTTACAAGAATCACCATTGATGACCCACCCGTTTGAATAAACCAATTTGAACTGAATTGCTCTGGGACGCTATCCTGCGTGAGGGGTACAATCTAAATGCAGGTTGTTGTTGTAGTCGTCGCCTGAATTGAAAGCACTTCCACTTTCAAAGGACTCTAAACTTGAAAGCAAACAAAAGTTTTAATAATGATAATCATTGTATTTGATGTAGCCCCTTATCACGTCATTGAGAATACACTGTACAGTGGAGTGACTGTGTATTTTGTGGACGAAACGCTGCAGCCAATTGCGCACAGCAGGGTCCCCGCAAACAGTCGTGGATTGAGTGACCACATTACTAATTCATTTTTTTATATATAAGCGTTTATCACCCCCGGAAAGCAATCCACCAAGTGACTGACAACCGGGTTCCTACTTACTGCATTAAAGCCATCAGCTTCACAACAAGATGAAGAATTAACTGATCGTTAACTAAGAGTGCAAACAGTCTGACTTTCTCCCCCCCTCCCATACCCTACCTTCTCCCCTCCTTCTCCCCTCCCTGCCTCGCCAACCCCCATACTCACTGTGCAAAACGTAACCAAACCCTTTTTCTACAAACCAGCTCTTTCTGAAACTGAATTAAGCCTTGGAGTTCGGTGGAGACACACATACACACACACAAAAAAATCCCTGAAAGGCTGGTCCTCACCTCGCTCCCTCCCTTGCCTCCTTCAAGGTCCGTCTCAAGACTCTCCTCTTTGTCACTCTCCTACCTCCCACTCTCCCTGCCCTCCACCCCCTCTTGATCCCAACCGCCAGCTCAGGTCCAAATCCCTGACTGTCCAGCGCCTTGGGACGTCCTCCCGACGTGAAAGGCGCTGTGTAAATGTCATTTGTTGTGTTATTGCTAGGTGGGGAGGTTATTGTCAGACAGGCGGGGATTGGCTGCTGGGGGCGGTGGGGGGATTGGAAAACCACGCAGAGAGAATAAATACACTCGTTTGTGCACAAATACTGCCCGACCGACCACACAGTCGTTATTTTCCTCCCTTCTCTTTGGTAATCAATCGATTCTATTAACAGGAAAACACACGGCACCACTTGGGGGATGAGCTGAAGTGCTGATCTTTACTCCCCCCAATCCCACCCCATCAATCCTGTCATACCATTAAATTGTTTTCAAACCTCCCTCTCTCTCTCTCTTCTCCTCTGCACTCCTCCCTCACCGCCCAACCCCATGTCTGTGCAGAGCTGTGAGACCAGCTGTCTATATATAAGCTCAAGTTGTATTGGTCCATAGACAACAGCCCTCTGCCCTCTCCTTCTCTCTCCTGCACTCCCACCACCACCAGACCCATCAGTGCTTATCACCAGGAACTTCCTAGTGGTGTAAAGTGGAAGAGGCATGATTTGAAGGCTTTTCTTTTATTATATTATTAACCTTTGCACACATCTGGGTTCACACTTACATTGGGCTCACTCCACTGTAGTATTGCGAGTTGTCCCGAGCTGGAACCCTTTCCTGTTAAAAGGCCGGTTTAAGAGGCAGGTTTTCTTTTTTTGAGGGGGGGGGGGGGGCGGAGGAGGGGAGGAGAAAGGTGCTGATCAGACTAAAAAACGGGAATCACTGTTTAAAATTAAGTACACGGGTGCGAGGGGAAACTCACCAACTACATATATAAGGTGCACCCTCACTCCTCTCTCTCCCACCTCTCTCTCTCTCCCACCCCTACCTCCCTCTCCCCACCCTTCCCTCTCTCTCTCCAATGCTTGGAGCAGCCAATTCTCAAGATCAAACAGAATGGCAAGACTTTTTTTCTGACCAAACTAAAGTGACTTCAGTGGCTGACCCGCAAGACACCCTGAGCTAATAAAAAAAATATAAGATTTACTGGGAACGAGAGGAGAGTTGGTTGTTTCTATTTAATAACAAGGAGGGAATGTGTGCAGTGCAACGTCACGTAACGCACATCAATTCCCCACTGTAGGGAAATGGCAGGCGGTAATTATTCTTGCCTGGAGCCGCACATTAAGTGATCGCGTTTCACTGTGCACACAATACAGCAAGGGGACGGGTCACTGCTTGCGATCACATTCTCACAGGTGCTGGAGAGCTGACAGCTCCGAGGGACAACATCCCCAAGGGAAAGCCAGCGTGGTAAAGCAGGGAGGTCGCTCAGGAATCTATTAGCAACCAGTGGCTTGTGAGTGTTAAACATCCTAATGAGTAGGACTAACAATAACCGAGAATCTCTCTCTCTCTTCCCCTCCCTTCCCTCCCAAATGCACTCTCTCTCTATATGTGACCCAAAAAATCCTCTGGATTAGAATGGTTAAAGATTGCAGCAAGACAGAAGCTTCAAGACAGTGATAGGGTTTATTGCCCTCTCACCCCTCCTCTTTCTCTCCCTTCCCCCCCCCACCACCGCCACCCACCCCTCCCCGACGCTCACGAGAAGGCAGTTAGCAATGGAAATGCACCGTGGTGTCTGAGTTTGGTTTCAAAGACCCTGAAATAAGCCGAGTCAAAGTGAAGAACAATTAAAAAAAAAGTAAATGAAAAGCGGTGAACGAGGTTGAGGAGAGAGAGCGAAAAGAAAAACACACAGCGGGTTTTTAAGCATCTTCATCTTAAATGATTCCTTCACTTCGACTGATCCATAAAAACAAGATGGGGGGGTAGTGGGGGGGAAGAGAACCCCTCCTCCCTCCCTCCCTCCCCCAAAAGTAGACAGTAGAAATATTGATTCTGTAAGTACAGACATAGAAGCAAAATAAAATCTTACACGATAGTGAAACACTGTTTAAAAGGTGCAACTGTAGCATTGACAGGTAGGAGCTTCGAGAGCTCGCTGTGAGGAACAGCTGTGATCCTGGTCCCGGTGAAGGATCAGGTATCCTACAGACCCACGGCAGCCAGCAGCTCAGTCTGTGAGAATCGTCCGTTTCCGTCAATGTCAAACTGCTTGAGGCTGTTTAGGGAGGGGATCTGGGGGCCGAACACCGCCTGCAGGTCTTGGTAGGACAGCTGGCCGTCCGCAGACTGGAGGAACAGAGCCTGCAGTGCTGTGGACAAAAGGCACCGTCAGTACACAGCGAGTTTTTAAAGCATCTTCATCTTAAATGATTCCTTCACTTCGGCTGATCCACAAAAACAACATGGGGGTGAGAGAAGCCCTCCCCCCCCCCCTCTCTCCCCAAAGAGAAGATGGAGCAAAAGCAGGCAGACTCAGCATATTTGACTGTGGTGACATGCATAGTTCACTTACCTGTTCATCAACATTCAACACTGTTGTTCACACATAAACTGTTACTGGCGCAAAGGTACCTTTAGCACAGACACCCGGGTACAAAACACCCCGCAGAAATACACAGGGGAGAAAGGAACAACAACAACAAAATTACATGTGCTTAGCGCCTTTTACGTCGGGAGGACATCCCAAGGTGCTGGACAAACAGAGTTCCGGACCTGAGCTGGGGGTCGGGATTGGGGGGAGTGGAGGGCAGGGGGGGAAGCAGGGAGATCAAAAGCACTGTTGAAGAAGAGGGTCTTGAGATGGGTCTTGAAGGAGCAAGGGAGGGGGCGAGGCAGAGGGACTGCGGGATGGAGTTCCAGAGGTTGGGGGCAGACTGGCAGAAGGCCTGCCTGCCAATGGTGGGGCGGATGAGGCGGGGAATGTGAAGCAGGCTGGAGCCCGCTGACCAGAGGGAGCGAGCAGGATGGTAGAGGGTTAGGAGGTCACAGAGGTAGGGGGGAGCAAGGCCATGGAGGGCTTTGAAGGTGAGGACCAGGCTCTTGAATTGTATCCTCTGTGTGATGGGAATCCAGTGGAGTTGGGCGAGGATGGAGGTGATGGAGTCATGGACCTGGTGTGGGAGGGGACTTTTCTGGATGATCTGCAGCCTGTGGAGGGAGGAGTTGGGGAGGCCGACAAGCAAGGAGTTTGCATAGTCTAGGCTGGATTTAATGAGAGCGTGTATGAGGGTTTCGGTGGCCTGTGGTGTGAGACAGTGGTGGAGACGGGCGGAAGTGGAGGAAGGCAGAGCGGGTTGTGGCGCAGATGTGGGTTAGAAAGGATAGTTGAGTGTTAAACAAGACCCCAAGGTTCTGGACTGGCTTAGTAAGGTGTGGTGGATAATGATGCTGTCAACGCCTGAGGTGTGAAGTCTCTGACGGGAGCCAATCAGGAGAGCCTCAGACTTGTTGACGTTTAACTGAAGAAAGTTAGCTCTCATCCAGGACTTGATGTCTGACAGACATTCTGTCAGGACAGCAATGAACCTGGAGTCGACGGTGGAGGTAGAGAGGTACAGTTGAGTGTCATCCGCGTACTTGTGGAAGTTGACCCCATGTCTGCAAATGATGTCACCAAGAGGGAGCATATAGATATTGAAGAGAGGACCAAGGACAGAGCCCTGAGGAACACCAAACGAGAACTGTGGGGGCTACAGGAGAAGCCGTTTGTGGAGATCAAGTGGAGGTGACGTGAGAGGTACGATCTGAACCAGTCAAGGACAGAACCATGGAGGTTGAGGAGAGGAAAGGCAGTGGATGAGGATAGAGTGGTCAATGGTGTCGAAGGCAGCAGAGAGGTCAAGGAGGACGAGGAGGCAGAGGGAGCCCTGGTCGCAGATGGACAGAATGTCATTTGTCACTTTGACCAGGGCTGTTTCTGTGCTGTGGCGGTACGGAAACCCGATTGGAGGGGTTCGTGAAGAGAGTGGCGGGAGAGGAAAGAGCGAAGCAACATCTCGTTCCAGGACCTTAGAGAGGAACTACTTATTGCAGGAATGCAATCAGAGTCTCTCTGGTTTTAGCTGATTAGATTCCAGCTGTTACCCCAATGCACACTCTGGGGACCCCAAGCCTTGGCTCTTGCCAACCTGCGCCTAATGCTTTCCGAATTAGGTAAACAGGATGTGTCCCTCCAGGGAGAAAGCGAGAGAACGAGTGAGAGAGAGAGAGAGAGAGAGAGCGCGCATTCCATTCCAACAATCTATCTCTGGGATTTGTAGGTGAGATGCATGAAATTCTCAGTTTGGTTTGGATACTCTTAGGCTCAGTGATAAGTCACATGTCCGACCAAAAATTAGACAGAGATATGAATGATAGAGGCTTGAAGGGTGTATTGGGATAAAGCAGGGCAGTGGGCTGAACGGACAGCTTGCTCTGAGAGCCAGGGGTAGACTCGATGGGCCGAATAGCCTCCTTCTGCGCTGTAAATTTCTATGATTCTATGACTCATGGTCTGGCTCACAGCCCCCAATTTTCCGCAGATATAAACGTGGCCATTCGCCTAACAGAACATGGCTGTGTGCGAACCGGCCGGCACCCATGCCAACAAAGGCAAACAGTCACTACACCAATCAAACCAAGTGCTCCGTGTCGGCGTGTAATGGTGAGCCGAGTGTAGTGTCTGTGCGCCTGTTCGCAAGAAGTTGTGAGGCTTCAATAATAATAATCCCTGCATTTACATTTTAATCCTTTCATTTGATATAACGCCTTATCACGTCATTGAGACATCTCAAAGTGCTTCACAGATTACATTGTGAAATGAATTGACTGTGTATTTTGTGGAAGGAAGATGCGATTAAGCAGCTCAGATGTTGTGATAATTGAAAGCTCGATTTATAATCATCGTGGGGTTTTTTAAAAAATCTTTCAACGATTCACACCTGGATGTAATCCCAAGTGATGGCAGAGTTCAAGGGAGAGAGGTTGGGAGAGAGAGAGAGAGAAAAAGTATCATGTAGAACAAATTACAAGAATGAATTCTCTCTCTCTGGTGTTCAGCCGGTCCCATTAGTTTGCACTGACTGCTGGCTGGAGGACGTTTAATAGTGGACGTGGCAAGGCTCTCAATGTACAGCAGCGCTGTGAAGAAACTAGGTCAGGCTGCAGGTGGGCGGAACACACGGCTGGGTTCCCTCAACCTGCCAGGACCAAAGCAGCAGCTCTGGCAGCGAGACCATCGGTTGCAGTCAGCTTCAATCAGCACGGTTATTAATACTGCTGCTAGTAAAACACGTCTCCTCAGCAACCGCTGTACTGTAGGCCATCTCCTGATCTCCCTCCCACCGCCCAGCCCCGAGGCAGATAACTGCGAAGGCTCGCAATATGTGCATTGCTAAAGGGCATCATTATGTGCACTGTTAACCTCCCATCATCGAGTGAGTGCGGAGTGTCGAGTCAGAGCTAACGCTTGGGGATGAGAGGACTTTCCCCACCCACAGCCACTCGGGCTTTGGGGACAGAACTGCAAGGCAAAGCGCGATCGATAATGAAGAACCTCGGTATAACTGCAGCAATTTATATTTACATGGAAGGACGTCTCAACGCGCTTCCCCTGGCTGAGTTTGGAGGAGGAAAAAAGGGCAGTGGATAGAAGAAGTGGCCAAAAATACCGCTGAAACAATACTTTAAGAGAGGAACTCCATCCCACAGTCCCTTCGCCTAGCTCCCTCCCTTGCCTCCTTCAAGGCACGTCTCAAGACCCTCCTCTTCGACCGCAGCTTAGGCCACCCTCCCTACCCGCCTTCCCCACCTGATCCCGAAAGGGCGCTGTGTAAATGTAATGTGTTTTTGTTGTTGTTGTCTTCAGATAGGTAGTCAAGGTTTCCTTCTGTGGTTCAGTTCCAGTAATAATAAGTTCTAGTTCTAATAATAATCATCCCTCCAAAAAAACAAAACCATAATAAATTATTATTAATAATAAATAAATAATAAATTGGTCATTTTCAATCTACGACTGTCTGTGGGACATTGCTGTGCGCAATTGGCTGCCGCGTTCGCCCACAAATATACAGTCAATTCACTTTACAGTATATTCTGTGAAGTGCTTTGGGACGTCGAGAAGACATGAAAAGCGCTATATCAAATGCAACGATTATTATTATTATTATTAAGCCTTAAAAGTGACATGTTTTATTTCACTTTCAAAAGCCAACTGCTGTCTATTGAGTATGCAACGCTGATCATTTTAATTGAAGTGCACGTTTCATCTGTGGCTTTGGCTTTAATCCCACAAATTTAACTAATTTATTTGCCCAAACCTTTCAGCTGCCTCATGTGTCGCTAAGGACACTCTCCTAATCCCTGTAAAACTTCACTGTGTGCAACATAAAAACCCACAGCACACATGGCCGAACACAAGCCGGCCTTCTTACTTAGAGAGAAGTATGGAACTACAACAACTACATTACATTAGTAAAGTACCTTTCATGACGGGAGGACGTCCCAAGGCTCTGAGAGAACTACTTAGGGAACGGACAGCTACTCAGATTTTAGAGTTCATTGCACTGTTCTGCTGTCACAAACGTAAACCAGAGCAGGTAACTTAACAATAATAATCCTTGCATTTGATATAGCGCCTCAACACATCTTCAAGACATCTCAAAGAGCTTCATAAAATACACTGTAAAGTGAATTGACTGTATATTTTATGGGGGAAACACGGAAGCCAATTGTGCACCGCAGTGTCCCACAAACGGTCATGGATTGAACTGACCAATTTCTTCTTTTTCTTTAAGGGATTATTTCCCCCAGAAAAGTGATCAGCCAATCGACTAACAATTGGGTTCATACTTACTGCTGGGTAAACAGAGGTGTGTGGTGAGGAAACTTGCCCCACATTTCGCCCTGCCAGAATTGAACTCAGGTCCACTCGCTTGTGAGGCGAGTGCTCTAACCACTGAGCTACAGGACTCGACTGAGTGGGGGGAATAAGGTCTCTTAAAGCTCCCACAGATCATAACAATGACGGTTAACTGACGGTAAGGGAACAAAGAGGGACATCTATACATTGCGAGAGATCGCATACATCCAATTGCCTCTTAAATTCTCAACTGCTTGCTCCCTTTAACAGCACTGTTCACCTCTCTATGCACTGACATTTATTAGTGCTGGTAAACATATACTCTACGTGCGATTGCAATGGATTTATCGAGATAACATGGGTCCTGTGAGATACAAACACTGTTGGTTGGTGAGGAGGGGAGGGGGAGGTAGAGGAGCAGGAAAAAGCGGGGAGGAGAGGGTGGGAGAGAAATGAGGCTTCTTAAAGCTCCCACAAATCATAACCATCGACGCAAAGATATCAAAGCGCGGAGGCGCTGGGTGAAAAACGCAATGTTTCAGAACAGATTCGAGGTGACATTGCATGAGTTATGAAACGTCACATTAGTCAGATCGCAGGCAAAGCGCCACATCAAATAAGCCGGGGCGGTCCAACCTTTTGGTTGCTGAGGGACAGATGCCCTATTTGAGAGATGTCCGTGGGCCCACATGAGCAATATTTTTGTGTTTCCTTCACAGTCACACAACATAAAATTTACGGGTCACGGAGGGAGCGGGTTGGCCAGATGAAACGGAGGGAGGGGGGGCCGGATGTGGCCCGCGGCCCGCCAGTTGGGCCACCCTGAATGAGCCATTGATACCCAGTCAACTGCGTTGAACAGCAAAGCACGACTCACCCTGTAAAGTGGTAATCCCAGGCAGAGACACGTGCTTTAACTTCACACTCCTTCTGTCTGTCTTCTTACCCGCCCCGCTCGGAGTTACAGATGGCTTTACGGTAGGAGCTGTACTTTTTGCATCTGTTAAAAACAAGGAGCGTTGCCAAAACACAGGTTTACTTCAATCGATCTCCCTATAAGATAACATGCAAATGTAACCCTGTGTGTCAGTGGCCTTAAAGGCAATGATTTAAATCCATATACACTATTGGCATTTATTCCCTGTAGAATAGGCACACCTATCCAAATAGGTTCTCATCTACATTTTTTCCGAGATCACTCCTTAGACTATTCATCAGCTCCAAGTTGTATAGATTGATTTTACATAATTTATACCAACAATTTCACAAAAATGTCAGGTAAGGGGAGAACAAAAAAGACAGCTGGTTTTGTAATTGATTTCCACACAAACGTTAACCTAACAAGGAAATCTATTCCAATTGGAAAGGTAGGTTTCTGTTGTTGCAGCAGAAAAAGGGAAAGAAAGAGAGAGAGAGAGACGCACACACCAGAAATGCAGACACACAGACAGACTGACACAAACACATAACGAAGAAACACACCTGCCTGAGAGACAGAGAAAACTCACACTCACTGAGAGAGACAGTAAGAGTGAGTTAAGAACAAAGAGGCAGACACAGAGTCAAGAGACAAACAATGAAAGAGAAAGATGTTCACAGAGACACACAAAGAGACGCACACACACCATACAGAGAGGGAGAGAGACTTGTGCACATGCAGAGAGAGAGAGAGAGAGAGAGATAATGTGAGCGATAAGATTCCAAGAGCTTGGAATGACTGCTGCTGTGGTCAAAAGTGTAAGATTCTCAGGGATAAAACAAAGGCCAAATGAAATGTTAGCAGCAGGAAACATCCTCGCTTAAATTTACAGTGTAGATTAAATTAACCACGAAAATAAATGTCCCCTGTACCCCACCAATATAAATCCTACCCTGGCCTGACTCATATGTCCACAAAGCTGCGTCAATCCCATAAATAAGAGCACAATTAAAATGTTACATTTGCTCACCACACCCTCACCTTTGCTTACTTTTGACGTTTTAATGAGGGACGGTGATTTAAGACGTAAAGATTAATACAGGCAATAAAAATTCATTTTTCCTTCTACCTCTCCTTTCTCTTTAAATCTTCTGCGAGTCACCACCCAGCTTTTCACACTCGGCCTAAATAGTTTTTACTTTAGTCGCCAATTTCTTCCACCAAATATCACCCATCCCATTCTTGCTTCCTCCCTACAGACTGGCGTACGAAAGATTCTGGTTGAACCCATTGGGAATCCAAACACAGAAGCTTCTGGTCCAGTCCAGTCCTCAACCCAATGATCCATTGCCATGAATGGCTTTGTCGAAGCCATGTTGTCAGGTCTCCAAGAATGCACGAGGTACAAGCAAACAGCAGCGGCGGATACACTCATCCAAACAAGTGTTGGCTGGTGAACCACAATCAGAGGGTGGGGGGGGGAAGGCTACCGTGTGTGACATGAACACACCAACCCGCCAGTTGCTCAATTATCTTACCACAGCTGCTAAACCATTTCTCCCTCCCTCCCATTAAACTGCTACACTGGCTCTCAACAGGAGGAAACAGAATGGAAATCCAGCTAATTAGCTGAACACTCTCATGCCTTTTCCTCAGACCGAACAGTCTAGGGCTGACTGAAAGTGAAGCTTGCTTGAATATTTGATGCCAGGAAATCTATTTTTAAAACTGAAGGCTATGGTACTGTGCATCAAGGATGACAAGAAGTCCCTCGACTGGTCAAACCTTTCCTGTGTCCAAGCCTAACTATCCGAGCGAGCAGGGAGTGTGCGGAGGCACTGGTTGGCACGGACGTTTCTGCCTGCCTGCTCTTCTGCCGAACTGATAACTTCTCGAGAAACGCTGTCAAGAGGAAACGCAGCACATACCTTCCATTTTCAAGCACTGTCATCCCTCATCTTAATGAGCTCCACGAAAAAACAATTATATATTCTAGGGTTATATTCCCCGACTACAAAACCTGCTGCCTGGCTCAGACACCTCACATTGCCAGGCGTTCAACTGATCTGCTCATTAACCCACTGGTGTCCTTTGTTTTAATAAGGCAAGGCATTGCTTTTCAACTCCCAACTACACATTCCTTCTCCTGAACTATGAAACAAAAACCTGATAATAATAGAAAATTAATAAGAATGGTACTTGAATGTGATATAGCGCCTTATCACGTCGTTGAGACGTCTGAAAATGCTCCACAGAATATACTGAAAAATGTAATGACTGTGTATCTTGTGGGCAAAACACAGCAGCCATAGCTGTGTCCCACAAACAGTCGTGGATTGAGTGACCACATTTTTTTGGGGATGGTGGGGGAGAGGGATTAGCAACCACCAATCGACTAACAACCGGGTTCCTACTTACTTTAGTTACTTTAGTTTTAGTTAAACATGGGAAGGGGGCAGTAAGGAAACTTCAGGTTTTGCTCTGTCTAGGAATTGAACCCAGGTCCTCTCGCTTGCGAGGCTAACCACTACGCTATGGGATTCCACATTTTTTACATTTACACAGAGCCTTTCATATTGGGAGAATGTCCCAAAGTGCTTAACAGCACTGGCTTGACACACAAGCTAATGTTAGGAGCCGGGGTGGGAGACCGAAGGCATAGGTCAAAGATCTAGGTCTTGAGTAATGTCTGAACGAGGTGAGGGAAGGAGCACTTCACAGGATTTATTGTAACTGTAGATTATAGGCGAATGCTCTACAGAGAGAAACAAGACACCAGGAAACAGAGAGAACACCAAGGTCATATCTGGCGCAGACGCATTCGGTCTCAGGGGTTTCAGTCTTTTAAAAATACCTTTTCAAGATTTGGTTCCCCAGCCTACTATCCCTGCTCCGCTCGACTGGCTCTGACCTCCTGCTTGTCCCTTGTGCCCTCTGTTCCATCATCAGGGGCTGCACTTTCAACCACTGCGCCCCGAATCCCTGGAACACTCTGCCTCTAGTCCTGTGCCTTGCCCCTTCCTTCCCCTTCTTCATGTCGCGCCTGAAGACCTTCCTCTTTGACCGTGCCTACGGTCACCTTCCCCCGGCTCGGCGTCACGCTCCACCACCGCCAAGCGCTCTGGCACGTTACCCTGCGTGAGGGGCGCGATATAAAAGCAAGTTGTTGTTGGTGGTGGTCCGTGGCCTGGTCCGCCTAGGTAGCTTTCTAACCAACCTTGGTAGGTGTTTTACAGCAGAAAGTTTTTAACTTAATAAAGAAGTAAACTCTGGAAAGGCTGGCACTGCTGGTTTCCCACCATCAGAGAATCCTAGAATTGCACACCGCAGAACGAGGCCATTCGTCTCTTTGAAAAGAGCTATCCAAATCAATCCCACTCATGCTCTCTCCCCATCCATCTATCCATCACACTGACACATGTGGAGGGCAGGAGGGCTGGTGAGGGGCGTGGGGAGGTGAGCAAACAGAAGCACGCATTCCACTTCCAACTTATGTACAACAACAACAAGTTACGTTGTATAGCGCCTTTCACGTCAGGAGGACGTCCCGAGACACTGACCCAAGGTGTAATCCTCAGATTTCAAGACGAGCGCAAGACCCTCCATCATGTGATAAGGCGCTATATCAAATGCAAGGATTATTATTATTATCATCTTCGTTTTTTTGTTAAAAAGAGTTACGGACAATATCAATAAAAGTCATTACTTTGTACTACTGCCTCCAACTTGCCCGCAAACCCCACGTCGAGAAAACCTGGCATTGGGAGTCCGGCAACTCCACGCGGCCATTTGACAATGTTCTTCAAGAATTTGATTATCTTATTATTTTCATGGAAACATCGCACTCACCCGGAAGCGAGATTCGATGAAGGCAGATGGTCATTTATATCCAAATCGTCACTTGTGCCCGCAACACATTCCCGCACTGAAGTCTTGTTGATGCAGCACCTCCCACAAACACAACAGAGCTGCCGATTGCTCATGTACACTAGCCAAACTTCTGTCAACACCTACAAACTCCACATCTCGCATTGGAGAAGCCATCTTCGAGAGATGAAGGGAGCAATCGCATGTCTAATGGCAAGGCAGGTGCCTCCGAGTGCGAGAGTGAGTGAACGAGCAAGCCAGCCTCAGCTGGGAGGAATGACCAGATAAGATCACAAAACGAATTGTATCGGAAGGAACCTACAAAGACTTACAAGACGCTGTATGAAAGTAAACCCGGAACAATGATAATCATAATAATCCTTGCAGTTGATATGGCACCTGATCACGTCTTCGAGACGTCTCAAAGCGCATCACCGGATATACTGTAAAGTGGAGTGGCTGTGTATTTTGTGGGTGAAACGCAGCAGCCAATTGGGCACAACAGCGTCCCACAAATAGTTGTGTGTTCCAGTGACTTTTTGAGAGGGGGGGGGGAAGGGTTTAATATCCCCGGAAAGTGATCCGCCAATCGACTGACAACAGAGGCGTGTGGAGTAAGGAAACTTGCCTAAATTTCGCCCTGCCAGCTGAATCGAACCCGGGTCCTCTCGCATGTGAGGCCAGCGCGCTAACCACTACCTACGGGATCCACGTATCTTGGGATACGCTATGGCAGCGGGAAAAAGGGTGAGAATGGCAATTTTAGGACAGACACCAATCTGGAAGTACTTTTTAAAAAAAATACAAAAGGAAACTAACAGCAGCAGTGGGTTATAGATGCCAAGGTCCTGATTTACTCGAGGAACAACTTGATGCTGTAAGGTGCCAAGCCAGCCTGGCTCCTCGGCAGAACTTGGAAGGGCAGACCAGTCACTGAGGCCAGGGAATCCTCCCACTCAGCCCCTGTTAACCCAGCAAGCCAAAGCCCTATCGGGTAGGGTGGTCCTAGCTGGACAAGTCATGGGAAAGCTTGCTAAGCTATGCGGTTTTAGCTGGTTACATTGCAGCAGTTACCGCAACATTACACTCTGGAGTCCCCCAGCCTTGCACCTAACACCCTCCGGTAAGCAATATGCGTCCCTCCAGGGAGAATGAAAGAACGCATTCCATTCCAACAATCTATCTCTGGGATTTCTGTGTGTATGTATATGAGATGCATAGAAATATCAGCTTGGTTTAAATACTCTTAAACACGGTGATAGGTTTCCGCACGTGTCAGACACCCGGCTGGCAAACAAAATGTTGTAAAGTGGAAAGACAATAGGTAGAGGCATGAGATTATCCAGACTGTATCCTGGAAGGATGAGATTAAATGCTCCCAAGAGCCTGTTGCTAGCTGTGCCTCTGTTGTGAGAGACGCAGCGCATTAAATGCAAGCTCTGGTAATTGTGTTTGTGCGGTTTAAATGTTGGCGGGGGGGCAGTTTAGGGCGAGAGGGTGGGGGGGGTGGAAAGAGAAATAGAACAAAGCTGCCCGGGGAATTGTGGAAATATTAGATTGTTCATAAATTAGTGCTACACAGCACGAGCTTCTGTGAAAGTGCTTTGGGTTCTTGTTTCGATCTCACACATTTATCGACAAAACTGAGCGCTTGTCAAAGACAGCTCTGCATACAGTTGGAACCTGACAGCGTCAAAGGGGCTTCACAGCACGCCTCCACTGACATCTGGTGGTGCGTTTTATGAATATAGCAAAACACCGCAGCTCAGTGCTCGCCCCTCTCTCTGTGATCCGCAGGCTTGATATAGACTGGATAAAGCAATCCAAACACATCCAGTTTGTGGAGGAATTGACGGCAGATTGAATCGCAGTAATCTTTGCACGATTTAGACAAGTTTAATCTTTCAGGGAAGGCGAGAAGGGAAGGGCGACGGAAGGGAAGGGAAGCATTCACACACAGCGCTGCGGAAGATCAGCACTGGCTAAAAATAACAGTGCCACTTAACAGCTTAGAAATTAGTGGGTGGGAGCAGCTACGATGAAGGTAATCTCATTCCAGCGCAAATAAGACTTGCATTCATGACTGCCCCGGTCTAGCTCAATCCTCTAATGAGCTGTCCCTGTGCCAGAACACACTGTTCCACACCAGTCGTCAATAATCTAGCGAAATCAGCATAAAATTCAGACTTGTCAGAGAAAGATGACCACTTCCCGACCTCATCTCAGCTTTTGGGGGGGAGTGGGGGGAGAGAAACATTGTAAAGTTTTGAAAATCGAGCTAAATTCAACTGTTTGGAACTATCTCCATCCCACAGTCCCTTTGCCTCCCTCGCCACCCCCACCCTTGCTTCGTTCAAGATCCATCTCAAGACCGTCTTCTTCGACTGCGCCTTAGGTCTTCCCCTACCCTCCTGCCTTCCACACCTTCTGATCCCAACCCCCAACTCGGGGCCAAATCCCTGACTGCCCCGCACCTTGGGACGTCCTCCCCGACGTGAAAGGCGTTGCTTAAATGTTGAAATCAGTCGATTAACACAGGATATTTTGCTTGGTGTATTGGTTGCCGGGCTATAGTAATGACTGTCTCACCTGATGTGTTCAGTGCGTTGGGGCTGCCGATGTGGTCTGGTTTGTTGGTGAGGGCGTTTACCATCACCCGTAACCGCTGCCTCAGTTCAGACGCTTTGCGATCGGCGGACTGTTCCAAGAGACACAAAAAAAATTCATTTTATTTGGAAAGAACGAGAGAACATTAACATGTCGTTACCTTAACAAACCGAGCCAGGAACTCAAGCAACACAGCAGGCAGCAATTGCTCCTGCAATCACCAGCTCTAAACCCGGATGGCAAAGGACATGATAGTAACAACAATCCTTGCATATGATATAACGCCTTATCACGCCATTGAAACTTCTCAAAGCGCTTCACAGAATATACTGCAAAGTAAATTGACTGTGTATTTTGTGGGCGAACCGCGGCAGCCAACTGCGCACAGCAGCGTCCCCACAAACAGTCGTGAATTGAGTGACCACATTATTATTACTTTTGAAGGGATTATTGCCCCCGGAAAACGATCTGCCAATCAACGAACAACCAGGTTCCTGCTTACTGTGAGTTAACAGAGGAATGTGGAGTAATTAATGCAGAAGTCAGGCTTCAAGTCCACAGATGAGGCATCTCTACAATGAGGGGCATCATTTCCATTCCCCCCCCTCTCACCCCCACACACTCCCGCTACCAAATATTAAACACAATTAAGCCTTGTAATTTAAACAAGACCAATTTACTGGGAGTTTTCCACATTGAGACGCCTCAATGACGTGATAAGGCGCAATATCAAATGCAAGGATTATTATTATTAGAGTTTTAAAATAATTTGCATAGTTTGCAGTACAGCTACAAGAAAAAACAGAGAAATTCACAAAGGAGCTTAGGAGACAGCATACAACCAGGTACACAGTGCCCTGGCAACAGCTAATTACTGTCATGCGTTTCAGCAAATGTCTTCCTTTAATAAAGCATACATTAAACATTCATATCACAGTAAGAGCCATAACTAAAAACACTACCCTATCCTAATTATTATTATTTTTGGAGGGATTGTTACTCCCGGAAAAGCAACTCACCAATCCATTAACAACCAGATTCCAACAGAGACGCAAAGACCTTGCCCAATGTTTTGTCCTGCCCGGGAATTGAACCCGGGTCCTCTCGCTTGCGAGGCGAGTGCTCTAACCACTGAGCTACAGGACTCCATTCTTTCACTGTCCCTCCCTTGGGGATCACATAAAGTCCAGATAATGACACAATCATATCCTCTGACTTCAAAATAAACACACAGATAAACCCCAGCGTCTCTGTCAGCATCTAAGAGAAGAAAAATTAGGTTATCGTTAACCTATTTATCTCTAACCGGTTTATCTCTTTCAGATGCCCGTTGACCTAAAGTGGATTATAATATAATAATAATCCTTGTATTTGATATACTGCCTTATTACATCTTCAAAACGTCTCAAAGCTCTTCACAGAATATACTGTAAAGTGAGTTGGCTGTATATTTTGTAGGCAAAACACGGCAGCTAATTGCACATAGCAGTGTCTGATAAACAGTCGTGGATTGAGTGACCAAATTATTATTATTATTATTTTTTTCGAAGGGATTATTATCCCCGGAAAAGCGATCCAGCTATCGACTAACAACCGGGTTCCTACTTAATGCTGGGTAAACAGAGGTGCATGGAGTAAGGAAACATGCCCAATGTTTCACTCTGACTGGGAATCAAACCCAGTTCCTCTCGCTTGTGAGGCGTGTGCTCTAACCACTGAGCTGCAGGACTCCACGATTCCAGTGTTTATGTTTTTTTTTTCCAGTCGGCATTTTGCAGCCTGTTCCTCTTCCTCTCTCCCCTTCCCCCCGAAAGCTATTTAAAGGTCTTTAAGTGAAATGCATTTAAGTAATCTCATACACGAGCCCCAGTGGATGCAGCAGCTACAGAAGGTACCTACCTGCAGCTCAGCATTAATAGCTTACTCTCAGACTCCCAGGGCTGCAGGCAATATGGAAATGTCACATTTACACACTCATTTTTTCTAAGAGGGGAGTTAAGGAACATGGCTCAGAGGGCTCATAGTGAGCACTAAACTGCAACCAATCAATGCTGCCCACACTCCCAGAATTTTTGTTGCACCGTACTAAGAGTCTTGCAGCTTAATGATTAATGCACTCGCCTTACAAACGAGGGGATCTGGGTGAAACCTTTAGGCAAGTTTCCTTATTCCACGCGGCTCTGTTTATTAGCAATAAGTAGGAATCTGTTTGTTAGTCGATTGGAGGATCATTTTTCAGGGGTAATCATACTTTCACAAAAAAGGGCTTTGGAGTAGTCGAGGCGGGAGATAACGGAGGCGTGGGCGAGGGTTTCGGGGCAGGACAAGGATGAGGAACCTTCCACGTCCTAATACCTCTGTGTAAGAGAATTTCTCTTAACCTCTCCCTCTCTGTTTTTGTTAATGATCTTAAATTAGCTCGATCCTCACTCAGGTACTGGTGGAATGGCTCATTCATCACTCTCCTAGAGCCCAGCAAACTCCAGCGGGGCTCCTCTCAACTCTCTCTTTTCCAGTGAAGCTTAATGGTATCAGTGACCTTTGCAACCTAATCCCTCGCTCTTACTCACCAGTTAAAGGCTTAGCAGCTCGCTGCTCACCATTGCATTTCCCAAGCGCTTTCATACCTTCCTTTACATGAAAGGTCTTCTAGAAACGCAAGTTAACTAGATGAAAACACAGTTGTGCATTGGCAAACTCTCCCCGATTTCCCATAGACCACTTGGCGGACCAGAGTTTAGGCAAAACTCCATTAGCCCAATAAGCAGACTGCTGCCAATCATTTTGGCTAATTATTGTCTTGGTTTTGCAATATAATGCGGCAGCCAATTGGGCACAGCAGTGTCCCACAAACAGTGGTGGATTGAGCAACCAAATTATTATTTTTTTTGAAGGGATTACTACCACCCCGGAATTTGATCCGGCAATCGACTAACAACTGGCTTCCTATTTTCTGCTAGGTAAACAGAGGCGTGAGGAGTAAGGAAACTTGCCCAACGTTCCGCCCTGCCCGGGAATCGAGCCTGGGTCCTCTCGCTTGTAAGACAAGTGCTCTAACCACTGAGCTACAGGTTCACATCTTATTGTAACTCAAACTCACAAGCCTTGTAACCCACCTTATTCCCCAGTCGCATTTCTCAACCTGTCAACGACAATTCAGAGTTAAAATAGTGACCGCTGTGAAAGGTATTAGGGCAAAGAAACGCTCTGGTGCATGTAGTGCCAGCCGCGACAGCCTGCCGGACAGGATTCAGATAGATTGCAGAGGCTCAGGTGGTTCACTGTCTATGGGTTCACTTTGTTTGACCTTTCGTGCAGATCTCTGAACACGTCACAGGCGCCTGCAGCTGGCCAACCAATGAATGTCAAATTGGATGGAGCTCAGAAGCCTTTGTGGAACAACCACAATAATCATCTCTTGACAAATTTGCTACAGCGCCGGTTAACAGAGGGACGTCTAACACGCTTCACAGAGATCTGCTGTCAAACGGAGTGGCTATGCATTTGTAGGCAATAGCAGCAGCCAATTTGCGCCCTGCAAGGTGCCTGCCAACAGTCGAGAAGTGAACGACCAATTTATCTGGAGGATTGGCGGCCAGGAACTGTTTAGGAGATGGCTTGTTGTCTTAAAATTGACAGATAAAATGGTAGGTTTTGGGCACCCACCAAAAATAAATGGATTTGCTCAAATAAGGTGAACGTCACAGTTGAGAGTACTGGTATAGAAACTGCAGCACAGGGGGTGGACATTCGACTAATCCAGCCTGCCCTGGGGACCACTAGAGCGACCTACTCGAATCCCATTCCCCTGCTTTTCCCCTCTCTACTCCCTGCCCCCCACCACCCCTCTATATACCATGTATAATAATAATCCTTGCATTTGATATAGCATCTTATCATGTCATCGAGACGTCTCAAAGCGCTTCACTGTAAAGTGCACAGACTGTGTATTTTGTGGGCAAAATGCAGCAGCCAATTGCACACAGCAGTGTCCCCATCAACAGTCGTGGAGGGAGTAACCAATTTAATTCGGGGGATTGTTGGCCAGGATACCGGGAGAAACTCCCTTCTCTTTCTCAGAGAAAGAGCTGCAGGATCGATCTTTAACATCAGCCTGAAGAGGCAGAAAGAAGGGTGAAGACTGCGTATGTCAGAGGAGAGAGGGAAAGAGAGAGAGAGAGAGAGAGAGAAAGAGAGAGAAAATAGACACCCCACAAAGAAAAAAAAGGTTTGCCTGATATTTATTCAATGAAGGTAGGGCCCCTTTAAAAGCTGATGAAGTGACCCTGGCTTGAAATAAAAGTCCCTCGTATTTATTTATCACGAAACAGCAGATGGGCAATAAATAATTGCATTTACAAAGTGCACCTAGGGAAAAAAACAAGGCAATTTATTTGAGATAGTTTGGGATTCCTAACCTTGCACTGCCAGTGTTGATTTTGCATTCAGAGGCTTTTATCAATCAAACTCCCTGGGGATATCTTCCTTTTTTTTGAAAAAAGGCAAGATAATACAGTTTTCCCGCCTTTGCTCGGTTTACAGCCCTTTTTTTAAAAACCATAAAAGTCTAAACGTGATAAAATAATACCTAATACCTTTTAATGCACCTATAATCTTCCAGTTATCAGAAGAAAACGCCATTCAATTTTCTTTATAAAAATTCCTATTGAAAATTGCTGATTTATACCCCCACCCCCATTGATAAATAATCTGATCGGTAAAGTCTAGATCCAAGTCCCTAGTTACCTATGCTTTCAGCATTTCCAACACAACCCCAGTTAGCTGAGCCCCTCCACCTCCGCCGGCTCAAACCCTGTTAACCGGCCTGTCTTCAGCCCATTGCCAGAGACCAATCTGCAAACCTTCAACAACAAAAACCAATTGAATTTACATAGTGCTCTTCACGTGGGGTAGTGTCCCAGAGTGCTTGAACACAGCGAGTTCACAATGCAGGTAGAGTGCTTGGGGGGGGGGGGGGAGTGCTGCCTTGTCAGAGGTGTTAAAATATACAATCAGTTCGGCCACAAGGTACACAGTCATTCCACTTTACAGTATATTCTGTGAAGCGGTTTGAGATGTCTCGGAGACATGCAAGGATTATTATTCTTCCAGACGCGACATCAAAGGCAAGGCAAGGGTTATTACAGAACAATGCAAAAACGCTGAATGAATAAATAATCATGTAAGATCCATGTAATTCAGTCTACCAAGACCCGAGGAAAAATATGGATTCAGTTATTAAAACACAACCCACCAAGGCTGAGCTATACAGTACAGCAGCATTTGATCTGCTGTAATGTGGGTACACTGGCATAGGCAGGACACTGAGTGCTACATATGTCGCCACAATTACTCTAAGTGATCCATTCATTATCTTGAAACCAAACCGGTCTATTATAGTCTCGGTGAAACCAGCCAGGCACAAAATTCCATTTAATCTCTTTAGAGCTGCCACGCCACTCTGAAGGAACTCTGCCTACGATCAGCAATCTTTCAGCTTTCATCTTTCAACGTTTCTTCAGCCCAACGAGCCCAGCGGGCAAGTGTAATCTCAAACCGCTTTGACCATCAGCCTGGTTCAGTCGGTAGCACTGTTGCTCCCGAGAGCCAACCCCCCCCCCCTCGCCCCCACTCATCTGGACTTTGAGCTCACAGTCTAGGCTGAAGCTCCAGGGCAGTGCTGGGGAGTGGGGTGCTGCATTGTCAGAAGTGCCATTCTTTGGATGAGACGTTAAAACAAGGTCTCTACTGTGCTTGTTAAGTGGATGTTAAAGATCCTATGGAGCTATTCGAAAAAGAGAAGGAAGTCTGTCTCCCCCAGTGTCCGGGCCGACAATCTTCCCCATCACCAGATAAAATTGGTCACTCACTTCATAGCTGTTTGTGCGTAATTGGCTGCCGCGTTTTGCCCACAAATATACAGTCAATTCACTTTACATCATATTCTGTGTAGCCTTTTGAGATGTCGAGAAGGCGGGAAAAGCGCTATATCAAATGCAAGGATTATTATTATTATATTAATGAATACATCAAAAACTGCATGTATTGTTTGAAGATAAATTATAATCAGACCCAAATTCATCTTTGCTGCAGGGGTAGAAAGGTTAAATAAATTAATTTCTCCCTCCACTGCTATGGGACGTTAATACACCTGACAACATTAGACCTTAACCAATAAAATTAACCTACTTCTACATCCTAAATATTTAAGGCCACATAATAAATAATAATCCTTCTATTTTAGATAATAATAATCCTTGCATTTAATATAGCGCCTCATCACGTCTTTGAGATGTCTCAAAGCACTTCACAGAATATAAAGTGAATTGACTGTATGTTGTGGGAGAAACACAGCAGCCAATTGCTCACAACATTGGAACGTCACGAACTACTTCACAGAGAATTGGTGTCAAGTGCAGTAACTATTTGAAGCAAATATAGTGGCCGATTTGTACGCACTCAAAGTTCCACAGACCACAACCAGGAGAATGCCCAATTTAGCTGAAGGACTGTTGGCCAGGTCACTGGGAAAAAGTCCTTTCTCTTTATGAATAGCGTCACAGTATCTTTAACACCTGCCTTGATTGTGAGCTCAAAATCCCAACGCGCGGGGGGAGCGTTGAACCCAGCGAGACAATACCCAGGAATGTTAACATTACTTACGTTCTCTGAAGATGTGGATATTTTGGTTGAATCGGTTAGGTCTGTACTGCTAACCTCCTGAGAGCTATTTCCGTGGCCCATCTAGAATCAGCAAAGAAAGGTTTAAGAATTCATCTCATTGTGGAGTCCTGCAGCTCAGTGGTTAGCACACCTGCCTCGCAAGCGAGAGGACCTGGGCTCGATTCCCGGGCAGGGCAAAACCTTAGGCAAGTTTCCTTACTCTTCACTATTCATCTAGCAGTAAGTTGGAACCCAATTGATAGTCGACTGGCGGATTAATAAAAAAAATTTGGACATTAAATTTGTTTGTGGGACGCTGCTATGCGCAATTGGCTGCCGTGCTTCACCCACAAAATACAGTCAATTCGCTTTACATATATTTTGTGAAGCGATTTGAAATGTGATAAGGCGCTATATCAAAAGCAACGATTATTATTATTATTATTATAATAGAGGAGAATAGAGAGAATCTGTAATCAACACTGGAATAGTTAAGTGCACTGTGCAGATACTCTGAGAGTTATAGCAGCAATTCAGCACTGCATAATAAGTAGAAAAATGATTAAAAGTTGACATTCTGCACTCTGGGCACAACAGCTATTCAACCTTTCAATGCACAGCTTTCTGCATGTCACCAGATTACGAAATTGAAACTAATCAGCGTCTTTCAACACTTCCACTTCGCAGCAATTTTCTTTGCATGAACAAATGCAATTAGTCACACTACGCTGGTTAAATAGGGCAAAAAGAACCAGAGGAAAGCTTTCCTTAAAACTTGTATTAAGGGTGGCGGCAGGGGGGGGGGAAATATCCACTAATCCAAATCTCCAAGCGTTCCCCCAGGTCAATAAGAACGCAGGTGGGTTAACCTGCTAATAAAAAGATAGCAGCACTGCTCTTTCAGTCTTACATTGTACTGGAGTTGTTAATCACAAAACCCTCGTCTGGTAAACTCGCCTCATGTCTTGACAATGCCTTGCGGCAGGAGCACTTGACTATATTAATGCGGATGGGTTATCAGCTCTCTCCCGTTAACTTTCGGCACGTGCCCGGAGTTTCAAATAAGAGACGTGCCCAAAGCAGGCAGTCACTACACTTCAGAGCAACCCCCAGCATTATTACTGAGACACTTTAATGTTATATAATACTTTATAAGCTTATTCCTAAATATGGAAATGCCAGAACCTCAAGACATGGAACTGCTTGGGAGTACAAAATCAGATCCGTTATCCTGGTCAACATTCCCCGATAACATCGCTTGTTCACTTCAAAAGAACAAATTGCATTTACGCAGCGCCATTCACGTCGGGAGGACGTCCCAAGGCGCTGGACAATCAAGGATTTGGACCTGAGCTGGGGGTTGAGATAAGAAGGGCAGGGAGGGTGACCAAAGGCACGGTCGAAGAGGGGCTTGAGACAGGCCTTGAAGGAGGCAAGGGAGGGGGCGAGGCGAAGGGATGTAGTTCCAACCCGTTTGTGGGTCATAGCCGGTATGCACTGTCGCATTTGAATACGCAAGACACTGCACTTCACTGAAGTCTTGGGAAGAGCTTTGAGAGGGCATGTTAACGGCATTCCAAAGCGTTCAATAATATTTCTTCGGGGAGGACAGAAACCCTGCGTGAGATCTATGTTTTTGTCTCTGAAGCAGTCAGTAAGAAAGATAGTTGTGCTGACTGCCTGGGCACAGAGGACCTCAGTGCAGTCAGCTCCCGCTGTGATGAATGAAACCCAAAGATTCACTGACAAAGGGAGAGCCATTTGCTACTGCACTTGCTTTTGCGAGAGAAAAAAAAAGTGGTTGTCACTAATCCCCATTTGCTCATAGGAACCAATTTGATCTGCTGGTTCGAGAGGCTGGTCAAGGAGAGGACAAGTGTCGCTCAGCATCAATTAGTCTTGAACGCCTGCCATGAAGGTAGTGACTCCATGGCTTTCTGACATTATAAATGGGTTTTTAACATACAAATCCTGTTACCCCCCCACCCCACCCATTAGAAACAGCGATACAAGACTACTAAGGAGCCGAAACAGTCAGAGATACATTTCACATCCTCACTCGCTCCATCCATGTTACGGAAGATGTGGCACTGAACACGGCGACAGATTATATAAAATATATAAACACATAGAAACAGAAGGAGGCCATTCAGCCCCTCAAGCCTGTTCCGCATTCTATAAGATCATGGCTGAGCTGTTAAACGCGTGTACAGAATATAAGTAAGTAGTTCTAAACACAATTATCAACATTCTTCCATATGTTTCAGTGGTTGGTCAGTCAGAGAACTGTTGAAAAAACCCACAGGGGTGTAACAGGACTTTGTGGACACCTTGTACATTAAAAACAACACACGGCTATTTGCAGGTTGACAGTGCAAGCACAAAGTGACCCTGAACTCAGGCCTCGCTGGCTTCTCTAAACGCAGCCCGCTTACCGCAGTTCCGTTGATGATCTCCATTTTAGTTGCATTACCGAGGCCGGGCACAGTGCCCCCCAGGAGACTCACTCGCTGGGTCAGGTTGCTGACCGCATGGTCTATTTGGCGAAGCCTTTGATCGTTGTGTGCGTGATACTGCACCAGGCTGCTGTTCACATCCTCAATTGCATCACGGAGGAACAGAATGTCCTGGAACAGGGGGGGGAAAAAAAATGCCATCAATGACCTGCCTGCTAGCCTGAGGGAGTCAATGCAGCTGGGAGTTTTGACAGTTTTATGGCACTTTTATACACAAAGATTCACATTTGCCCCAAAGCGTGACTGGAGTTCACAGTGTAGGCTGACGCTGAAATGCAGTACAACAACAACAATTTGAATTTACATAGCGTCTCAGAGTGCTTCACACCGAGCGGGGGGTGGGGGAGGGGGGGAGAGAGAGAGAGAGCGGTGACTGTCAAAGAGGATCTTTGGTCATGTTCTGAAAGAGGGTAAGGAGGCAAGGCGGAGAGGCGTGGGGGGGGTGGGGGAAAGAGTTCCAAAGCTTTGGGGCGCAGTGACTGAAAGCGCGGTCGCTGATAGTGGAGCGGAGGGGACGAGGGAGGCCAGAACCAGCTGAGCAGCACAAGAGAAAAAAATTGTGCATCTTGACTTCTTGTAAATTTGCAAATCAAAGTTTACTAACAAAATCCAGCTCACCATAAGCTACAGATGTATACCCGTACCACTCAGCACATCCCTGGCCATTACTTGACAAGAATAAGCCTTGATGGTAAGTTTTTGATTCTGAGAGAGTTTTATGTAAAGCCTATTATTTTCCTGGTTGCTGCCTGCAGCACGTAATCTGATGATCTCTATCCAGATGGCTGCGAGACAACACTTTGCAATTGCTTTTCAGATTGGCTTGAAAAGAAACTCATTGGATAAACTAGCAGTGCCCTTTTCTCGGGGTCTGAGAGATTTAACACAGCTCCTCCATCCGTCCACTACATCGCTTCCAAACTAACATTACAAGCAGCTGCTGGCAGCCAATCCAATGCAGAACGAGCCAATGTTGAAACATTAACAGCCCATGTTTCGACATCCTCCTAATATCCGACAGCAAAATCCTGCTCTAGATTCCTTAAGAAGGGAGATGAAAACAGGTCATTCAGCCCACAGAAACACATCCTTCCAGTACATTAACACTCCACACAGTGGTATCCAATTGCAATTTGTGTAGCCAAGGTTTTTTGCCTTTCATTATACGGCTTGATAGATTACTCCATTTATCGCTGCTTGAGTAAAGAAGCCTTTCCTGATATCCGTTCTAAATTTACTTTACAACAATTTCCTATTACATTCTTGCCACCTACTTTCCCGGCTTATCTGCGCTATTTACTAGCTGACAGGGTTCCTTCCACCCCTCCACCCCCCCACTCCGGTTTCCCCTCCACCCTCCCCAACCACCTTCTTACCACACTGTAAAGTAAAGCTCCTCTAATCTGCCTTCACAGCTTTGCACCGGCCATCGGTCTTGTTGATCTTTTCTGCACCTTTTCTAATGCTAAATAAATGTTCATTTTGTGTGCGGTGACCAAAAGTGATGCAGAATTCCAAGCCGTGCAAAGCCTCAGCAAAACATCGCTCAACTGACACTTAAAGATCATTAAAGTCATTTCTTTTTGTCACAAAATAAAATCAGGTATTTTTTTCAGGGATCTTTTGTGTGTCAGAAAAGGGGGAGAAGATTAAATGGGGGGGAGGGGGGGGAAAGAAAGAAAATTTGATCCCAAAAAACAGATTCAGTTCAGTGCTGATTGGGATTTATTTGGAAATTCAAAGCTAACACAGCTACTTAACAACTAATGTCGTGAGGACACGGCAGAAATGATTGTTATATCGGGGGGTTCAGTATAGCAGGGTTTGGCCGTCAAAGAGGTGCAAAAACCGAGTCTTGCCATTAGCATGATTAAACCATGGGGTTGTTAGAAACAGGATTCATTATAGTGAGGCTATAATAATCCTTGCATTTGATGTAGCCCCTTATCACGTCTTTGAGACGTCTCAAGGTGCTTCGCAGAATACACTGTAAACTGTAGCAATTGTATATTTTGTTCTGTCCTATGAGCACCTTCCTTCCTCCAAGTTCAGGCTCTGGTGTAAGTTTTTGGACCATGTTAACTATAGCATTATATTAGGCTTCAGTTTATCAGTGCCTTGAATACTAGTCAGATTTCTCCCAGGCCTTTCCTTCACTTCCCTTGTCCAACATGGAGAGAGAGGCCAATTGCAGCTCATCTCATCATTGGCCTTGGCCTGGCTAAGAGGAGCCGACTCCAGTCTGAGAGCAGTACATCTCAGTGCTGCACCATGCAGTTCCCCACTGAGAACGTTCAATACAAAGTTCTATCAAATTAATCTTCCTCTTCAATTATTTAAATGTTGTGGTAATGCAGCCTAGTTATTTACTCTCTGGGAGTAAAATGGGAGGCAGTACTTAGCCAGTCATGTTTTGCTGATTTGCATTGGCAAGGCAGGGAGGCAGGTGGAAATCAAGTGCATCAAACAAGTCTCTATTTAACTACAAAGTGCTCGGTGTGGTGCCCAACGCATCAAACGTCAGAGCCGGTTAGAGGGAAAGCTTCTGCAGCCAAATGTGCCACCCGTGGAAACGGTAATTATAAGCCTAAATCGTGCGGCAAGCGGGGAACCTGCAGACCTGCGCTGAGCAAGCCCTGACAACTCTCATTAAGGCTCCCGTCTAATAAGCCCATTACCAATGCAAGGATTGTCAAGTGTGCAAGGAAATTAGGCAGCCGAGCGTTTAGCCAGAAAATTGCAGAGCAATTATCAAGGAATATATTTTCCCAGCGTGACACGGTGGTCTGCTAGGTCTCCTAACAGCATTGCCTCCTCACCTCATTTTGCTGAAGAGTCGCCACGATCTTCTTCTGACTCTCTAAGGAGGTCTGGATGGTATCCACATCATGCTGAACGCTAGTTAGGGTACTGCCGATGGTGGCCACACTCTGCAAAGAACAGCAACCAATTAACACGGTTAATCTTGCAACCCATGCTGTGCTCTCGCTCTCCTGTGCTTCACATCAAAACGCATCTAACTTTACAAAACCAGTAATGTGAAGTCCTGCAGCGTAGGGGTTAGCAAGCTCACCTCGCAAGTGAGAGGACCCCGGTTCAATTGCCCGGCAGGATGAAACCCTTAGGCAAGTTTCCTTATTCCACGCGCCTATGTTTACCAACAGTAAGTAGGAAGCTGGTCGTTGGTTGATTGGTGGTAATAATCCCTATTAAGAAAATGTGGTAATTGAATCCACAACAGTTTGTGGGTCACTGCTGAGCGCAATTCGCTGCTGCTGTGTTTCACCCACAAAATACGACATGATAAGACACTATACCAAATGCAAGGATTGTTATAGTGTTTGTTTCGCAAGTTACTAGAGTGCTTCTCTGGTCCAGCTACTTCTGCAGCATCGCTAGTTTACACAGGAACAGGAAGAGGCCATTCAGCCCATCGAGCCTGTTCTACTAGTTTAAAACACAACAATATTGGAATTGTATTTTAAAACTGAGCCCCTTACGAACAGCACGAGAATTGGAAGATGATGAATTCAGGATGCAATCATCACAACCTGATAGTGATATTTACTGGGAAACTTAGCAACTTAGCTACTCTACCATTATCAGCATCTGGCTTGTGGTGAGAGATTGCAATCTTACAAATTACATATCTCAAATAAAAGAATGTGCAGTTTGAAGAACAGGAAAACAAGACATCCCACAAATAGCCCCGGGACTTAAATATGGTTCTCGCCGGTCTGGCAAGTTCCAATCCATCTCATTCACTAAAATATTCTCCAAACACTTAAGGCTAATGTGTGTGAGTGTGAGTGAGCGACTGACTGAGTTAACAGCCTGCAATCTGTCCTAATTCAGACTGGGCCAATTCTGGATATGAAAACAAGGCAGATATCAGGCACACGTGTATGTGTGAGTGCGCGCGTGTGTTTTTTTTGGTCAGCTCGGTGTCCAGGCACAAATGCGGAAATTTCTCCCTGCACTTCCCTCCCCCATCCATCTACATATGCTTCGCCCACAAAATCCACTTTACAATATAATCTGAGAAGCGCTTTGAAGGAAACAACAACAACGTGCGTCGCGCCCCTCACGCAGGGTAGCAGCCCACAACGCTTGACAGTGGCGGAGCACGACACCGAGCTGGGGGAAGGGGGGAAGGTGACTGTAGGCACGGGCGAAGAGTAAGGTCTTCAGGTGTGATCTGAAGATGGGGAAGGAGGGGGAAAAGGGATAGAAGAAGAATGTTTTGGGACGTAGTGGCTGAAAGACCTGTCTCAACAACATGATAAGGCGCTATCAAATGCAAGAATTATTATTATTATTATTCAACAAGTGGTTTAAACAATTCATATCTACAGAAGAGGAGAGAAAATTGTGGAGTCGTGTAGCTCAGTGGTTAGAGCACTCGCTTTGCAAGCGAGAGACCTGGGTTCGATTCCCTGCAGGGAGAATCCTTGGGCAAGTTTCCTTACTCCACATATCTGATAATAATCCCTCAAAAAAAATTTGTCATTTCAATCCATGACTGTTTGTGGGACGCTGCTGTGCGCAATTGGCTGCCGCATTTCCCCCACAAATATATAGTCAATTCACTTTACAGTCTAGTCTGTGAAGCGCTTTGAGACGTCTAGAAGACGTGAAAAGAGCTATATCAAATGCAAGGATTATTATTTATTATTATAATAATAAACAGGCAAAAGAAAACGTTGCTGTGTTTTGAGAGCAAACAACTCTATTCCTTGGAGTTAATCGACGGCTCAAATCAATTTTATCTTCCGCATAAACATTGTGGGCTTACGAGTGGGAGAGAGGCAGAGCTGCAATCAACTCCCCTGAGCAACAAGCCAAAAAAGACAGGGCTTTACAGGCAGCACATATGGTGCGTACACACACAGATTTTGTTTGGAGATCAGTCAGAAAGTATTGCCTGAGTGTAATTTCACACTCCATTGAGTCTTATCTTCCAAGTCGCACTTTTAAAGACTTGCTGGGATTTAAGCAATAAGAGTTCAGTGTAAATATTCTGGGAGGCCTGCCGTGCTTACAGGTGAAAGGAGATGAATTGAGGCCTTAGAGGATTTATACCCCAACACGGGAATTTACAGGAGGTGAAACCTCGGCAGGCTTACTTACCTTTTGCAGTTCCTCCACAGTGAGTGGAAGGTTGATCAAGTCGGCTGCCGATTTCACGTTGGCTTTTAGATGGGCGACTGCTGCGTTGAGCTGACTGATCTGGTAACACAGGAACGTGCGTCAGGATTAGATATCGAACACAAAATTGCACTTCACAAAAGTAGAACACAGCAGGTACAAATCTCGAGTCCTCTGCCTCCCAGGTTTGGCTTAAATGGAACAATAACTCAGCAACCAACCACCCCACCGCTAACCCCCCACTCCCCTGCCACCCCCACTGAGAAACAGCATCCAGAAACCTGAAACATCATAACTTGTAGTTGAATGTTTTATAGTTATTCAGAGGTGAATAGCAATCTCACCTCTGAGTCAGAAGGCTTAGGGTTCAAGCCCCACATTGCGACTTGGAACCCATATAGTCCAGCCATACAGTCTAATGCAGCGCCTCATTGTCGGAGGTGCCGTCTTTCCGATAAGAAGTTAAACCACAGTCGTGTCTGCCTGCTCAGGTGGACGTTAAAGATCCCATAGCACTATTGGAAAACAGAAGGGTTTCTTGGGGTACCCTGGATAATAATCTCCCAGTAAAATCAGTCGCTCACTCCATGGCTGTTTGTGAGACACTGCGGTGCGTAAACTGGCTGCTGTATACAACAAATGACATTTATAGCGCCTTTCACGTCAGGAGTGCATTTGACCAAAAACTATAGTTACCGCATTTTAAGGTAAATCCTGGAAGCACTTTGAGACATCCTCCTGACGTGAAAATCAAATGCAAGGATGAATAGTATATATTGCAGTCAGATATCCTCACTAATTCAGATCGATCTCTTCATATCACACATGTGTGTGTCTCTCTCTCTCTATCAGATCTTTTCACTTTTAATGCTTGGATAAATCTCACACTTTCACACGATAGTCCAACCTACATTGGAAGCCGACCTCGATTCTAAATTCGCCCACAAGATCCACACAGTCACACCGCTTTACAGTATAGTCTGTGAAGTGCTTTGAGACATCTCAAAAATGTAATAAGGCGGTGTATCAGATGCAAGGATTATTATAATAATTTGCATCGGAGCCCATAAGCAGTCATGTCGGTGTGAGAATAAGTAGCTTGTATTTATATACTTACACCCATAAAAAGGGGAGATAATAATAAACCTTCATTTTGATATAGCACCTTATCACGTCTTTGAGACGTCTCTAAGCGCTTCACAGAGTATACTGTAAAGTGAATTGACTGTATATTTTGTGGGCGGGATCATATTTTTCGATCAACTTGAACAGAGCACTATCTAAACACAAAGGCTTTTCCAGAGAAAGGCGGAACTGTTAAAAGGACAGAATTCCCTTTAAGTTTCCCACAAGCCGGAGGAGCAGCCATTGAGCTCCCAGGACTCCTTCTCCGCAGGGCGAGTTCCAGCCATTAATCCACATCGCCCTCTCGAGGCATAACTGAGATGAGCAGCTCAAACTGCAGGATGGGAGAGCAATAACCTGGGCCAAGAGAGAAGTGCGCAAATATTTGTGGGGGAATTGGAAAATTGCGGGGGGGCTGATTTGTGCTGTTGAGGTATATTTTACTTTTTGCTACCAACCTACATTTGAGCTTTATTGATAAAAACTAAACATGAGGAAAGAATACATATTAGATTGTTGGAAAAAAATTAATTGCTTCTTTAACAAAGACTGTTTAACACATAACACTCATAAACACACACATACAGAGGGAGACACCACAAACATAGAGGGAGACACACACACACACAAACACACACACCCTCATAAACACCCAGGAGGTGATTTCGCCCACAAAATATCCAGTCAATTCATTTTACAAATCACTTTACAGTACATTGTGTGATGTGCCTTGAGACGGTACTCTATCAAATGCAAGGATTACTATTATTAGTGTCAATGTGTGTGTTCTCGGTACAATGGCAAGCTGTGTGGTTTCGGCTGGTTGTACTCCAGCAGTAACCCCAGTGCACACTCCTGGGTCCCCGAGTCTTGGCTCGGGAAGCCTAGAAATCTGCTGTACCTGCCAGCAACTCAAGGTTCAACCAACTGAGGAGCGATGCAAAGTCTGCTCCGGCTGCTTGCAACCTTTCAATGATTAATGTATTATATAACCCTTCCCCTCGCTCACAGACCACCTGGGTGTGCTTATCATAATATAGACCTTGAAGCTGGGATTACTGGCAGTAATATAAAGCAGTTCAAACCACAAGTAAACTCAATCACAAAGCAATACTTAAGTTGCACCAGAATTGCCATGTATATTGTACCGTTCTAAAGTCCAATATCATTTCTGTCAGAAATCTATAACCTAAGGATTTGAGAAGCAGTCTCAGTAATGGAATGGAGGCTCTTTTTCACGCAACACCATATTCGTGTTCGCCAGGTTAAGGACTATTGGAAAATCAGGCCAATTTCCTTATACGTTCGATGCAATAAAAACAATTGCCTTTCACATAGCAACTCACAAGAGCCCAAACTTCTCATTACAGACCTCCCCAACCTTGACAAACCTTGGCCCCAAGTTGCAGATCGAGGTTGCTCTGTAGAAAATAAGTGTTCATCAGTTCCACGCCCATGTGTATGTGGATATGTATTATCAAATAATAATAATAATCCTTGCATTTGATATAGCACCTTATCACATCATTGACACGTTTCAAAGTGTTTCACAGGATAGTACAGGATATACTGTGAAGTGAACTGATTATAATAACAAATTATAATTATAACAGTATCATATATACTGCCACCTCTTGGCTGGACTATTCAAATGCCCTTCTTGCCGGTCTCCCCTCAACAACCATTCATAAAATCCAGGTCATACAAACTCTGTCGTACCAAACTCCGCTCCCCGATCCCCCCAGTCCTGGCCAGACTGCACTGGCTGCCTATCCCAGAGAGGATCGACTTCAAGATCCTCACTTTTGTCTTCAAATCCCTCCACTCCTCTGTACCCCCCGACCTCTCTGACCTCCTCTCTCCTCCCAACAGTACCCGTTGCCTTTGTTCCACCAGGTCTGATCCCCTCCTCGTCCCCCGCTCCACCCTCGGCAGCCGTGCCTTCAGCCACTATGCCCCGAGGCTCAGGAACGTCCTTCCTCACTCCCTTCGCCTCGCCCCTCTCTTCCTTTTTTCAGGTCTCGGCTGAAGACCTTTCTTTTCGACCGTGCCTTTGGTCACCTTCCTCCCCCTCCCCCTGGCTCGACCGCGGGATCCGTTATTGTGAAGCGCTCTGAGACGCCGTCCGGCGTGGAGGGCGCTATGTAAATCCAAGTTGTTGTTGTTGTTTTATATATTAATCCTTTCACTTCATTATCACCATAGCACATTGTCAATGTCGCAAAGAGCTTCGGAGGATTTAGATGGAAGTGTAGTGACTGTGTACTTGTAGGCAAATTCAGCAACCAATTATGCATAGCAGTGTCCAACAAATGTGAATTGACAGCATATTTTATGGGCGGAAGACTTATTTTGACAAAGGGGCTGTGTGTGCCACCTACACCCAGAGATTTCGTGTCTGGAATGGAATGTGCACTCTCTCCCTGGAGGGACGCACCCCGCCTACATAATCCTGGAGTATATTAGTTGCAAGCAGGCAAGAGCCAAGGCTTGGAGACCCAGGAGTGTGCGTGGGGGTAAATGCTGTAGTCCCACCAGCTAAAACTGCACAGCTTGCCAATGCACCGAGAACACACACATCTACACCGATAGTGTGTAATGGATGGTTTAAGCTTCCATTAAGCCGAGGTACAAATACGGCGATCAAAGCAGACTTGAAGTATCCAGAATCTACGACAGTATGTTTGCTGCAGTTGTGGAACAAGTTACAGCTTTTACATTTAAAAATATATTCCCCGCAACTCGAGGACACTGATTTAAGATAATTGTCAAAAGAACTGGTGGGGAGAAGAGGAGACTTTTTTTTCCCCCCCAGAGAGTTGTTACAGTTTGGAACGCACTGCCTGAAAGCAGATTCGATAGTAGCTTTCAGAAGAATATTAGATAGGTACTTAAAAAAGATTTTTTTTTAACAAGGCTATGGGGTAAGAGCGAGGAAGTGGGACTAGTTAGTAGCTCTTTCAAATAGCCGGCACAGGCACGATGGGCCGAATGGCCTCCTTATGTGCTTTGGGACGTCCTCCCAGTGTGAAGGGCACTCTATAAATGCAATTTTGTATTGTATTGCACGATTCTATGAGGTCAAAGCATGTGAGCTGAGTACAAAGTCCAGCTGAGTTCATGACAAGTGGGTACTATTCACCGTGCCGAGCTGGTCCTCCCAATATTATTTGATGGACAGGTAACATCAAGACTATAGAGTTTAGAAGAAATTGCAGAGAATATTGCTGCCTGCTTACATTACAGCAAAGATCTTCATTACTGGAATGGGCTGTTATTCTGCCTCACTGCCCAAACACTCGATGTGTTTACACAGCTCGCTGCCGAGACACAAATGTGAGTTGGAATAGAGCCACGGCATTCCGAGCAGCGACTCTGCAGCTCCCAATTATAAACTGTTTACCTCTTTTCCTCCCCTGCTCCAGCATGAAGTGATTTATAGGCGAGGAGCTTGAAATCGATTCCCTGAGACGGAAGGCAGCAGAGCCTGGCGAGAAACGGGATGATGGACAGGCAGAGTTTGTTGCCGGCGGAGTTCTGAGCTAACTTGAAGTTTACGGATGGTGGAGCCCATTAGAAAAATCCGCCCGGGAGGTGACGGGGGAGAGGATGAGGGTGCACAGCCATTAGGGCAGTGTAAGACTAAATACAACCGTTGCTGGCTATCTGTCAGACACATTCCACAACGAAACAGACAGTGAGGTCACTGTGACCGTATTGACCTTCTGCGGACTTACACCCAACGCATATCTACACACTGGAGCGAATCCTAGGCCACAAGCTACAGACTATCTTTCTCTCTCCCCACATTTCTACCTCGTGTACAATAATTATAATAGTAATAATAAACCTTGCATTTGATATAGCTCCTTATCACGTCGTAGAGATGTCTCAAAGTGCTTCACTGTAAAGTGAATTAACTGCATATTTTGTGGACCAACTGCGACTGTTTGTGAGCAGTCGTCTGCCGCAACTGCTCACAAACAGTCACGGATTGACGGACCAATTTTTCTGGGGAGGGATTATTGCCCTGGAAGGAATCAGTGACAGAATTTCTTTCGATGCGAATGTAAGCAGAACCATTGTAAACTATATTCAAGCAAGCATTAAAAATTAGGTTAAGCATTTGTATTTGAGCTACAATAAACGACATGCATTGTCACGGCACAAGAGCTTAGCCGGAGGGTCACTCAGCTGCAAAGCTGCTGTCCCTCGCTGGAGTGGCGATGGATAAAATTTCAGTTACATCACAGGCAGTGTCCGATTAATCTCTTCTCTGTGATCATGCAGTAACTGACGTTACTGAACTGAAACAAACGGGATCTGTATGGTCTAGCATCGCACTGGGTGCGCCTTTATAGGATGTTACAGCTTTGAACAGACTATTCAATTGTGCTGGTGTGTTTTCCCCACGGGAATACAACAGCCCTCTCCTGCTTATGCAGCGTTTTTCACATTAGGAGGACTTGCCAAGGTAATGATCAGAGGCTTGTAAGGGATTTCCGGGACCGGCTTCTCACTCAGCCACTCATCGACCCTGAGTTTGAGACATCTCGAAGAAATATCAATGCACGAATTATTATTGTTATGTCTAAAGACCATCCAGTAACCGTCCTCGGGGGGGGGGGGGGCTGAGGGGGGAGGGGAGATGTGTGGGGAGGGTGGTCTCATCTTGATGACAAGCTAGCTCCAAAGTGACATCTCTCACAATGAAATGTCAACCTCTGTGACAGTCTCTAGTATGGTTCCTGAGGCAGGTGGGTCCGCAATATTCCAGGGCACTGCTGATGACAGCCCTGCCCATCGGCAGAACCTGGAAGGGCAGACCAGTCACTGGGGGCAGGGAGTCATCCCACTCAGCTCCTGTTAACCCTGCAGCCAAAGCCCTAACGGGTAGTGTGATTGTAACTGAACAAGCTATGGCAAGCTATGTTGGTCTCAAGTCAGGTCACACTTGACTGTGACTGTGGTTGTCTCCCCTCTCTCACCGGCTTGACATCAAGCTCCATTATTACTGTGAGCTCCAAGATGCTGCTCCACATGAAGGGCAGGTCGATGTTGTCGCTGATGCCCACTGTGCAAAAAGGAAACTAGCTTCCAGCTTTGCAAGGTTTGACAAGGAGCTTAGTCAGGCTGTTGTAAGTTCTACACAGTCAGCACACAGGTGCATGCACGCACACACACACACACAAGCTGGATTCAAAGGGCCACACTTTCAATTTTAATCCATCGTTATCCTAAGACGCAGCCTTATCTTGAGAAACCACATGTATAAAAAGAGAAACAGTCTGTCACCTATAAGCAGACAGAAGGGGTCACGTCAAATAACACTTTCAGGACTTTAATAGCTTAAAGAAACCGAATCAGATCAAACATCAATGCTACATTTTCCAAGGAATGCTATATCGCTTTACAATGAAACCTGTTTTAAAAACCATCAATAGCGATACCGTCCTATATGCCTTTTTTGAAAAAAATCCCATACCAACATACTTTACAGAGAGTGTTGCAAATGTGGAATGGATTTCTCAGGGAGGCAGAATGGATCAGCAAATTCAAGAGGAATTAATAATAACAATCCTTGCATTTAATACAGCGCCTTATCACGTCATTGAGACGTCTCAAAGCTCTTCACAGAATATACTGTAAAGTGAATTGACTTTGTATTCTGTGAGCGAAACGCGGCAGCCAATTGCCCACACCAGCGTCCCACAAACCATCGTGGGATTTTGTGGGTGATGGTTAGAGCACTCGCCTTACAAGCAAGAGGACCCAAGTTTGATTCCCTGGTAGAGCAAAACGTTAGGCAAATTTCCTGACTCCACACACCTATTTACCTAGCAGTAAGTATGAACCCGGTTGTTAGTCAATTGATGGGTCACTTTTCTGGGGGTAATAATCCCATGAAAATCGGCTGCCGCGTTTCACCCACAAAATACAAAGTCAATTCATTTTACAGTATATACTGTGAAGCGCTTTAAGACTTCTCAAAGATGTGATAAGACACTATATCAAACACAATTATTAATATTATTATTATTGTTATGCATGTTCTTCCTAGTCTCAGTTCTGCAATGAGAGCCTTCTCCTCTTACCTGATTATTCAGCTCGGTGAGGTTGCTCCAGATTTTGTTAATGCCTCGATCGCCTGTGTCCAAGTTGGCCAAACCCTTCTGAACCGAAAGCACCTCCTCATTTAGCCGTGGCACCCCGCTCAATGAGGACTTTTGGCTGGAATCAACTGCAGGGTTAAAATAAAAAAGTTTTGTGTTGAAGATTAGAACGTGATGTCTTCTGCACACGATGAGAAATCGTTTGCAATATTACAGGATACGAATACGTGTTTTTTTTCCAGTTTAGATAAATAGGGCTGCCACAGCACATGGGACCTTGCTGTTATCTGCTGCAAAGCAATTTAGAGAACTTGCCATCAATAACAATGAACATTTGGCAGAGAGGGGCACAATTATGGAAAGATGATATAGATTATACTGCTCCTGAGACAGAGAATAACAACAAGAAGCAAACAGCAGTACCCGTTGCCTCTTGAGAGAGTAAACCCAGAACAATACTTTTCAGGTATGGCAAGGCAGCTGAGTAAGAGGACACAAGGAAGTATTTCTTTACACGGATGGGAATTAATAAATGGAGTCCTGTAGTGTAATGGCCAGCGACCATTAACAATGGCAAGCATCATACACAGTCAGTGTAGTGTATGTCACAGGTCACTTGGTCTGTAAACTTGTGCAATTGCAGAGTCCTGTAACGTAGTAGTTAGAGCACTCGCCTCACAAGCGAGAGGACCTAGGTTTGATTCCCGGGCAGGGTGAAATGTTGGGCAAGTTTCCTTGCTCCCCGCGCCTCTGTATACTTAGCAGTAAGTAGGAACCTGGTTGCTAGTCGATTGGTGGATCGCATTTCTGGGGTCAATAATTCCTTCAATATAAACTGTAAAATTATTTGGGCACTCAATCCACGACTGTTTGTGGGACACTGCTGTGCGCAATTGGCTGCCCCGTTTCACCCACAATACATACAGTCAATTCACTTTACAGTATATTCTGTGAAGCGCTTTGAGACGTCTCAAAGACGTGAATATCTGCTACACCAATTGTAAGGATTATTATATTACTGATTTCACAAAAACTTTTCAGTGCATCATTTGCTGTGTGCAATTGGCTGCTGCATTTCACCCAAAAGATCACAAAATCTACTTACAATGTATTCTGTGAAGTGCTTTGAGATGTCTCAACAATGTGATAAGGCACTATATTAAATGCAAGGATTATTATTATTATCATTACTAATAAATGAGAACAGTTATTGTGGGTTTCTCCTGCTCTCCTCAAGCTATATAATCCTTTTACTATACTGGATGAAACACGGCTAAAACACTTACTAAATAATCTAAAGTTGTGAATGAATGAAAGGCAAGTGAGGCAATGTACTGTAACAGTTTACAGAAAATCTGGTTATTATTAGACATTCTCTAAAAACCCTATTTTACAGAACTGAAAACAGTTTTGAATGATAACAGCCGAATGACAGTCCCATCAAGTCTTCTGGTGTTTCTTTTCCCCATCAACTCATAAGAATAATCATTGCATTTGATATACAACAACAACAAGATTCCATTCATAGAGCGCCTTTCACGTCGGTAGGACGTCCTGAGGCGCTGGACAGTTGGGGGGGACCCGAGCAGGGGGGAAATGGTCAGGGGGAGGGGAGGGAAGGGAGGAAGCGAGGAGGGGGTAGAGAGTCGAGAGGGGAGCTGAAGGCACGGTTGAAGAGAAGTGCCTTATAGCGTCTTCGAGACATCTCAAAGCGCTTTACAGAATGTACTGTATAGCGAATTGACTGTATATTTTGTAGGCGAAATGTGGGAGCCATTTGTTCACAGCAGTTGCTTTCTCTAATCCCACTTTCCTATCATCTTCTCTGTGCTTTAAATATTTATTTTTCCCCAAAAATACAAGTCCACCATTTTATCGCAATTTAAACAGGGGCTCAGAGCAAATGCCCTTAAACACCTAAGCTATTTGCACTTTGAGCTGTTGAATCATTCAAACAGTTAGGCTTAAAAATTTGCTCCAGTCTGAAGTGGATGATGTTGAAATAATAATAATTCTTTCATTTAATATGGCGCTTTTCAAGTTTTCTAGACGCTTCACAGAATATGCTGTAAAGTGAATAGACTGAATATTTGTGAGCGAAACGTGGCAGCCAATTACCAATAGTTCAGTACACAATATTACTACACTCGATCTGTTTATTACAGTAAATATGTACCTAAACCTCTAATTTAGCTACGTGTCACCCTAGCGATTGAGGAGAATATTGTACTTTGCGCTCCCATGAAGCTCGTTTTATTCCTTCCATAAAAGTGGCTTAGAAATTGCAAGGCCATTATTAATTTTGGTTTTGAAACTGGTGATGTTGTCATGCGGAAGCTGGTTGTGAATTGGCATTCATGCGAGTTCTTAAACATTTAAAAATTCAACCCACATACCAAACCCTCCAATGGGCCAATCTTATTGTTCCCAGCAGCTTATATAACAATAATTCTTGCATTTGATATAGTGCCTTATCACGTCTTCGAGATGTCTCAAACCGCTTCACGGAATGTACTGTAAAGTGGAATGACTATATTTTGTGGGTGAAACGTGGCAGCCAATTGTGCACAGCAAATGATGCACTAAAAAACGCTTTCATTTCAATTAAATTTCTTTTAACAAACGCCGTGCTTCAACCCAGCAATCTGCAGGTCTCTCTAAAGGATATCTCCCTCAGGATCAGTCAGCTTTCCCGTCTGATTCAACGCTAAACCAACTCACACAACTAACAATTCCCTTACAATTACATTGAGGGGGACCTGCGGCTGATCCCTGGGGTACTTTGCGATCAAAGTAGAACAATTACCATTAATACACTTTTTTTTCAACTATCCAATCAATTTACAACTTGCTGCTGGATTCCATAAGCTTCATCAAGATTTTCATCCCACGCATGTTATTTAACCTTGCATGTGGCTTGACATGCTATGGTAGCCTCCTATCCTGCTAATGCTAAAAGATAATTTGATGTTCTAAATAAATAACATTTTGTTGCACCTTATTAGTAAGAAGCACTGTTTATATTTTGCAGACAGCTTACCTATCAGGACCTTGTCTAACAGCCAAGTTTGACTGATGAGTTAGACTTGCAGGCTGGTGGAAAATCACTTGGATTAATGTGGACTTGGCTAGCTGTAGCCAAATGATTCTACTCAGAACCAGCAGAGATCCTGCTCGCATGGTAGTAATGTTCAAAGCAACAACAACTTGCATATATATATATATATATATATATATAGGGTCTTTCTTTCACATGGGGTAGCATCTGTTTGTGGGATATTGCTATACGCAAACTGGCTGCTGCGTTTTATCCACAAAATATATTATATATAAATATATATATTTAAAATAATAATATGGTCACTCAATACACCATTGCGTGTGGGACACTGCTGTTCTCAATTGGCTGCCGCGTTTTACCCACAAAACACTTTACTTTACGGTATATCCCGTAAAGCGCCTTGAGATGTCTTCACAACGTGATAAGGCGCCATATCAAATGCAAAAGTTATTATTAAACATCATCATCAGAAGCATTTCCAGATCGTGCGCAACACTGAGTAAAAGCTCGATAAAGTGCACCATAAAATGCCCCAACAAACCCGTCTATTCCAGTCTCAGTGGAACAGCCCTCATGCAGAACCCAGGCAGGCACATTTGTCCCAGCCTAGTCCAACACTCGGCTGTTTGACAACAACTCTATTGGCGAAGAGTTTTTATTTTCTAACAAAACACAAATGGTATTCATGAACTCATTTCATGCCTCAAAGGGCAAATGAGCCGTATAATGCGTTGCTGAGTAATACAGGCCAGGAATGCTCCCAGCTGTCTTGTGTTGAATTAGTCTGAGCCTCAGCAGTGAGTGGGAGAATAATGGAAGTTATAATGGAAGTTGGCTCTCTGAAAGAGTCATCCATTTCCTCCCACTCCCCTTTGTACTTTTTCTTTTTCGCATATCTTAACAGCTTTTATAAATTCCGTTTCAACCAGAGTTAGTTGGTACGAATATTAATCAGCTTCTAAGTGTTTTGTAAAAAAAACAATAATAATACTTGCATTTGTTATAGCGCCTTATCACGTCGTTGAGATGTCTCAAAGAGCTTCATAGAATATACTGTAAAGTGAATTGACTGTATACTTTGAAGGGTGGGGGCAAGAGAAAAGCACTGGTAAAAGTGGTTCCCATTCCCAATAGCTGGGTTTGAGTGCAATACAACAACAACATTTACACATGTGGTAGTGTCCTGGACTGCATTGTCCCAACAGTTTAATACTCTGCCAACACTAACCAACAGGTTGCCAACTAGTGATGATCCTAGTTATGATGAGAGATTGGAGAGGCTGGGTCTGTTTTCATTGGAGCAGAGGAGGTTGAAGGGGTCTCGATATAAGTTCACAATGAATAGGGGTCAATAGGGAGAAGCTATTTCCATTGGGCGGGGACTTGGAGATACAGCTCCAAGAACAGTGAAAGGAGTGCGGAATGTGCTGCCAATCAGGGTCGTGGAGTTGGGAGTCCACTTTTGCTTTCAAGAGGGAAGTAGACAGACATATCAGAGAGCAGCTTGAAGGGGAATGGGGGTAAGGTGGGGCGGTGGGACCAAAGCGATCTCCTTGCTCTATGAGCCGCTGCAGACTTGATGGGCCGAATGGCCTCATTCTGTGCTAAAGATTTCTATGTTTCTAGCAGCCTTTGGGGTTTAGTCCCAGAAGTTTGTGATGATAATAATAATAATCCTTGCATTTGATACAGTGCCTTATCACATCTTGGGAGATGTCTCAAAGCACTTCATAGGATTTACTGTAAAGTGTGTATTTTGTGGACAAAACGCTTCAACCAACTGCACCCAGCAGCGTCCCACAAACAGCCATGGGATGAGTGACCCAATTTTATTTGGGGGGTTGTTGGTCAGGACACTGTGAGAGAGGAACTCCCTCCTCTTCACGAATAGTGTCACGGGATCTTTAACATCCACATGAACAGGTAGACGGGACCTCAGTTTAACATCTCATCCGAAGGACATGACGCATATAAAGCAGACCCCTGTACCAAGTTATGACAGGAGAGTTACAGAGAGAAAAGAAAAATAATTTGCCGTCAATACTCGATTTGTCGCACGCCCCCACGTGTAATTTCTACATGATCTACCTTCTTGCAATTCAGCCCCAAGCTGTAACTCACACCGCACAATAGATCAGAAAGCAGCTTACAACAGCTGTTCAAAACATTTGCTTCCGACAGACCTGAAAAAGTCTTTGATCATCACAAACTACGGAAACGCTTCACTAACAAAACTGAGTCCTATTCCCCTGAGACCTGACTGTGCTGTCTCAGCCCAATTCCTACACATCCTTTGACGTGGCGTTTGCGTCATTCATCTCCCCACCCTGCCACGACAAACAATTGTTAATAATAATCTTTGCGTATAGCGCCTTATCACATCTTCGAGACGTCTCAAAGCGCTTCACAGTGAATAGACGTATATTTTATGGGCAGAATGCGGCAGCCAATTGCACACAGCAGTGTCCCTCAAACAGTCATGGATTGATTTTTTTTAAAAGGGATTTATTATTCCCGGGAATCGAACCCAGGTGCTCTCGCTTGCGAGGCCAGCGGGCTAACCACTACGCTACAGGATTGAGGCCACCCGTTGCAACAAGAACATAAGAATTTGCTGGACAAAAGAAGACCAAGGACCATTCAGTTCACCTTCCACCATTCTGGCAGTCGCATGACATGTAGTGTCCCAAACTATATATTGTATTCCACAATATTATTTCCTAAAAGAAACCTATCTAATTTGCTTTTGAAAGAATCAAGACTTTCTGTTTCCACCGTTCTGCCTACTGCTCGCTCACTGAAATAGTGTTTCTGCAGATTTTTTTTTGAATTTACACTATCCTTCAATTGCAGGCTGTATCCTCCGGTTCTAATGTTCTGGACAAGTTAAAACAGCTCATTATATTATCTATTCCCTTCAGAATCTCAAAGACCGTAATCATATCACCTCAACCTTCTGTTCTCCAGTTGCCCAGTTTATCTAATCGCTCCTCGTAATCTGGTCTCTCTATCCCCTCAATCATTTTGGTTGCCCTCCTCTCAATCGCTGCAATATCCTTTTTTATATTGCAGTGACCAGAACTGAACACAGTATTTCAAGTGAGGTCACACCACCAATGATTTATTCATTTTCAGATTTTCCTTTGATTTGCTCACTCACTCCAATAGTGTTTTCGCAGATTTGTTTCAAATTCACCCCCTTCAATTGCTGGCCCTGTCCTCTGGTTGTATTGTTCTGGACAAGATAAAACAGCTTATCATGGTGTACATTAACCAGTCCCTTGAGAATCTTAAAAAGCGTAGTGTACTTACACGTTCTGAACTTTTCTTTCAGTGCATCCAGATCTTCTTTCAAGGCAACTTGCATCCAGACCAATCCAATACAGGCCACCACACAAGCAACCAACAGCACAAACGCACACAGAGGGTAGCATATCTTGCAACATTTCATGAAACCTCCCCTGCAATGGGAAAAAGAAAAGCTGGATTGAAATGAGGAGTGAGATCAGGAGGAGTTTTTTTTATATATAAAAGCAGCGAGTTGCTACGGTCTGGAATGGCACTGCCTGAAAGAACGGTGGAAGCAGATTCAAGAATAATTTTCATTTTCCAGAGGGCAATTGGATACTTGAAAATAAAAAAAGTTGCAAGCCTCGGGGGGAAAAAAGCGACGGAGTGGGACTAGTTGGTAGCTTTTTCATACAGCCAGCGCAGGCACGATGGGCCGAATGGCCTCCTTCCGTTCTGTAGGATTCTAAATGGACATGAAACGGACGATGGAGTGCAACTTTCACCACCGACCTTGAACTCCTCCAGTAAATGGTAAACACTGATACACAGCACCCAGGAAGTGACATTTGGTCATTTCCTGTTCAACGAGCGACATAAGGGACCTGCACCTTGATAAACATTTATTCGTGCGGGAAGCAAGCTAATTAGTCAGAAGCTGGGTGTATTGTGTTTCTGGTTAGCACAGGTCAGTAATATTTTGTCCCATTCATTATCACTTATAGCGTTTTTCTCTCTGAGACAAAAGCTCGCTGTTCAACTATCTAGGAGTATTGGTGGCTAGGATATGGAGATAAATTTCTTTCTGGTTTCTGAGTGGAGCGGGATTGTGGTCCACCTGAACAGGCACATACATCCCAGTGATGCTGCACTGGACAGGACACAGACACCACTCCTCACAACTCATTCCATTCGTTTCTCTACCCACCTGAAGGAGGATGTCAGATCATATTACAATTTACATGTATTTAAAGGGTATCTCAAAGACGCTCTACAATGCTGGTTAGGCACCTGAGCTCGGGGGGGGGGGGGGGGTGCACCAAGAAAGGTGGGCAGAAGAAAGATAATAACTCTTGCATTTGATGTAGCGCCTTATCATGTTGTTGAGATGTCTCAATATACTGAACATACTGTAAGTGAATAGACTGTATATTTTGTGGGCTGCAATTGCATACAAATAGTAGTAGATTGAGTGATCAATTTTTTTGGAGGGGATTATTACATCTGGATCCGCCAATCGACTAGCAATCAGGTTCCTACTTACAGCTAGGTAAACAGAGTAAGGAAACTTGCCTAATGTTTCGCCCCGCCTGGGAATCGAACCCGAGTCCTCTCGCTTGCGAGGCAATCACTCTAATCAATACACTAAGTTGACCGAAAGCACCGTCAAAGAGGTACATTGCGAGATGGCACTTGGACGTGGGACCGAGTGGGAGGAAGTCAGGAATGGATGCAAAATGGCTGAAAGTCTGCCTGCCGATGGCGGGGGAGACGGGTTGTGAAGCAGCCTGGCGTTCCCTGACTGAAGGCAGCAACATGAACAAGTGAACGAAAGCAAGAAAAGTTAACTTAATTCTGTTCCTTGTTACTTTCCTGAGCATTTTTAGGCAAATATTCAGAAATGCTTAACTTAGATTGTGAAATCATAGTTAGATCAGTTACTTGCGAAATTATTTTATGGGTTAATCATTTTGTATCAGCTGTCTTGCCCATCAAAGCAGTACACCCGGCAAATACAGTGCAAGTGCAACACATTGAAACACAAGAGTATTTTTTATAAGTATTATTATTAAGTATTATTCATACTGGTCGCCACAGTACAAAAAGGATATTGGAGAAATCGAGAAGATACAGAGGAGGGCTGATTGAAGGGGGGGAAATTCAGAACGAATCTACCCAACACTATTTCAGTGAGCGAATAGTGAACCCAGGGAGATAGTTGATTGAAGTAGGAAGTGTTGATTCTTTCAAACACAGATTAGAGTTTTCTTTTAGGAAATAACATCATGGGATACAGTACATACGCAGTTCGGGACATATGTGAGCGAATGTGACCCGTCAGGAAGGTGGAAGGTGAACTAGATACACTTAGTCTTTTTTCATCGAGCACTAGCATTTCTTATTGTTCAGTTTCTCTTCCCCGATCCCCTGGCCGACAAATCCCCAAAATAAAATCCCTCATTCACTTCATGGCTGATTGCGGGGCATTGCCACGCGCAAACTGGCTGCTGCGTTCATCCACAAAATACACAGTCACTGCACCTTACAGTATAGCCTGCGAAGCGGTTTGAGACGTGCTCCCCACGTGAAAGGTGCTGTGTCAACTATAGGGATGTTTTTATATCTTTCAAACTCTTTCAAGACCTTATTTTAAATGTAAACATTAGATCGTTGTTATATAAGATTGGGGTTGTGGGTGGGGGGGTGGGGGGGGCTTGAAGCCCCACATTGACCCAGAGGCGAGAGAGCGCTACCAACCGAGCCAACCTGACAGCGTATTACATTAAGAAACAAAACTGTCACTACACTCGTCGGTAACTTCCTGTGAACCACTGTGAGAGGTCTCAGCCATCAGATAAGGCACTGCATCAACTTATACATCAGTGAGCACTCGTTATTGATTATTAGTTAGTGTTAGTGATCACTTGTTACTGATCGTCAAATTTTAGTGATCACTTGTGATCATTAATTAGTGATCACCTGTTATTGGTCCTCAACCGCTGATCGCTTGTTGGTATTGGTTATCAATTAGAGAGTATCTGTTATTGATTACTGTGCCCGTCACTTACTTGACGAAGGAGGAGCCGGTGGCGGTTATTGATTGTCAATTGCTGTTATCAGTAATATCAAATATTACTGATATCTTTATTGCTGTTTATTTATTGCTAATCAGTGGTCACCTGTTGTTATCGATTACTGATCACGTTACTGATTATCAACAGTGTTTATTTGTATTACCCGTTAAATATCGATTACATGTTATGACTTAATTATTGTTATTATTGTTTACAAATCAGTGAGCACTCGTTATTGATTATTAGTCAGTGATCACTTGTTACTGATCGTCAATTAGTGATCACTTGTAGTTAGTGATCGTTAATCAGTGATCACCTGTTATTGGTCCTCAACCGCTGATCGCTTGTGGGTATTGGTTGTCAATCAGAGAGGATGGGCTATTGATTACTCACTTGACGAAGGAGGAGCCGGTGGCGCTCTGCGGGAACTCGTCGTACTCGGAGGTGGACTCGGAGTCGGACGCGGCGGCCTCGGGCCTGAGCAGGAGCTGGTGTCCGGAGCTGCTCGGCTTCTTCTTCTTGCCGTCGGCGGTCAGGCCGATCAGCGCGTTCAGCTCCTTGCGCTTCTTCATCCTCTTGTGCTGCGGCTGCTGCTGAGGCGCCGCCACCGCCGCCGCCCTGTACTGCACATCGAGCGGCCCGAGCTTGCTATCCAGCGTGGGGAGCGGCAGCGGGCCGGCCTGGCATGCGGACACACAGCGCCGTCAGCGGGAGGGGGGGGCGGGGGTGCCGCGGCCTGTCGCCCGGGGCAGGAGGATGTGTCTGCCGCCTGATCAGGAGCCGCGGGCCTGGTTGGCGCAGGCGCAGAGTGACAAGCCGCGGCCCGGCCCGCTCGACGCAGGCGCAGTGCGAGCGGCCGCCATCATTGGCCGGGCGAGGGCGCAGGCGCAGCGCGAGCCGCTGTCGTCACTGGGCAGGCGGGCGCAGGCGCAGTGAGCGGTGGCCGACGCCGGGGCTCGGCCCTCCCGGTGGCTCCGCCACGCACCACGTGCCCCGCGCGAGAACTGGCAGATCTACACGCACGAACCCCGATATAACGCTGCCCTCTACACAGCACTGCCCCCCATATAACGCTGCCCCCCCATATAACGCTACCCCCCTATAACGCTGCTCCCTACATAGCACTGCCCCCCCATATAACGCTGCCCCTACATAGCACTGCCCCCCCTCCCATATAACGCACCCTATATAGCACTGCCCCCCCCATATAACACTGCCCCCTACACAGCACTGTCCCCCCATATAACACTGCCCTCTACACAGCACTGCCCCCCCCCATATAACACTGCCCCCCCATATAACACTGCCCCCTACACAGCACTGTCCCCCCATATAACACTGCCCTCTACACAGCACTGCCCCCCCCATATAACACTGCCCCCCCATATAACACTGCCCCCCCATATAACACTGCCCCCATATAACACTGCCCCCTACACAGCACTGTCCCCCCATATAACACTGCCCCCTACACAGCACTGCCTCCCCCCATATAACGCTGCCCCTACATAGCACTGCCCCTCATATAACGCTGCCCTCTACACAGCACTGCCCCCCCCGATATAACGCTGCCCCCTACACAGCACTGCCTCCCCCCCATATAACACTGCCCCCTACACAGCACTGTCCCCCATATAACACTGCCCTCTACACAGCACTGCCCCCCCCATATAACACTGCCCCCCATATAACACTGCCCCTACACAGCACTGTCCCCCATATAACACTGCCCCTACACAGCACTGCCTCCCCCCATATAACGCTGCCCCTCCATAGCACTGCCCCTCCCGATATAACACTGCCCCCTACACAGCACTGCCTCCCCCCATATAACGCTGCCCTCTACACAGCACTGCCCCCCGATATAACGCTGCCCCCTACACAGCACTGCCCCCCCATATAACGCTGCCCCCTCCATAGCACTGCCCCCCATACACTGCCCTCTACACAGCACTGCCCCCCATATAACGCTGCCCTCTACACAGCACTGCCCCCCCCATATAACACTTCCCTCTACACAGCACTGCCCCCCCATATAACACTGCCCCCTACACAGCACTGCTCCCTCATACAACACTGCCCTCTACACAGCACTGCCCCCCCATATAACACTGCCCTCTACACAGCACTGCCCCATATAACACTGCCCCCCATATAACACTGCCCCCTACACAGCACTGCCTCCCCCCATATAACACTGCCCCCCATATAACACTGCCCCCTACACAGCACTGCCTCCCCCCATATAATGCTGCCCCCTCCATAGCACTGCCCCCCCCATATAATGCTGCCCCCCCATATAACGCTACCCCCCTATAACGCTGCTCCCTACATAGCACTGGCCCCACCCATATAACGCTGCCCCCCATATAACGCTGCCCCCTATATAGCACTGCCCCCTCTCCCATATAACGCTGCCCCCTACATAGCACTGTCCCCCCCTCCCATATAACGCTGTGCCCTACATAGCACTGACCCCCCCATATAACACTGCCCTCTACACAGCACTGCCTCCCCCCATATAACGCCCCCTCCATAGCACTGCCCCCCCATATGACGCTGCCCCCCTATAACGCTGCTCCCTACATAGCACTGCCCCCCCCATATAACGCTGCCCCCCCTCCCATATAACGCTGCCCCTACATAGCACTGTCCCCCCCCCCATATAACACTGGCCCCTACATAGCACTGACCCCCCACCCCCCCCCAGCACCCCATATAACGCTGGCCCCTACATAGCGCTGCCTCCACCCCCATATAACGCTGCTTCCCCCCCATATAATGTTGCTTCCCCCCCGGTGTAATGCTGCTTTCCCCCCCCCCCAATATATGGCTGCTTCGCCCACAAAAAACGCACACATGCCTGTATAGTGATACAGTGTATACTGTGAATCTCTTTGGGACGTCCTCGCAATGCGAAGTCACCAAATGAAATTAATATTATTATATAGCACCGTCTGCCCATATGGCCCAATACACCACTGTCCCCCCATTGTTCCTTGATGCACCCCGATAAGCAAGCATTACCCCCTGAATCGATATGTATGACTGTTTGTGGAACACCGCTGTGCACAATTGTACCCACAAAATACACAGTCACTCAACTTTACAGTATATCCTGTGAAGCGCTTTGAGACGTCTTGACGTGATGAGGCGCTGTATCAAATACATCAAATTATTATAACCACAGACCTGTTTAGATCTCGTTAAGGTGTTCAGGTGGTCATTGAAGATCTCCACATCGCTGTTGGAAATGAGAAGGGAGTCTTTCTGCAGTGACCTGGCTGATATTCCCCCGATAAATGATATCTAATTATGCACAATCTGATAATTATTTGGGGAGGACAAGTTTGCAGGGCTATGGGGAGAGAGGGGGGAGTGGGATTGATTTGGAAAAATCTTTTGAAGCGTGTTGAGACATCTTAACATGAAAAGCGCTGCGTCATTTCTGTACTTGCCCTGTACGGAATTATGCAATGCTCCCTCCCCTGCCCCCCCCCCCCCCCCCACCCCACACGTACACACGCACGCACACGCACACACACACAAATACTCTCACTCTCTCTCTCTTGGTTGGCTAAGTTACCTGTGACTCCATTTGCTCAGTGTGGGTAACGAAAACAATCCTCACATTTGATGCAGCGTCTGTGACATCAGACATCTCAAAGCACTTCGCATGAGCAATGCTGTCAAACACAGTGAACGTAGTCTGTTGGCGAACACGGCTGCCAAATTAAGCACAGCAAAATATATCACAAGCAGCCTTGAAGTGAATGATTAATTTTTACTCGAGGGGAAGGGAGGGGTCGGGATGTCAGGCAGGGACACTACCCAACAGAAACTCCCTTTCCCTTTCGCACAACACCACGGGATCGTTAACGTCCGCCCGAACAGGACTCAGACGGATAGTGTTGAAACCAAAGAAACTTTATGGAACGCAAGAGCAAACAGTTTAAATCTTGAATAAAAATAAGTGACTGTGGAACTTCACCTTTGGGGCATACTTGCCTAAAAGATTGCTGCGTTGCGAGACTGATGACCGGTCATTTTGTCCTCCTCAGCCACAGTAAACCCTGCCCTCTCTGTTTGCGTAAAGCCTCCTGTTGCACAGGGTCAACGTATTGCCAGGGTAATACTTGCCCAGGCCTCTGTGAGGTGCCCGATCCTTTCAGATTAAACGTTTCACGCGTCGCTCAGTTTGGGATGTGTTGGCTGCCTGCGGAATTGCTCTCCGGCAGAAGGAGAGGGAGGTTACAGAGGAAAGAGTAATGTTTGCATTTGATACAACAACAACAACCACTTGCGTTTACACAGCGCTCTTCACACGGAGCAGCGTCTTGGAGCGCTTGGCAGTGGGGAGAGAGAGAGGTGGGAGGTGACCATAAGCTCGCTTGAAGAGGAAGGTCTTCAGTCGAGATCTAAAAGAGGGGAAACTGGGGCTGAGCCGGAGGGATTTGGGTGAGAGAGATAAAGTGTCCTTATTCACGTCATCAAGACGTCGCCAAGTTCTTCACAGGTTATGCTGTAAAGTGGAGTGACTGAGTAATTTGAGGCTGAAACGCAGCAGCCAATTGCACAGCGCAGTGTCCCACAAACAGTCATGGAGTGAGCGACCGATTTCATCTGGAGTGTTGTTGTCCAGGACACTGGGAGAGAGAAACTTTGTTCTCTAGTCGAATAGTGCCATGGGATCTTTAACTTCCACCTGAACAGGCAGATGGGACCTTGGTTAACATCTTATGCAAAGGAAGGCACCCGTGATAAACACTGCTCTCCCTCCCCGTGTTTAAAGCCCTAACTTGCACTTTCCGTCATTTTCCCCTCCCTCAGACCACACATCTCAGGCTAATTTTATGAACATTATTATCATTATCACTGAAAGTGCTTATGACTCCGACACGATTTGATTGTGTCTTGCATGGGTTTGATGAAGGATTAAGAGATCTCTCTATGTGGCTCATTCACTTGCCTGTTATTCAGCTGCTATTTTGGAGTCCTGTAGCTCAGTGGTTAGAGTGCTCTCGCAAACGAGAGGACCTGGATTCAATTCCTGGGAAAAGCCAAACCTCAAGCAAGTTTTCTTATTCCACCCGCCTCTGTTTACCTAGGAGTAAGTATAAACCTGGCTGTTAATTCCTCAAAATAAAATAATAATAATTTGGTCACTCAATCCACGGGTGTTTGTAGGACGCTACTGTGTGCAATTGGCTGCCACGTTTCGCCCACAAAATATACAGGCAATTCACTTTACAGAATAATCTGTGAAGCACTTTGGGGCATCTCAGAGTGATAAGATGCTATATCAAATGTAAGGATTATTATTATTATTATTATTTTGCTTGTTCCACATTACGTTCCCAGGCAGTATTAAAGAGCCTGTCCTTGAAGAGTCCCTGACTCACAGCTGGCCCATATCTTGTGCAGTTAATGAACTTGACCTTGAAGAGACTTGACTGAAGAGCTTGACAGAGCAGTTTGGCTACTTGCTCAATCTATTGACTTGGCTGAAAGTTAGGTGATTTGGAAGTTGTTGTTCTAGTTGACGATGCTCTCAGATAAAAGCTCTCCTTCACTTCCCAGCTGTTTGTGGGATGTTGCAGTGAGCTAATTTGCTGCGGTATTCCCCTGCAAAATACACAGTCACTATACTCAACAGTTATTACGTTTCAATGTTATGGGCGCTATCTCACATGTCACGGATTGTCTTTCTGTGAGGCTTTTATATTAAATGTGCATCTATCCACGGATGCACACTCCACCTCACCGAGACAGTTCAGAACCTTGGCATCTTGTTTGACCCTCAATTGTCCTTTCTACCCCACATCCATGCCATGACCCGCTCTGCTTTCCCCCCACCTCCGCAACATCGCCCGACTCCGCCACTGCCTCACCCCCTCACTGCCGAAACCCTTAAATCCATGCATTCAGCACATCTAGGCTCAACTACGCCAACTGTCTGCTTGTCGGCCTCCCCAACTCTTCCCTCCACAAGCTGCAGATCATCCAGAACTCTGCAGCTCATGTCCCCTTCCGCAGGCTCCATGACCCCATCACCCCCACCCTTGCCCGGCTCCACTGTCTCCCCCATTCCCAGAGTATAAAGTTCAAAATCCTTGTCCTCGTCTACAAGGCCCACTCCCTACTTCTGCGATCTGCTAAACCCCCGTCCACTCCCTGCGCTCAGCAGGTTCAGGACTGCTCTAGGTTCCCCGTCTGGCCCACCCAACCATCAGGGGCTGGGCCTTCAGCCTTTCTGCCTCCATTCCACATTCTCTTTGCCTCGCTCCCTCCCTTGCCTCCTTCAGGGCGCGTGTCAAAACTCTCCTCTTCGACCGAGCCTTCAGCCACCCTCCCTGCCCTCTCCCGATCCAAACCATCAGCTTGGGTCCAAACCCCTGATGGTCCAGAGCCTTGGGACGTTCTCCCAACGTGAAGGGCGCCGTAAATGGCATTTTGTATTGTGTTGTATTGTAAATGATAAATATAAATGTTTCTCTTTTTCTTACTTTCTCGTTCTTTCTCATTCTCTTTCTCATTCTCTTTCATTCATTCTCTCTCTTTCTCATTTTTCTCTCTCTCTTTATTTGGGACCTCTTTTATCTACCATTTTCATAAACGACCTTGCAAGCACAGTGGCTAAAATTGAGATAACACAAAACTAATGAAGGTGGTAGACTGCAGAAATGAACAGGACAGGTTACAAGGTGGACTTGAACACACTTGGGCAGATGGATAGCAGATGAAATTCAATTTAGAGAAATGCAAAGTGCTTCACATGGGGACAAAAAAATCCAGGAAAGATCTATTATTTAAATGGAAAATAATCCGTAAGGAAAATGAAAAGGACCTGGGGATCCTGATCGACAATAAATTGAAGCTATCGCAGCAGTGCTCGATCGGGAGAATACAGAGAAGGGCAACCAAAATGATTGAGGGGACGGAGGGATTGGACTATGGGGAGCGATTAGATAAACTGGGCTTGTTCACGCTGGAGAAGAGAAGGTTGAGAGGCGATATGATTACGGTCTTTAAGATTCTGAAGGGACTAGATAATGTGGACCACATTAAGCTGTTTTATCTTGTACTGAACGGTAGAGCCAGAGGACACGGCCTGAGATTGAAGGGCGGTGTAAATTCAGAATAAATCTGCTGAAGCACTACTTTAGTGAGCGAGTAGGTAGTAAACCTATGGAACAGGCTCCCTCAGGAGACAGACGGTGGAAGCAGAAAGTGTCGATTCTTTCAAGAATAGGTGAGGATAGATTTCTATTAGGAAACAATATCTCGGTTTACGATGTATAGTTGGGGACACGACACGTCAAGCGACTGCCAGGATGGTGTCAGGCGAACTGGGTGGACATCAGTCTTCTTTCGCCAGCAAATTCTTCGAAAGGAATTTCTCTCTCGGGGTGTTCTTGCCAACAATCCCCCGGATGCAATCAGTCGCTCGCTCCATGGCTGTTTGTGGGGACTCACTCATCAACGGAGCTTAGCTACAAAAGCAACCCAAGTCCAAAAGTTACAAACAAAAACTTGACAGCACAGAAATTCAGATCCTTCCACCCCCCCCACACACATACACACCACCCCCACACCGCTCTGCCTCTCCTCTGGTGCTCCAGGTTGCCCCGCGTGAAGGGTGCGCTATACAAATGCAAGTTGTAGTCCAATTACTTTTTTTTTGCAGGATTTCTGGCAGTTTGCGGGTTCTCTGCAATAAAAGCCAAGTCACGTCTCTGGGGCAAAGGGCTGGTGGGGGCGGAGTGGGGTGGAGAGAAGGGAGCGAGAAAAGAGAAAGAGGGGAAAGAAGGAGAGGGGATGGAAAGAGAAGAGTGGAATTGAGAGAAAGAAGCAAAAAGAGGAAGGAAAGAGAGAGGGAGAGAGAGAGAGAGAGAGAGAGAGGAGGGGAATGATGCCGGAATTAAATACACCCCGAGGCTGGAGGGAGGAGCAGGGACTGAGTGACAGACACCAGTGTGTGTCTGTGACAGTCTCTCTCAGTCTCAGTGCGTGTGTGTGAGTGTGTGAGAGTGAGTGACAGTGCCTCTGAATCACTGTCAGTCTCAGTGCCAGTCAGTCAGTGCCTCCCAGTCAGTGCCGTGTGTGTGTCAGTGCCAGGGCTCAGGTTGGGGTTGGTTTGGGGGCTAAGGAGCTGAGGCTGAGGGCTGGGGTTGGGGGGCTGAGGGGTCAGGTTGGGGCTGGGTTTGGGGGCTGGGGTTTGGGGGTTGGAGCTGAGGGTTGGGGTTAGGGGCTGAGGGCTGGGGGGGTGGGGCTGAGGGTTGGGGTTAGGGGCTGAGGGTGGGGTTGGGGGGTTGGGGCTGAGGGTGGGGTTGGGGGTTGGGGCTGAGGGTGGGGTTGGGGGGTAGGGATGAGGGTGGGGTTGAGGGGATGGGGCTGAGGGTGGGGTTGGGGGGTAGGGGTGAGGGTGGGGTTGAGGGGATGAGGGTGGGGTTGGGGGTTGGTGCTGAGGGCTGGGGTTAGGGGTTAGGGGCTGAGGTTGGGGTTGGGGGTTGGGGTTAGGGGCTGAGGGCTGGGGCTGGGGGCTGAGGGTTGGGGGCTGAGGGTTGGGGGCTGAGGGTTGGGGCTGAGGTTGGGGCTGAGGGTGGGGTTGGGGGCTGAGGGTGGGGTTGGGGCTGAGGGCTGGGGTTAGGGGCTGAGGGTGGGGTTGGGGCTGAGGGCTGGGGTTAGGGGCTGAGGGTGGGGTTGGGGCTGAGGGCTGGGGTTAGGGGCTGAGGGTGGGGTTGGGGCTGAGGGCTGGGGTTAGGGGCTGAGGGTGGGGTTGGGGCTGAGGTTGAGGGTGGGGTTGGGGGTTGGGGTTAGGGGCTGAGGTTGGTGCTGAGGGTGGGGTTGGGGGCTGGGGATGGGGGCTGAGGGTGGGGGGCTGGGGCTGGGGGCTGCCCCGCTGCCCCTGGCCCTGTGGGTGGGGGTGGCCGCGCTGTGCGGAGTGGCCGCGCTGCTGGTGAAGGTCTCGGGGCTGCTCAGCAGGAGATGGCGGCAGCACAGAGCGCTCCTGCCCTTCCCCGGTCCCCACAGGCACTGGCTGCTCGGGCACCTGCAGGAGGTAAGGCAGCCCCACCGGGGGGGGGGGGGGTGTCAGTGTGGGGGGGTGTCAGTGTGGGGGGGTGTCAGTGTGGGGGGTGTCAGTGTGGGGGGGTGTCAGTGTGGGGGGGCAGTGTCTGGGGGTGTCTGTGTGTGGGGGTGTCTGTGTGTGGGGGTGTCTGTGTGTGGGGGTGTCAGTGTCTGGGGGTGTCAGTGTCTGGGGGTGTCAGTGTCTGGGGGTGTCAGTGTCTGGGGGTGTCAGTGTCTGGGGGTGTCAGTGTCTGGGGTGGTCAGTGTCTGGGGGTGTCAGTGTCTGGGGGTGTCAGTGTGTGGGGGGGTGTCAGTGTGTGGGGGGGTGTCAGTGTGTGGGGGGGTGTCAGTGTGTGGGGGGGTGTCAGTGTGTGGGGGGGTGTCAGTGTGGGGGGGTGTCAGTGTCTGGGGGTGTCAGTGTCTGGGGGTGTCAGTGTCTGGGGGTGTCAGTGTCTGGGGGTGTCAGTGTCTGGGGGTGTCAGTGTGGGGGGGTGTCAGTGTCTGGGGGTGTCAGTGTCTGGGGGTGTCAGTGTGGGGGGGGGGTGTCAGTGTGGGGGGGTGTCAGTGTCTGGGGGTGTCAGTGTGTGGGGGTGTCAGTGTCTGTGGGTGTCAGTGTCTGGGGGTGTCAGTGTCTGGGGGTGTCAGTGTGGGGGGGTGTCAGTGTGGGGGGGTGTCAGTGTCTGGGGGTGTCAGTGTCTGGGGGGGTCAGTGTGTGGGGGGGTCAGTGTGGGGGGGGGGTCAGTGTGTGGGGGTGTCAGTGTGGGGGCTGGTGTCAGTGTGTGGGGGTGTCAGTGTGGGGGTGTCAGTGTGGGGGGGGTGTCAGTGTGGGGGGGGGTCAGTGTGGGGGGGGTCAGTGTGGGGGGGGGTCAGTGTGGGGGGGGGTCAGTGTGGGGGGGGGTCAGTGTGGGGGGGGGTCAGTGTGGGGGGGGTCAGTGTGGGGGGGGTCAGTGTGGGGGGGGGGGGGGTCAGTGTGGGGGGGGGTCAGTGTGGGGGGGGGTCAGTGTGGGGGGGGGGTCAGTGTGGGGGGGGGTGTCTGTGTGGGGGGGGTGTCTGTGTGTGGGGGTGTCTGCGTGTGGGGGTGTCTGTCTGTGTCTGTCTGTCTGTGTGTGTGTGTGTGTGTGTGTCTGTCTGTGTGTGTGTCTGTCTGTCTGTCTGTGTGTGTGTGTGTGTGTGTGTGTGTGTCTGTGTGTGTGTGTGTGTCTGTCTGTGTCTGTCTGTGTGTGTCTGTGTGTGTGTGTGTCTGTCTGTCTGTGTGTGTGTGTGTCTGTCTATCTGTGTGTGTGTGTGTGTGTGTCTGTCTGTCTGTGTGTGTCTGTGTGTGTGTGTGTCTGTCTGTCTGTGTGTGTGTGTGTGTGTGTGTGTCTGTCTATCTGTGTGTGTGTGTGTGTGTGTCTGTCTATCTGTGTGTGTGTGTGTCTGTGTGTGTGTGTGTCTGGGCACACGAGTTAGGAGTTAGGGCTGGAAAGCTGTGGTTGTGTGTGTGTGTGTGTGTGTGTGGTGGGGGGTGAGGGGGAAGTGGAGTAACCGGTTATACTTCCTCCTGTTAACAATGTCCTGATTTTGGTACAAACCAACCGGGTCAGGACACCCGGTATCCCATCAATTAATTCCCATTTCTGCTCAGTCTTGTGTGTGTCCCTTTACAAAAAGTGTATATTCTCACGTATTCCTTTCCGCTAAAAAATCCTGGGCGCAGATTACGAACGTGAGATTTATTCCCCCGATTCTATCTGGATGTTATCTGTCCATATTTATGCGTTTCCAACGCCTTGGGACGCCCTCCCGACAAGAACGGTGGAGCTTGGTGGTTAGAGCACTTGCCTTGAAAGCGAGAGGGACCTGGGTTCGATTCCCGGGCAACGTGAAATGTTGGGCAAGTTTCCTCGCTCCCCACCCCACACCTATGCCTCTATTTAGCCAAAGCCTTACCTAATCTCCGCCCACCTCAGCTCCTGTTGACGCTGCAATTATAAGTGTGTTATGGAGCATGCTGATCAGATATCATTGCTTATGTGTGTACCTCAGCCAAGCTGAGTTCAATCCCCGGCAGGTCAGGGCGAAACCTTGGGCAAGTTTCCTTACTCCACACAGAGCCTAATAATAATCCCTCCCAAACCCAAAACAATAATAAATTGGTCATTTTCAATCCACGACTGTTTGTGGGACATTGCTGTGCGCAATTGGCTGCCGCGTTCGCCCACAAATATACAGTCAGTTCACTTTACAGTGTGTTCTGTGAAGCGCTTTGGGACGTCCTCCCGACGTGAAGAGCGCTATATCAAATGCAAGGATTATTATTATTATTAAGTACCTGTTTAAAGCCAAGTTCATAACAGCTGGTGAAAGGAGTCAGAGAGTCTTGGAAATTTATTTATTTCTCAACACACATTGACTCGGAGATCACTATTGTTATGCTCTTGGCTCCAAACCCTGTTTGTTCTCCTCTGCCTACCAATACACAGTCTCCTAGCCGTCCTTTTAACTCCTGCAGAGCTGTGCTCACCGGTTGATCAAACGTCGTCGCGTCAACTGAGACTAGGTGGAATTTCAGGGCTTTAATCTACACTTCATAAAATGGAATATACAACAGCAACAAATTACATTCACATTCACACAGAGCCTTTCACGTTGGGAGGACATCCCAAGGCGCTGGACAGTCAAGGATTTGGACCTCAGCTGGGGGTTGGGATCAGGAAGGGTGGAGGGCGGGAAGGGTGAGAGTAGGAGGGTGACTGAAGATGTGGCCGAAGACGAGGGTCTTGAGACGGGCCTTGAAGGAGGTGAGGGAGGGAAGCGGGGTGAAGGGACTGTGGATGGAGTTCCAAACGGTGGGGGCAGAGAGACTGAAGTCAACTAGAATCTCTCCCTCCATGTCTCCATTAGCTGGTGAGACTCCAGCAGTTACCCCAACACACACTCTGGGGATCCCCCCAAGCCTTGGCTTTTGCCAACCTGCACATAATACCTTTTGGAATTAGGTAAAGCAGGGAGCGTCCCTCCAGGGAACGAGAGAGAGAGAGAGAGCATTCCATTCCAATCTATCTCTGGGATTTCCATGTGTAGGTGTGATGCACGGAAATCTCAAATTTGTTTTGGAGACTCTTAAGCAACGGTGATGGGTTTCCGCTTGTGTCAGGCTTGGAAACAAATTGTCAAGATGGTTTAGATTTCATGACTGAAGTGACAAGTGATGGGTGTGTGGAACAGAGACATAGGCAAGATTTTCAGCAGGGACTAGAAGATTTTCGGGTAACTATTTTTGGCAAAGAAATTGATCGAGGGGGTGGCGAGTGAGAGATTGTTTTTGTGTGTGTGTTAGGTGAAAACGTGGAAACGTTCACAGTCAGTTCACTTTACAGTATATTCTGTGAAGCGCTTTGAGACAACAAAGACGTGATAATGCGCTCTATCAAATGCAAGGATTATTATCAGTATTATTATTATTATTAAACTCAGCACTGCCTACAAAGTGTCCAAACCAGACTGAGAATTCCACAAGTGCTTTGATGTCAGAGAAAGAAACAAGTGTAGTTTTTGTAAGAAAAACGTTTTCATTGAGATTTCGAGATTGGTCAGATAAATTGAGATCTTTTGCGATCTTTTCCCCTTTTCCAATAAAAGGAATCATTTTCCCGTGTTACCTTATCGGATACTCCGTTCGTCAGATGAGACGTTAAGCCAAGCTCCCTGTCCGTACCCTGTCCAGGCGGACTTTAAAGATCCCGCGGTGCTATTTGGAAAAACAAGAGTAGGCAGTTTCTGTCACTCTCCCCGTGTCCTAACCAACAATCCCCCCGGATAAAATCAGTCACTCAATTCATGGCTGTTTACAGGGATAACACTGCATGCAAATTAGCTGCTGCGTTCAGCTACAAAACACAGTCACTACACTTCGCTGAAAAATCCTGTGAATCGCTTTGAGATGTACTCCTAATGTGAAAGGCGAATGCAAGGGATTATTATATTTTTCTGATGTTTCATGCCGTTCTAATCCTTGTAGAGTCCTGTAGCTGAGTGGTTAGAGCACTTGTCTCACAAGCAAGAGGAGCTGGGTTCGATTCCCGGGTGGGGCGAAACCTTAGGCAAGTTTCCTTACTCCGCACGTCTCTTTTTCCCCAGCAGGAAGTAGGAACCCAGTTTTTAGTCGATTAGCAGATCACTTTTCCGGTGTAATAATCCCTTCCAAGCGCAATTGGCTGCTGGGCTTCACCAACAAAATACACGGTCACTCTACAGTGTGTCCTGTCAAGCACTTTGAGGCGTCTCGATGCTGTGATAAGGCGCTATATCAAATGCCAGGATTATCTGTTGCAGTTCTCTCATGATGGGACAGATTTGGCCAAGTGTGTGATTTGGGCCAACACCTACCCCTACGCTTTCCCGCTGTGGTTCGGCCCATTCATCGCCTTCCTGAACATCTGCCACCCGGATTATGTGAAGACCGTCCTCAACAGCTCGGGTAAGGATGGTGAGGAATGGCAGGACTGAGCCAAGGCCATTGGTGGGGTGGGGTGGGAGGTGTGCAGATAATAATATGGTCTTTTAGTTTTTATCAACTGGTCTTCTTGATGACGTTCACGAACAATGTGCTACTTATCACTGACCAGGAGGCTGAGATTCTTCCTCACTCTGGAGTCTTCTCAGAGCTGAATGGCCCCAAGGTGCTGTGTTTGGCAATGGATGTCGGAATCGAGTCAGCCCTCTGTGACGGTCTCCAGTCCGATTCCTGAGCCAATTGGGTCCACGGTACCAGGGCACTCACTGCTGATGACAGCGCAGTCCAGCCTGGCTCATCGGCAGAACCTGGATGGGCAGACAGTTATTGGGGGCAGGGAATCCTCCCACTCAGCTCCTGTTAACCCCTCAAGTCAAGCTAAAGTCCTATCAGGTAGGGTAGTCCTAGCTGGACAAGCAAGAGGAAAGCTTGCCAATCAGCGATATCAATGGCCAAGCTGTGGGGGTTTAGCTGGTTAGACTCCAGCAGTTACCTCAACGCACACTCTGGGGATACCCAAGCCTTGGCTCTTGCCAATCTGTGCCTAATACGCTCCAGAATTAGGTAAGAAGGATACGTCCCTCCGGAGAGAGAGAGAGAGAGAGTGCGGATTCCATTCCAGAACGCTCCCTAGCCACATTCCCCCTCTCTCCAACGTCATCCCTGGGAAACTTTGGTGGTGGGGGGGAGAGAGAGAAGGGAAAAATGTTTGCTATGCCTGAGTGTTGATCGTCCATTGTCATAATCTTGCTGCTATGTTAGTTTATGCCTCACTCCTTCCTGACTCTGTGATTCCGTGTTTTTCAGAGCCAAAGGATGATATAGTTTACCAGTTCCTTGTCCCGTGGATTGGTAAGTCCCAAGAGTTCTGTTCCTGGGTGTTTGGTAGGAGGATCTCAGGAGTATCTGGATTAATGGGATCTCTCTGTGACTGTGACCAGGTGATGGTTTGCTGGTGAGCAATGGGCAGAAGTGGTTCCGGCATCGCCGACTGCTGACTCGTGGCTTTCACTTCGACATCTTAAAGCCCTACGTCAAGGTGATGGCGGATTCCACCAAAATCATGCTGGTGAGTCCTCGAGGACTGTCTGTGCACTCGTGTCTGGGTGTGTGCGCGGGTCAGTGTGTGTGTGTCTTTGTGTGTGCGCGTGTCTGTATGTATGTATCTGCGTGTTTGTGTGTGTGTCGGTGTGTGCATGTCTGTGTGTATGGGTGTCAGTGTGTATTTGAGTATCAATGTGTATTTGCGTGTCAGTGTGCATTTGCGTGTCTGTGTGCATTTGCGTGTCTGTGTGCATTTGCGTGTCTGTGTGCATTTGCGTGTCTGTGTGCATTTGCGTGTCTGTGTGCATTTGCGTGTCTGTGTGCATTTGCGTGTCTGTGTGCATTTGCGTGTCTGTGTGCATTTGCGTGTCTGTGCATTTGCGTGTCTGTGTGCATTTGCGTGTCTGTGTGCATTTGCGTGTCTGTGTGCATTTGCGTATCTGTGTGCATTTGCGTGTCTGTGTGCATTTGCGTGTCTGTGCATTTGCGTGTCTGTGTGCATTTGCGTGTCTGTGTGTATTTGGGTGTCAGTGTGTATTTGGGTGACTGTGTGTGTATGCGTGTCTGCGTGTATGTGTGCAGCTGTGTGTGTCAATGTGTGTGTATGTGTGTCAGTGTGTGTGTGTGTGTGTCAGTGTGTGTGTGTGTGTGTCAGTGCGAGTGTCAGTGTGTGTAATGTCTCGGTGTGAACACTGATTTTATTGCCAGGACAAATGGGAGAGGCTCTGCTGCGAGTCCGGCTCGCTGGAGATTTACCAACATGTCAGCCTCCTGACACTGGACAACATTATGAGATGTGCCTTCAGTTATCAGAGCAACTGTCAGACCTTGAGGTGAGTTGGAGCTAGCGACTCGGGGTACATACAATCACTTGTGTTTCGGAGAAAGGTGAGTGCACGGGGGAGAAAAGTAATTTCTCTTCTCTAATACTAATACTAATCCTTGCATTTGATATAGCGCTTTTCACGTCGGGAGGACGTCCCAAAGCGCTTCACAGAACACACTGTAAAGTGAATTGACTGTATATTTGTGGGCGAACGCGGCAGCCAATTGCGCACAGCAATGTCCCACAAACAGTCGTAGATTAAAAATGACCAATTTATTATTGTTTTGTTTTGGAGGGATTATTATTAGGCTCTGTGTGGAGTAAGGAAACTTGCCCAAGGTTTCGCCCTCTGCCTGGAATTGAACTCAGGTCTCTCACTTGCAGGTCTCTCCTCTTCCGTCCTCCCCGCTTTCAGCCACTACGCCCCGAAACTTTGGAACTCTCTCCCCCAATCTCTGCACCTTGTCCCCTCCCTCCTTCCCCTCTTTTAGATCACGACTGAAGACCTTGCTTTTCCACCGCGCTTCCAGTCAGCCCCGTCCCTCCTCCCTCCCCCGGGTCGGCGTCAGGCTCCATCAATGGAGTCCTGTAGCTCAGTGGTTAGAGCACTCGCTTTGCAAGTGAGAGACCTGAGTTCAATTCCAGGCAGAGGGTGAAACCTTGGGCAAGTTTCCTTACTCCACACAGAGCCTAATAATAATCCCTCCAAAACCCAAAACAATAATAAATTGGTCATTTTCAATCTACGACTGTTTGTGGGACATTGCTGTGTGCAATTGGCTGCCGCGTTCGCCCACAAATATACAGTCAATTCACTTTACTGTGTGTTCTGTGAAGCGCTTTGGGACGTCCTCCCGACGTGACAAGCGCTATATCAAATGCGAGGATTATTATTATTATTAAGCGCTCCAAGATATTGCCCCTCGTGAAGGGCGCTGTGTGAATGCAAGCTCTTGTGGTTGTCCACCTCCCACCTCTGTGAGTCCAAGCCATCGACCCTCTATGGGTTGGGATTCGGATTACAGCACTTCCAATCAGATCAGCCATGATCTAATAGAATGGCGGAACAGGCTCGAGGGACTGAATGGCCTCCTCCTTTTCTTATGTTCCACCACCCTGACTTCCCCTCCGCTGGCCTATCGGGTAAGATCAAGTGTCGTTTCTGTTCTCACCCCTCGGGCTGCCCGCCTTCCAGAAGGTTCTCCTTTAGCAGACGGTCGAGGTGGGATTCAGGATGACCACCAGGGATCATTGAAAGGATTGAGCTCCTGGTGGGAGCTGTGCCCTTAGCCCCCAGTTGGCTGAGATGGGTGTTGCAGCACTTCCCATCTGAGGAACGTGATTCACCCTCACACAGAGGAAGAGGAGACACTGGAAGACAGAGCTCGCTCGAGCACTTGTCACTAGGATCAGGCCAGCCTTGCCCTGCTGGAGCCTAGTGTGTATGTGTGCGTCTTGTGTCTGTGTGTCTATAAATGTGTGTGTCTGGATCTGTATATATGTTTGTCTGATTACTTGTGTGTGGGTCTGTGTGTGTGAGTGTGTGTGTCTGTATGTGTGTGTATCTGGAGAGGCTATCCAGTCACCAGACCTGCTCGGGTAGTTGTGAAGACATGGTTCAGGTCCACGATTTGGTCCCAAGATTATAATAAATATTCCTTGCATTTGATATAGCGCCTTATCACATCGCCGAGCCATCTCAAGGCGCTTCACTGAATATAGTGTAACGTGAACTGACTGTGTATTCGTTGGTAAAACGCAGCAGTGTCCCCCAAACTGTTGCGGATTGAAGTGACCAAATTATTACTTTTTTGTTGGAGGGATCATTACCCCCAGGAAAGCAATCTGCCAACTGGGTTCCTACTTACTGCTCGGTAAACAGAGGCGTGCGGAGTAAAGAAGCTTACCTAACGTTTCACCTTGCCGGGAATCGAACCCGGGTCATCTCGCTTGCGAGGAGAGTGTTCTAACCACTGAGCTACAGGACTCCTGTATGTGTGCGTGCGTGTATGTGTGTGTGTGCTGATGGGTGAGGGGGCTGGGGAGGCGAGAGAGGGTTGTCTGTGGGGCCAACTCTCGTTCACGGTTCAGCAATGTGTTTTGGTTTAATTGTCCTTAGAGAGGGAGAGTGTGGTGCGGTGGCGAAGCTCACTCACCAAATAAACAAAATATTGTACAAAGAAACTTATTAACATGCCCGTGCTGTGATCTGAGGATCATTCCGCCAATCAGCACAGAGTCCTGGCCTCGCCTCTTTTTTGGAGTGCGGATCACGGCTGATAAAGTTTTCTTTTTGTATAATAACTCGCCCAACTCCTCTCGCTGACTGCGAACTCCAGAGGGAACATTGCGTTCTGAACACGAGACCTGAGCTGGCAGGACTGGGAAGGTTCAGCCCAGTCACGCTTGGCTGGGTCTCTTTAATGAGACACAATATTGTTGTATTTCAGCTCCTGTAATAGCACGGAGGCCTGTAGCTCAGTGGTTAGAGCACTTGCCTCGTAAGCAAGTGATCCGGGTTCGATTTGCGGGTAGGGCGAAATGTTGGCCGTGATTCCTTACTCCACCTGCCTCTGTTTACCCAGCAGAAAATAAGAACCTGGTTGTTAGTCGATTGGTAGATCGCTTTTCCGGAGGTAATAATTCCTTCAAAAAAAACCTAATAATTCGGTCACTCAATCCACGACTGTTTGTGGGGACGCTGCTGCGCGCAATTGGCTGCCACATTTCACCACAAAATATACAGTCAATTCACTTTTCAGTGTATCCTGTGAAGCGCTTTGAGACATCTCAAAGACGTGATAAGGCTCTGTATCGAATTATTAAAATAATACTTTAACTACTGATCGCCTTGTGAGGGCTCAAACCGCGCTTGTCGGAAGTGACGATCCTTGTGGGGGGAATGTAAGCAGCTCTCCACGGAGCTGAAGGGCCTCCAGCTTGACATGTTTGGCAATGGAATGGCAGGATCGAGCCAGCCCTCTGTGGTAGTCTTTAGTCCGGTTCCTGAGCCAGGCTGGTCCGCAGTATTCCAGTATTGCAGTATTAGCCCTGAGCCAAAGCCCTAATGGGTAGGGTGGGCCTAGCTGGATAAGCAGTGGGGAAGCTTGCCAGGCAGTGCTCTCAATGGCAAACTATGTGGTTTTAGTTGGTTAGTCTCCAGCAATTACCCCGACGCACACTCTAAGGCCCCAAGCTTTGGCTCTCGCCCACTACTCTCCAGAATTAGGTAACTAGAGTGCATCTCTCCAGGGAGAGAGAGAGATTCAGTGCGCACTCCATTCCAGACACAGCGATTGTTTTATACGTAAGTGGCATTACATATGTGGAACTCTGTCTGGATACAATCAATTCACTTTACAGTACTGTAGCTCTTTGGATAGCTCTTTGGAAAAGCCATCACAGACACGATGGATGGGCCTTATGGCCTCCTGTGCTGTATAATTCTATGATTCTATGATGATATTGTATATCCTGTGAAGCGCTTTGAGAGTCTCAATGACAATTGAAGGGATATAAAAATAACATAAGCCTTCAAAAAAAAATTTGATCACAAAGTCACTCAAATCCTATTTGTGGGACACTGCTGAGTGCAATTGGCTTCCGCGTTTCGCCCACAAAATATGCAGTCACTACTCTTTACAGTGTATTCCGTGAAGCGCTTTGAGACGTCTTGCAGCCGTGATAAGACGCTATATCAAATGCAAGGATTGTTATTATTTATTATATCATTGTATTATCAAATTCAAGGATTATTATTATTATTTATTGTCTTTCAGTAACAACTCGTACATCCAGGCAGTGTATGAGCTCACCTACTTGTGCAACCATCGCTTCCACACGTTTCCCTATCACAGTAACCTCATCTTCCACCTCAGCCCCCATGGTTACCGTTTCCGCAAGGCCTGCCGACTCGCCCACAGACACACCGGTAAGTCACCGGCAACCCCCCCTGCCGCCGCTGCCCCCTGCTGAGGCAACCCCACTCTCCCCAGCCAATTAAAGTAACTCCCAGAGGTTTACAGTCACACTGTGTATGTGCCGGGGCTCGCTCCCCCACTGGAGCTCTGCACTCTAACCCCAGTGCTGTCGAGTTGGTGAGGGAGATTGGGAGTCGGGTGGGGGTGAGAGAGATGGTTTGACTGCACGCCTGGGTGCGTTTGACGGGCTGAGACTTGAGCAAGGCACAGAGTGAGGTCTGAGTGAATGTCTCGTTGGACAGACGAGGTGATACGGCAGAGGAAGGAGGCGCTGCGGTCGGAGAAAGAGCTGGAGAAGATCAGTGGCAAACGGTACCTGGATTTCCTGGACATCCTGCTGTGCACACAGGTAACACTCCCAAACACCTGTCCTCAGGTAACATCCCCACACACCTGTCCTCAGGTAACACCCCACACACCTATCCTCAGGTAACACACCACACACCTATCCTCAGGTAACACACCACACACCTGTCCTCAGGTAACATCCCCACACACATGTCCTCAGGTAACATCCCCACACACCTGTCCTCAGGTAACACCCCACACACTGGTTCTCAGGTAACAATAACAAGCAGCACATCTGTCACAGTGCCGTTCACACCGGGAATACGTCTCAGAGCGCGTCACAGCGTCGACAACAAAGTGACAGAGGACGTAACCAGTCAGAGTTCTTGTTATATTCTTGTTATTGTCGTATTGTTGTGACATTGTTGATGTTGGTGCTGACATTGTGATGGATCGTATGCTTGATCGAACGATTGGTGGATTGATTGAGCGATTGATCGATTGATTGATTATTGATTGGCTCAGGATGAGGAAGGAAAGGGCTTGTCAGATGAGGAGATTCGGGCTGAGGTGGACACCTTCATGTTTGAAGGTCACGACACGACAGCGAGTGGGATCTCGTGGATTCTCCACACGCTGGCTAATCACCCCCAGCACCAGGACCTGTGCCGGGCTGAGATACAGCAGGTACTGCAGGGGCGACAACACATCGACTGGTGAGTGAACTGCCTCCAGGGGTCAGGCAGTGGAGTTGTGTAGCGTAATGGTCAGTGCGCTCGCCGAGCGAACGAGAGGACCTGGGTTCGATTCCCTGGCGGACAAAACCTATAAGATCATGGCTGATCTGTACCTCATCTCAAGTTACCTGCCTTTGCCCCATATCCCTCGATCCCCTGACCTGATAAACATCTCTCCACCTCCGTCTCGAAAATGTGAATGGATCCAGCCATAATCCACAGCCTTTTTTTGGGTGGGGAGAGAGTTGCAGATTCCCACCACACTTTGTGTGTTTTATTGGTAATAAAATGTGATGTGAGCTGTGTGTTTCCTATTAATGTCTCTCTCTCTCTCTCTCTCTCTCTGTCTCACTGTTGCTGGCGTCTGTTGCAGGGAATCTTTGGGAAAGCTGCCGTACACCACCATGTGCATCAAAGAGTGTCTGAGGCTTTACCCCCCTGTGCCTGGCATCTCCCGCAGACTGACCAAACCTGTCCACTTCCCCGACGGCAGGGCACTCCCTGCAGGTCTGGGTCTCGCTGTCGCTCACTCGCTCACTCACTCACTCGCTCGCTCACTCACTCACTCACTCACTCACTCACTCACTCGCTCACTCACTCTCACTTGCTCACTCACTCACTCACTCTCACTCGCTCACTCACTCACTCACTCTCACTCGCTCACTCACTCGCTCGCTCACTCGCTCGCTCGCTCACTCACTCACTCACTCTCACTTGCTCACTCACTCACTCACTCATGCACTCCATCACTCCATCGCTCACTCATTCCATCACTCAATCACTCACTCACTCCATCGCTCACTCATTCCATCTTTCACTCACTCACTCAGTCACTCACTCACTCACTCACTCGCTGACTCACTCACTCACTCCATCAGTCCATCACTCACTCACTTTGTCACTCACACACTCACTCATTCACTCACTCACTTGAGCGTGTGGGTGGGTGGTGGGGGTGTGATTGAAAGACGGGGGAAACGAGTGACCCCTGTTTAGGGGCTGAATTCGGACTCTCTTTCTTGCAGGTTCTTTGGTCGGGGTCAGTGTGTACTGTCTCCATAGAAACGCCTCAGTCTGGGAGAATCCAGAGGTAACGTTGGTCCCCGTCTCAACCCCACACCTGCCCCCTCCCCCTCTCACACACTCTTGGACACCCCCCGATTATTATGGGTCTTCTCTGGGTGGTGGGTGGGGCAGGTAGGAGAGAGGATATTTGTATAGTCAACCCTGTGAGATCCCAGATTTGGATGAAGGACCTTTCAGCCCATTTCAACTCAGTCAGGTTGGGCAGGGAATTTTCAAGCGGTGGAGGTTGGCGTCAGGAAAAACAGGGAGCCTTCCCACTCTGTGGGGTCCAAGGAATTTTTTTCCCACTCGGCTCCCATTGACCCTGCAAGCCAGAGCCCTTGATGGGATAGACCTGGGGCTTCTGGTTGATTTTTGGAATCCCCCATCGCATCTTAGTTAGAGCGCTCGCCTCGCAAGCGAGAGGACCTGGGTTAGATTCCCAGCCAGGGCCAAATGTTGGGCAAGTTTCCTTATTCCAGATGTCACTGTTTGCCCAGCAGTAAGTAGGAACCCAGTTGTTAGTCGATTGGTGGATTGCTTTCCGGCGTTAATAATCCCTTTAAAAAAAAACAATAATAACTTGGTCGCTCAATCCATGACTGTTTGCGGGGACGCTGCTGTACGCAATTGGCTGCCGCGTTCCGCCCACAAAATACACAGTCGCTACACTTTACAGTATATTCTGTATACTACCCCCCTCTCTCTCCCCCCTCTCTCTGTCTCCTCCCTCCCTCTGTGTCTCCCCACAACGACGTAATAAGGCGCTCTATCAAATGCAAGGATTATTATTATTATTGATTGGGGGTGAGTTGCGAGCGAGCGAGTGAATCAACCTGAGCCCAGGCAGCAGAGTAACGCACTGCCTATCTTGTTCCCTCCCAGATCTTTGATCCTTTAAGGTTTTCCCCGGAAAATTCCATGAACAGGCACTCGCATGCCTTCATTCCGTTCTCCGCAGGACAGAGGTGAGAAAATATTCAAAACGTTTTAGCATCTCATTTCTTGTTTTGCATTTAAACATGTTCCCTCTTTCCCGCACCCTCTCTCTGTCTCGCACCCCTCCCTCCCCCCCGCCCTCTCTCCCCCCACTCTGTCTCCCCCTCTCTCTCCCCATCCTCTCTCTCTCTCTCTCTCTCCCCCCCACCCCCTCTCTCTCCTCTCTCTGTCTTTCCCCCATCCTCTCTCTCTCCTCTCTCTCTGTCTCCCCTCCGCTCCCCCCCTCTCTCTCCCCCCCTCTCTCTGTCTCCTCCCTCCCTCTGTGTCTCCCCCAATTCTCTCCCCCTCCTCTCACTCTCTCCCGTCCCTCTCTCTCTGGCAGGAACTGCATTGGGCAGCAATTTGCGATGAACGAGATGAAGATTGTGACGGCGCTGACACTTAGCAGGTTCCAGCTCGCGGTGGATGAGGCGAAGCTGCCTTCTGCCATCCCCCAACTTGTGCTGCGCTCGGTGAATGGCATCCACCTGATCCTCAGTCCCCTGGCCTGAGGTGGGGGAGAGAGGGGGAGAGGGGCGAGAGAGAGAGAGAGAGAGGGGGAGAGAAGGTGTAGAGAGTGGGGGGGGAAGAGGGAGGAAGGGAGAGATAGCGAGCGGATGTCAGAGATGATTATTTTAGGTTTCAGCCTATAGCTCGGTCACTCTCGCTCTTGCATCTGAGTCGGAAGGTTGTGGGTTTGTGAGGAGACTCTGAGCTCACAGTCCAGGCTCCAGTGCAGTGCTGGGGGCAGCCGCATTGTCAGAGGCGAGACGTTAAACCGAGCTCTTCCCATCTGTAGCCTGTTCGGGCAGACGTTAAAGATCCCCCGGTCCTGTTGGAAAAGAGAAGAGAGTTTCTCTCTCTCTCTTTGGCTGATAATCCCCCTCCTCTCCAGATAAAATCAGTCACTCACTTTAACTGCAAACTGACTGTTTGCAGAATGTTGCTGTGCGCAAATTTCACACGCACAAACCTTATAACCACAAAATATTATGATTTAGGCAATTTAGGTAGACTGATACACTACTTGTAATTTTTAATTAATAATTTTATATATGATATATATATATACACATATATACACACGTTAGCTGTACCCGTTGCAGCTACTCTTGCAACCAAAGGATCCAATATGGAATGTAGATTTCAGGGATACCACTCATGAACCATTTAACGCACCACAAAGACTGTGTGTACGCCTTAAGCAAAACTGCCCTACGTGTGCGATGAGCTTGTAGAAGATTCTATCAAGGCTACATTAAACAAAGGGGTTTAGTGTGTGATCCAGCAGATCCTTGAGTTGTTGCAAGGCTTTCGTGTAGACATTTGCAATCCTTTCAGCACTCAAGTCCAGCTATGCTGTTCTTTGAGAGAGAGAGAGAGAGAGAGAGAGAGGGTGTGGAGAGTGGGGGAGGGGGAAGAGAGAGGAAGAGAGAGATAGCTAGCAAATGTCAGACACAATTATTTTAGGCTGATTTGACCGGGAAACTCATTTTGTCATGTTCTCGTATGCCTTTCTCCATCGAAGTCCAACTGTACTGTTCTTTGTCCTTCAGTTTCCTTTAATCGGCCTTCTCTCTTTCATCTGGCATTATTATTTGACCTTGAAAGGCTTGATCTTCGTTTCTTAGGCATCTTTATCCCTTAAGATTAAGAAAAATGTGCTCGTTAGCATCCGAGCATCCTCGCCTGTCTCCGCCAATACCTCTCTCCGAAAGCCGCTGAAACCCTGGTCCATGCCTTTGTCACCTCTCGGCTGGACTACTCTAACGCCCTCCTCGCCGGTCTCACCTCCACTACCATCCATAACATCCAGGTCATCCAAAACTCTGCCGCCCGCATTCTCACCCGCACCAAACTCCGCTCCCGATCCCCCCAGTCCTGGCCAGACTGCACTGCTCCCTGTCCCAGAGAGGATCGATTTCAAGATCCTCACTGTTGTCTTCAAATCCCTCCACTCCTCTGCACCCCCCGACCTCTCTGACCTCCTCTCTCCTCACAACAGTAACCGTTGTCTTTGTCCCTCCGGGTCTGGCCTCCTCCTCGTCCCCCGAGTCCTCCGCTCCACCCTCGTCGGCCGTGCCTTCAGCCACTATGCCCCGAGGCTCTGGAATTCCCTTCCTCACTCCCTTCGCCTCACCTGCTCTCTTCCTATTTTCATGTCTCGGCTGAAGACCTTTCTTTTCGACCGCGCCTTTGGTCACCTTCCCCCCCTCCCCCTCCCCCTGGCCCGGCTGCGGGATCCGTTACTGTGAAGCGCTCTGAGACGCCATCCGGCGTGGAGGGCGCTATATAGATCCAAGTTGTTGTTATGTTCACATATTTGCGCACATATCCTGTTGGGAAGACTCATGTTGGGAGCACCACTTGTTGGAGTCCATACGTGTGATGAGTTTGTTTAGGTCACAATAGGAGATGTTTCTGATGAGGTATAAATCATATCTCTACATCAATTGGTTATTGCATTATTGGCGGACAGACACACAAATATACAGACAGACGCACGGACACGCAGACACGTACGCAGACAGATAAGAGACCTGGGTTCGATACCCGGCACGGCGAACTCTTGGGCAAGTTTCCTTACTCCACACGCCCGATAATAACCCCGACAAGAAAAAAAATAATATAACAATAATAATCCTTGCATTTGATACAGAGCCTTATCACACCTTCTCGACGTCTCAAAACGCTTCACAGAACACACTGTAAAGTGGATTGACTATATATTTGTGGGCGAACGCGGCAGCCAATTGCGCACAGCAATGTCCCACAAACAGTCGTGGATTGAAAATGACCAATTTATTATTGTTTTGGGTTTTGGAGGGATTATTATTAGGCTCTGTGTGGAGTAAGGAAACTTGCCCAAGGTTTCGCAAGTTATTTGTGGAGTCCTGTAGCTCAGTGCTCTAACCACTGAGCTACAGGACTCCACGAATAAGTGTAAAAATAAATAATAAATTGGTCACTGAATCCCCGACTGTTGGTGGGACACTCCTGTGTGCAATCGGCTGCCGCGCGTCGCCCACAGATACATACAGTCAATTCACTTTACAGTCTATTCTGTGAAGCGCTTTGGGAGTCCGGTTAAGCGCTTTGAGACGTCCGGAAGACGTGATGCGGCGCTGTATCAGAGGCCAGGACTGTCATCATCATTATTATCATTATTATCATTATCATTATCATTATTATTATTATTATTATTATTAGTGAAGATAGAAGATACGGTCAAATCCCACAAGTCTTTATAAACCCTAATCGCCAAAGCCCGGGCGCTGTCGCTGTCGCCGTCGCCGTCGCCGCCCTCTGCACCGTCTGCTCAGCAAATCCCCCAATACCGTCAAGTTTATCAATTGTTATTAAAAAAAGATGAATCATTTCTTAAACGCTTTCGTCTGTGACCGTTGGGGGAAGGGGTTGGGGGTGGGGGTCCGGTCAGGGGCTGAGCACTCAGGGTCACTACCGCTGTGCCGCCAGCAGAGGGCGCTCTGAGAGCAGCCGCCGCCGCAGACTTGTTACTGCAGCTGCTGCTGCTCAGGTGAGTGGGCGCGGCTGACGTGATTACGCCGCCGACGCCACGACGCCGCTCGGGACGCGCTGACGTATGACGCGACTCGGGACGTGTGACGCGACGCGCTGACGCCATGACGCCGCTCGGGACGCGCTGACGTGTGACGCCGGCCGGCGTGGGAGCGGGAAGACAAGATGTCGAGCGATTTCTACCTGCGCTACTACGTGGGCCACAAGGGCAAGTTCGGCCACGAGTTCCTGGAGTTCGAGTTCAGGCCGGACGGTAAGTGGCGGCGGCTGGAGAGCGACACGAGGAGAGGCCGGGGCTGCGCTACCGGGCGCTAGGCCGCGGCTTCTAATCCACACCCAGGCTTCTCCCCCTCGGCCTCGGCCTAGGCCTCGCTCTCCCGCCGCCAAACACAACCGGGAGTTCCCCCTCCGACACTCGGGAACCCCGCACATAGGTTGTTGGCGCGGGAAGCCCTGCGCTCTCTCTCTCTCTCTCCCCCTGGAGGGACGCCTCCAGCTGACCGAATTCCAGGCAGTATTAGGCGCAGGTTGGCAAGAGGCAAGGCTTGGCCAAGGGGGAGGGGAGGGGGGGGGGGGAGACCGCTGGAGTCTGACCATCCACCACCCCGCAGCTGCCCATTGATACCGCTGTCTGGCCATGGCCAAGCCTTCCCGCTCGCTGCGTGTCCAGCCAGGACCACCCTCCCCCTCCCCGTCAGGGCTATGGCTTGAGGTGTTACCGGGAGCTGAGGGGGAGGATTCCCTTCCAGGTCCTGGGCCGGGCCGGGCCGGGCTGTGCGGTCATCAGCTGTGAGCGCCCTGGAATACTGTGGACCGGTCTGGCTCAGGACCCGGACCGGAGACCATCACAGAGAGGGTCTCGATTCCGTCGCCAGTTCAGCTCCAAGGAGACCCCACTTCCACGTTACAATAGGAGTTTTAGATGAGTTGCTCACAATTTCTCTGCAGCGCATGTTATTATAGGTACTTGGGAAAGGTATTCGGAAACCCGCGTATACAAATCCCAGGCTGATGAGTGGTAGTAGTAGTAATAATAATTATATACGGTACAGAACTTTTCACATCAAGAGGATGTCTCAATGCGCTTCACAAGATTTTTCTGTAAAGTGTAGTAACTGTGTTTTAAAGATGAACGCAGCAGCCAATTTGCGCATGGCAAAGGACCACAAACAGCCGCGGAGTGCGTGACCAATTATTACCTTAATTTAATATTCCCTTCTCTCAGAATCGCCCCAAAGGTTATATCGAGACTCGGGTAAATGTTGCAAATTTAGAGTACATTTTAAATGTTTGCACAATCTTGCTCAAGATTTGAGGCCGAGGTGGTATTGCAGACTAAGATTGGGTGGAATTTGAGGCCTGTGATAAGCTTCAGTTCTGAGTAACAATCTTAGGTTTTCATAACACTCTAAAAACGTAGCTGTCAGTCTTGCTCACATATTATTATTATTATTGCTCAGTCAGCAGTACTCTTGTGCTACTCGGGGATTTGAGCTTGCAGTCCAGTCTGACTGACGCTCCAGTGCTGTGCTGTTGGTGTGCTGCATTGTCGGAGGCACTGTCCTTAGGATAAGGCATTAAACCAAACTGCCTGTATCTGCCTTTTTAACATCCCACGGCACTATTCAGTGGAGTTTCTCATGGTGTCTTGGCCAACAGAAAAAAATGGTCATTCTGTTTGTGACAGTCTGTGGGACTTTGCTGTGTGCAAATTGGCTGCCGCAGTTGCTTATAAAATACCGCACTTTACACTAAGTTCTGTGAACTGTTTTTGGACTACACCCTGACGTGAAATTATATCTGAACGATAACATAATAACTCTCTCTTGTGTTTCGCCCACAAAGTATACAGTCAGTTCACTTTACAAAATAATCTATGAAGAATTTTGAGACGTCTCAATGATGCAATAAGGCACTATATCAAATGCAAACATTATTATTGCTGTGCGCAATTGGCTGCTTCGTTTCGCCCACAAAATATAGTCAATTCACTTTACAGTACATTCTGTGAAGCGCTTTGAGACGTCTCGAAGACCTGATAAGGCGCTATATCAAATGCAAGGATTATTATTATTACTACTATGAAAGGCTTTGTAATGAACCAATGATTATTATAGGATTACTATTATTCTAACGTATTTGATGCAATGCGTCATGTTGTCAAACATTTCAAAGAGGATTAATATAATGACTTTTTTTGGTGAACTGGGTAGTTAATTTGCGCAACAGTACAAATTGTTGAAGTCACCCTGAATGCTAAACCCAAACCGTGGGCATTGCGATGCCACGGTTAGATGAGAGGGGAGACCAGCTTTTTCAATGCAACTTTTTTAAAAAGTGCTACTCTTATTTCTACACACACACAGACACCCTTCCCAAACTCGAAAGGTATACTAAAGTGTCTCATTTAATTGACAGGTAAACTCAGATACGCAAACAACAGCAACTACAAAAATGACGTTATGATCCGGAAGGAGGTAAGCCTGTGAGCTGGAGAATATGTGTGAGAATACAGCCGATCAAACATAGGTCTGATTTGGAGAGTGTGCACAGATGTGCAGGGTGTTCACAAAGTCCTGTTATCCCCATGTTTTTTTCTGCAGTGCACTGACCAACAGCTGAATTGTGTGGAAAAAATGATAATTGCATTTAGAAGTACTTAATCATATTAAGTGAAAGTGTTTAACTGTATTTAGAATAATAAACAATGTTTGTGGGAGGTCGCTGTGCACAATTGACTGCTGCGTTTCGCCCAAGAAATATACAGTCAATTCACTGTGAAGCGTTTTGAGATGCCTTGAATACGTGATAAGGTGCGATATCAAGTGCAAGCGTTATTATAGACGTCCAGAGGATCGGTGGGAGTGTGACAAGGCAAAATGCATCTTATTATATTTGTTTCAGATCCTCATATCACTGTTTTGTAACTGGCGGCAGGGGTGGGGGGGGGAGAGGTAACAGGACTTTGTGGAAACCCTGTACGATACCCGAAGTCCACCTGGGTGGTCCTGACATTTAAAGAAAAGAAAAATCTCTTTGCTGCTTTCTCTTGTACTCCTCAATTGATTTCTTCAACAAGTAGTTAGCTGACTCCCTCGACATTTTGCTGGCAGAGTCTGCCTCCGTTAACACCATGTGATTTCCATAATCCACCACTCTGTGTGTGTAAAATAATTAAATCTGAACTGTGTTCACTTTCTGGACTCGAGTTCCTGTCTCCTTGTTCAGTTTGACCCCGTGTTTGATATCAGTGAGGTTCACTATATCACCCTTCAGTAACTTGAATTCTTCCGAGCCCGAGTAAGGCAGTTCTCTCGTGTTGTTTTGGGTATAAAGTGAATATATTTGCTGTGTCGTTCTAACCCAAGCGTTGTTTTCTGCAAGCTTGCTTAAAGGCCATCACAGCCTTGTTCCTCCTTACCTCTGGACCTGCTAACTCCATAGCAACCTGTTCACTCCATCCCCTCAGCGGACTCCCACCTACTCCATCTCCATCATTGGTGGTCGGGCCTTCAGTCTTTTTGTCCCCACAATCCCTTTGCCTTGCCACCTTCAAGGCCCATCTCAAGACCCCCCCTTTGACAGCGCCTTCAATCATCTTCCTAACCCCATCCGCTCTGCCTTCCATCCCTTCTGGTCATTGTTTTGATTGTCCAGCGCCTTGGGATGACCTTGCGACTTGAAATGTGCTGTGTAACTTTAATTTGTTGTTGTTGTAGGCCTATGTACACAAGAGTGTGATGGAAGAACTGAAGCGAATCATAGAAGACAGTGAAATCACAAAGGAGGACGATGCGTTGTGGCCCCCGCCTGATCGCGTAGGACGGCAGGTCAGTGTGTTTCCCTCTTCTCGGCCCCTCGGTGACGGGTGTGTGGGTACAGGGGTGGGGAGATTTTGTGTGGAGCACTGTATTGGCGTGTCGGCCTGGAATGTGAGTTCAAATTCCCAGTGTGGGAGATTCAACTCGCAACCTTCTGACGAATGTACCAGACGGGAGACGAGGAGAATTTTTTTTTCTACGCAGTGAGTTGATATGATCTGGAATGCACTATCTGAAAGGGTGGTGGAAGCAGATTCAAGAATCACTTTCAAAAGTGAATTGGCTAGAATAAAAATTTGCAAGACTATGGAGAAAGAGCGGGAGAATAGGACGAGTTGATAGCTCTTTCAAAAGAGCCAGCACAGGCACCATGGGCCAAATGGCCTCCTTCTGTAATGCAGGATTCTATGACTCTGAAGAGCACTACCGACTGAGCTAGGGGGTGACGCACGATAATGCATCTAATCTGAAGAGAATAAATGATATTGTCCACGTATGTTGCTTTCTTTTCAGAAGATGCAGGTGGCGGGAATGGATCTAAAATTGTATTGTAAAGGTTGAATAACTGGTGTTTTGTTTCCACAGGAGCTTGAGATAGTTATAGGAGACGAACATATTTCATTTACAACATCTAAGATAGGCTCTCTTATCGACGTCAACCAATCTAAGTGAGTATAACTTGGGCAAAGGGAACATGTGGGAAACTACTGAGCATGTGTATTAAGCGCTCTGGGATGCTTCCCTGGTGAAGGGAGCTATATAAATCCAAGTTGTTGTGTAAGTGGGGAAAAAAATCAGTCACCATTGGGACTATGGGCTCTAAATTGCGTTATTCCTGAATACATTTGTTAAAATGTTTTTTTTTCAATTTACAGTAAAACTCCTGATATCTCGACCCTGGCTTAACTTGTCACTGCCACTTAACTCATCATGCTATCCAGATTCTGGACACATTTATTTATATGACTAACTCAAAGCTACTGATAACTCATCACTGAGACCTTTTCCCTTGGAATGACAAGTTGTTTACTGTACGTAGAAAGTTGTCACAAGGCTGTTCAATCCAAATAGTCCATGTTTATGGTTTACGCAAGCATTCAGCCCTCCTCATTCCCTTCTCCACACACACGCCTCTCTTCCTCAGGTTTCCTTTTCTCCTCAAGCCACTCACATACACAATATTGATTGAAAATATTGCAAGTCTCCATCGTAGGCCTCGGCCTTTCAGAATTTTTTGCAAAAGAGGATTTTGTTGGCTTGTTTCCCTGAAAAGCAGCATTGAAAGGCAGCACCATTCACACCGCTAAAAACAGAAAATCTTGCCACAGTACGCTGGGCCACTCTGTCTGGTTTATGGTGGCAGCCATCTTGCCTAACGTTTTGACCCAGGCAAGTTTCCTTACTCCAAATGCCTCTGTTAGCAGTAAGTTGGAACCCAGCTGTAAGTCAATTGCTGGATCGCTTTCTGGTGATAATAATCCCCCCAATACTCCAATAAATAAAGAGGTTACTCTTTATTATTGGAGTTCCTATAGCTCAGTGGTTAGAGCACTCGCCTTGCGAGCGAGACACCTGGGTTCAATTCCAGCCAGGGTGAAACCTTGGGCAAGTTTCCTTACTCCACACGCCTGATAATAATCCCTCCAAAAAAACAAAACAATAATTGGTCATTTTCAATCCACGACTGTTTGTGGGACGCTGCTTTGCGCAATTGGCTGCCGCATTTCGCCCACAAATATACGGTCAATTCACTTTACAGCATAATCTGAAGCGCTTTTCACGTCTAGAAGACGTGAAAAGCGTTATATCAAATGCAAAGATTATTATTATTACTCAATCCACGACTCTTTGTGGGACGTTGCTGTGCTGCATTTCACCCAGAAAGTACGCAGTCAATTCACTTCATAGTTTTACTATGAAGCGCTTTGAGATGTCTCAACGACGGGATAAGACGCTACATCAAATGCAAGGATTATTATAATCTTTGCTACGTTCAGTGTAACACGCTGGACAGCGAGGTTGCGGAGGCCCCGAGATCTGAAGCAAAACGCCGGAGAAGTCCACTGGAGCGACGGACATTCCTGTCAGAAGCCGACTGACGCTTTTCCAGCAAGTTCTAGAAAGTGACCACTGGGCCATTCGAAACCGTCAAATTGCCTTTGTCTTTCAGAGACCCAGAGGGCCTGCGAGTCTTCTATTACCTGGTTCAGGACTTGAAGTGTTTAGTATTCAGCCTCATCGGTCTCCACTTCAAGATCAAGCCAATCTAAGGGAGTGTGGTCGGTGCGCCTGTGGCTACAGGGACTGGAGGTCGGGGAGGAAGAGGGAACACTTGACTAGCGAAGAGGAAACTTGGGGTCTCAAGATTGGTGATACAGTATGATACTAACGTGTCGATTTTTGATAGCTGATTTGATTTTTTTTTAAATGTGAGAGTATGGCAGTTTCAATTTGTTTATACGTCTTTACCTGTTTCTCTTTTTTTTATTTTAAAATAAACCTGTTGGATAAAATCTTTTGCTGTTCTTTTATTAAAACGAGTGTGTAACCCAGAGTCGCTTGCAAAAAAAAAAAAAACTGCGGCCCTTTTTTCTGATGTGTTTCGGTTTCAAAATGAAATATTGCAGCATTGCAAGTCGCATTGGGGAGCCAAGAACCTGTCCCTTTATTATAATAATATTAATCCTTGCATTTGATATAATAATAATAATAATCCTTGCATTTGATATAGCGCTTTTCACGTCGGGAGGACGTCCCAAAGCGCTTCACAGAACACACTGTAAAGTGAATTGACTGTATATTTGTGGGCGAACGCGGCAGCCAATTGCGCACAGCAATGTCCCACAAACAGTCGCGGATTGAAAATGACCAATTTATTATTGTTTTGGTTTTGGAGGATTATTATTAGGTGTGTGGAGTAAGGAAACTTGCCCAAGGTTTCGCCCTCTGCCTGGAATTGAACTCAGGTCTCTCGCTGGCAAAGCGAGTGCTCTAACCACTGAGCTACAGGACTCCACATGTATGCAGAAGACACCCAATGATATAGCGTTGTTCAGACTTCTCAAAGTATTTCGCAGAATACACTTCCAAGTGAATCGACTATATTTTGTGGGCAAAATGCAAATATATAAACATATTATAAAATATAATATTTACATATTTGCATTTTGCCCACAAAATATATAAATATATTATATTTTATTATATATATATATATAGACACACAATCTTACTTATAAGTAATTCCAGCAGAGGATTGTGGCGATGTCTTGGAAGTGCTTCACAGGATTTCAGTGTAGAGTGTAGTGAGTGTATTTTGTGGGAGAGTGCGGCAGTCCATTTGCACGCGGCAACCTCCCACGAACCTCCGTGCAGCGAGTGATCCGGTTTGCGGTGGGGGGTTCCAGGCAGGACACCGGGAAGGAGAGACCCCCTTCTCTTTCTCGAATAGTTTCATAGGATCTTTCAACCTCCTCCTCTGGGGGGGAAAGCGCATCGAAACAGAAACCCGCCCAATTGGGCGTGAAATCCGCCCAACCCGACCGCCTTGGGCGGTGAGCGAGGAGGCGCTGCAGTTCCCGCTGGCGCCGCGGGTGGCGCTGCGGTAGGAGCCGGTCAGATCGGCGCCGAGGCCAACATGGTGGTGAGTGACTGGGGGGTGGGGTTCAGTCTGGGGTCGGGTATTTGGGGTGCACGGGGGGGGGGGGGGGAGGTATTTGGGGAGTCAGGCTCCACCATTGTTACGCGCTCTGAGACGCGGTTGTTGGGGTATTTGGGGGTGAATAGTGGGGTATTTGGGGTGAATAGTGGGGTGTAGTGGGGTATTGGGGTGAATAGTGGGGTATTTGGGGTGAATAATGGGGTATTGGGTATAGTGGGGTATTTGGGGTGAATAGTGAGGTATTTGGGGTGAATAGTGGGGTATTTGGGGTGAATAGTGGGGTATAGTGGGGTATTGGGGTGAATAGTGGGGTATTTGGGGTGAATAGTGGAGGATTTGGGGGAATATGGGGGGTATAGTGGGGTATTGGGGTGAATAGTGGGGTATTTGGGGTGAATAGTGGAGGATTTGGGGGGAATAGTGGGGTATTGGGGGGTATAGTGGGGTATTGGGGTGAATAATGGGGTATTGGGGTTAATAGTGGGGTATTTGGGGTGTATCCCACCTCAGTGGGACCGCACTCACCTGTTTCGAGTCCGACCTCACAAACCGCCATCTGCACAAACGGCTTCTCCTCCCGCTCTCACCCGGTCACCTGCGGGTCCCCCAAGGATCCATCCTTGGTCCCCTCCTCTTTCTGATCTACATGCTCCCTCTTGGGGATGTCAACCGCAGACATGGGGTACATTTCCACATGTATGCAGAAGACACTTTACTTTTCCACCTCTCTTTGTGCCCCCCCAGTCTTTTGATGTTCTGTCTGTCAGACCTCAGGGGCTGATGAGCGCAAACTTCCTTCAGCTGAACGTTGACAAAGACGGAAGCCATACCCTTTGGCTCTCGTCAACGTCTAAAATCTCACGGCTCTCACCTCCTCCACCTACCCGACCTCCCCCTAAAACTCTCCGAACCCATAAGAAACCTAGGCGTCAGGTTCGACCCCCAATTATCCTCCCCCACATCTGGTCCCTCACCAGCACTGCTTTCTTCCACCTCCAACACATCGTCCGTCTCCGCCAATACCTCTCCACAAAAGCCGCTGAAACTTTGGTCCATGCCTTTGTCACCTCTCGGCTGGACTATTCTAACGCCCTCCTCACCGGTTTCCCATCTACTGCCATCCAACTCATTCAGAACTCTGCCGCCCGCATTCTCACCCGCACAAAACTCCGTTCCCCAATCACCCCAATCCTGGTCGGACTGCACTGGCTGCCTATCCCAGAGAGGATCGATTTCAAGATCCTCACCCTCGTATTCCAGTCCCTGCAATCCCCTCCTCTCTGACCTCCTCTCTCCTCAGCACAGTACCCGTTGCCTTCGTTCCTGCGGGTCTGGCCTCCTCCTTGTCCCCCGAGTCCTCCGCTCCACCCTTGGCGGCCGTGCCTTCAGCCACTATGCCCCGAGGCTCTGGAACTGCCTTCCTCACTCACTTCGTCTCACTCCCTCCCTTCCGCATTTCAGGTCTCTGCTGAAGACCTTTGTTTTCGACCACACCTTTGGTCACCTTCTCCCCTCCCCCTCCCCCTGGCTCAGCCCCGGGATCCGAAACTGTAAAGCGCTCTGAGACACCGTCCAGCGTGGAGGGCGCTATATAAATCCAAGTTGTTGTTGGTGTATAGTGGGGTTTTTGGGGTGAATAGTGGGGTATTTGGGTGGGGTATTTGGGGCATATAGTGGGGTATTTGGGCTGTATAGTGGGATATTTGGGGTGTAAAGTGGGATATTTGGGGTGTATATTGGGGAACGGGGGTATTTGAGGGGTATTTTGGACGGGGCTGATGTTTGGGGAAGTATTTAATTTGCTTCTTTTCCTTTTGTAGAAGTTCGGTCTCCAGGTGAAAGCCACGCTGGAAAATATCAGCAAACTGCGGCCAGATGGCGAGGATTTCCGCTGGTACCTGAAGGTGAGTTGCCCTCATTCTGACCCCACTCTCCTGCTTTGCTTTCTTAATATTTCTCAGTATAAAAGACGCTTATTCGGGTTTAGTAGTGACGATTGTTGATGTTTTATTATGTGTTTTTTTTCGCAAATAGCTGAAATGTGCAAATTGTAGAGAAGCGTCCGACAAGTGGCAGTACATCTCGCTAATGGTGAGTTGAAAACTCATTGCCCTTAATTCCGCATTACCTTTTGGCCGTTCGTGCACAGCACCCTGTGTCCGCTCAGCTCAGTCAATCGTTTCACGCCTCTGGGTCAGGACTTTGTGGGTTTAATCCTTTTTGGACTTGAGACCAGCAGCAGTCTGGACTGTCACTCCAGCGCATAAAGAGCCTGCCACGCTGTCCTGGCCAACAATCCTCCAGAAAAAAGCTGCTGCATTTGCCTACAAATACACAGTCACTACACTTGACGACAGTTGGCAACAGATAAACTTTGGGACAATGTAACATTACACACACTGGGTCAAATAATAATAGTAATCCTTGTGTTTCATTGTTGAAATGAAATGAAAACCAAAGCTCTTCACAGAATATGCTGTAAAGTGAATTTTCTGTGTATTTTTTGGGCGAAACGAGGCAGCCAGTTGCGCACAGCAGCGTCCCTATAAACAGTCGTGGATCGAATGACCAAATTATTATTATTTTATTTACTTATTTTTTTAAGGGATTATTACCCCAGGAAAGTGATCCCCACAATCGACTAACAACCAGGTTCCTACTTACTACTCGGTAAACAGATGTGTATGGAGTAAAGAAACTTGCCTAAGGTTTTGTCGCGCCTGGAAATCAAACCTGGGACCTCTCGCTTGCTAGGCGAGCGCTCTAACCACTTCGCTACAGGACTCTGGGTTCTACACTGATTTGAAGCCTCTTGTGGTATTTTTATGCAGGAGAGCGTCCCGCTTAAAGGAGGGAGGAGCAGCGCCAGCATGGTGCAGAAATGCAAACTCTGCTCAAGAGAAAACTCCATTGGTTGGTAAATGTTCGCCTGCACAACACAGTCACTACACTTTACAGTGAATCCTGTGAAGAACTGTATTACATTCCTGATGTTAAAGGCGCTGTATCAAATGCGAGAATTATTATTATTATAATGGCAGAAGAGGGATGAGTGCTGACAAAACATAGCTAGGCAGGCCACAGGGTGATGGAGTGAGCTTGTCTGTGGGACAGCCATGTTATAACATTGTGCAGGGAGCTGTATCTTCAGCTGCTGTGAATTGCCAGTTGTGGAGACTGTGTGTATGTGTGTGTGTGTGTCAGTGCTCACCAGGTAAACTCACCGTTCACTCTCTTCGGTAGCATCTTGCTATCTGTTGTTGACCGTTTCCTTCGAGTGAACGGATGTTTCTCGTTGCTCTTCAGATATCCTGAGGGACACGATCAAGCCTTACAACGTAAGTGTGTCAGCCTTCACCTTGCATGTTACCTCCGGGCATAGGAGCCGGGCCGGTTTGCTCATCTGTGCTTCTCCTGTGAGTGGAACCGTCCCCGCTGTGTCCCACCGTCCAGCCCTTGGCCCCTCTCCCCTAATCTCCAAAACCCCGTGTTTTTTAAAGAAAAAAGGTACTGTCTTTGGTCAACAAATGTCTTGAATGTCCTGCACAGAATTCACATCAGTAGGTGTGGACAGCTCCAGGCATCCGTTCCTCACGCAGGGAGCTTCATGGAGCTTCGTGGAGTCCTGTAGCTCAGTGGTTAGAGCACTTGCTTTGCAAGCAAGACACCTGGGTTCAATTCCAGGCAGAGGGCGAAACCTTGGGCAAGTTTCCTTACTCCACACAGAGCCTAATAATAATCCCTCCAAAACCCCAAACAATAATAAATTGGTCATTTTCAATCTACGACTGTTTGTGGGACATTGCTGTGCGCAATTGGCTGCCGCGTTCGCCCACAAATATACAGTCAATTCACTTTACAGTATATTCTGTGAAGCGCTTTGGGACGTCCTCCCGACGTGAAAAGCGCTATATCAAATGCAAGGATTATTATTATTATTATTCATAAGAACATAAGAATTGTTGGACGAAAGAACCCCATCCAGTTCGCCTTCCATCATCCCAGCAGTTGCATGCACACGTCCCATCCCAAACTACGCAAGAACATAAACGCGAGTTGTTGTTGTTGTTGACGGGATGTTTCCTGTTAATGCCTTTCACCTTCAGACCGAGGACAGTGAGAGGTTTAAGACAGTCGTGCACTTTGAGTGTCGAGGGTTGGAGCCGGTGGACTTTCAGCCTCAGGTAATCGCGACTCGCTTCCGCAGTCACCTCCGACCAACTAGAGCACTTCCCAGTAGCGGAGTGAGGTTGGGCACCACATGGCGGCTTCCTGTAGCCGTGGTTACAGTGGTTAAAGCACTAGACTCACAAGTGAGAGGACCCGGGTTCGATTCCTAGGCTGGGTGAAATGTTAGGCAAGTTTCCTTACTCCACACGTCTCTGTTTACATAGAAGTAAGTAGAAACCTGGTTGTTAGTTGATTAGCGGATCATTTCCCGGGGGTAAAAATAATAATACTCCTTGCATTTGATATAGCGCTTTTCACTTCTTCTCGAAGTCTCAAAACGATTCACAGGATACACTGTAAAGTGAATTGACTGTATATTTGTGGGTGAAACGCGGCAGCCAATTCCGTACAACAGTGCCCCACAAACAGTCGTGGATTGAAGTGAAACAATTTATTATCGTCTTTTTCTGATGGGATTATTATCAGAAGTGTGGAGTAAGGAAACATGACCAAGGTTTCATCCTGCTGGGAATCAAACCCAGATCTCTTGCTTGCGTGGTGAGCGCTCTTAACCACTGAGTCACAGGACTCAGCTATGATGCCTCCAAAAAAAATAATAATCATAATTTGGTCTTTTTTTGGGGGGACGCTGCTGTGCGTAATTAGCTGCCGCGTCGTGCCCACAAAATACTGTGAAGCGCTTTGAGACGTCTCGAAAACATGATAAGCTGCTATATCAAATGCAAGGATTATTATTATGGCGGTCACTCCAAACCAATGGCTAAAAGCAGTTCCAGCTGAGTCTAGATTTACTCTGTGAACATAGCATTTCGGAGCCTGCAGGATGTGGCAAAATGTTGTAATCTGCTTTAGCATCAGGGGCCGGGCCTTCAGCCTCTGTGCCTCAACCCTTTGGAACTCCCATCACACGGTCCCTTCAACTCACACCTTCCCTTACCTCCTTCAAGGCACGTCTCAAGACTCACTTGTCCTGTAGCTCAGTGGTTAGAGCACTCGCTTTGCAAGTGATAGGCTTGAGTTCAATTCCAGACAGAGGGCGAAACCTTGGGCAAGTTTCCTTACTCCACACAGAGCCTAATAATAGTCCCTCCAAAACAAAAAACAATAATAAATTGGTCTTTTTCAATCCATGACTGTTTGTGGGACATTGCTGTGCGCGTTCGCCCACAAATATACAGTCAATTCACTTTACAGTATATTCTGTGAAGCGCTTTGGGACGTCTAGAAGACGTGAAAAGTGCTATATCAAATGCAAGGATTATTATTATTATTGTACAACCGTGCCTTCGATCACCATCGTGCCCTCCTCCCCTCCTGATCCCAACCCCCAGCTCGGGTCCAAATCCTTGACTGTCTAGCGCCTTGGGACGCTGCATAAATGTAATCTGTTGTTTTAACTGCAGACCACGATTTGCAAGAACAGTCACTACACTTGACAACGATTCCCTGTGAAGCGCTTTGAGGAATTGTATCTGTGGCGAGGAATGTTATTAATTTGCCCATTTTAAACACTCCTCTGAAGACCTTTGTGAAATAAGAGCTCCGATCTGACATTGGGACCTTGTGGCGTCCTCTCAGCCGGACCCTGTTCGATTGTGCTTACGGTCACCTCCTTCCTCTCTCTGCCCCACTCCCCCCCACTCTCCCCACGCTGCCATGCGTGAAAGGCACTGTGTAAATGCAAGTTGTTGTTATGTGTTTTAGGGAGGTTTCGTCGCAGAAGGGGCCGAATCTGGGACACGGTTCAGTGAGATTAACCTGCTAGAGAAGGTGAGCCTGTTACATATGCTAATCCCACTGAGCAGGAAGTGGCTCAACCTGCCCTTTCACTCAAAATCCCCAAAGCAATCAGTAATGGGGAGGCACCGTGCTGCAGGAGAGCTTCAGAGCACGAGACTCGCTCGGGGATTAACCCAAACCCCATCTGGCCTACGGCTGTCACTCCAGATACTCGGGATCCACACTGACACTCCAGCAAGATACTGGGGGGGGGCGGAGGGGGGGAAGTGGGGGTGCAGCTCTGCATCGTCACAGGCACTGCCCTGCAAATGAGACTTTGAAACGAAACTCCCGTCTATTGGCCTGTTCAACAACAACAACAAATTGCATTTGTAATAATCTTCCATTTGATACAGCGCTTCATTACATCTAGAAGCGCTATGAGACGTCTCAGCAGCATGCTATATCCGCTATATAGTGGAGTCCTGTAGCTCAGTGGTCAGAGCACTCGCCTCGCAAGCGAGAGGACCTGGATTCCATTCCCAGGCAGGGCAAAACCTTAGCCAAGTTTCCTTACTCCACACGCATCTAGCAGTAAAGTAGGAACCTGGTTATTAGCCGATTATTAGTCCGGGGGTAATAATCCCATCAAAAGAAATGTTTTTTAAAAAAAATAACTTGATCACTCAATCCATGACTGTTTGTGGGATGCTGCTGTGTGCAATTGGCTGCCGCGTTTTGCCCACAAAATATACAATCAACTCTCTTTACAGTATATTCTGTGAAGCGCTTTGAGACGTCTCAACATCGTAATAAGGCGCTCCATCAAATGCAAGGATTATTATCATTATTAATAATCGTAATGTTTCGTTCTGTTACTGACTCAGGACTGGACTGAATATGATGAGAAAATCCAGAAGTCTGTGGGAGTCTATGAAGTTACTCATCAGTTTGTCAAAATCTGAACGCGAATGTGCACCGACTGACACTGATACAACCCAAAGCATCTGTGTGATTGCCGTTGCCTGCGGTTCTGCCCACTCCTGAACTGTTGCCGTGCCTTGTGTCAGGGTAAAGGACATTTGCAGGATATCACCACCCGGTTGCCAGTCTGTACTGACTCTCCGCTTCCTGGCTACAGCGATATTAAAACTGCATTTCCAGCTGAAATTCCGATGATTATTTGTCGTTGACATGACTTTCATGCAACTTGACTCTCTTGTGGTGGGGAGACAGGTGAGCAAACCAGTCAGACCATAACCCTTCTCCCTCTGCCTCACTCCTCCCCTCCCTCTCTCCACTCACACCATGTCCACTGCTGTTCAGTGCTGGACTGCAAATACAATAATACAATATAATACATAATATAATAATTCTTGCATTTGATATAGCGCCCTATCACGTCGTTGAGACAGAATATGTTGTAAAGTGGGTTGACTATATTTTGTGAGCGAAATGCGGCAGACAATTGCACACAATTTTACAATAACAACTTGCATTTACATAGCGCCCCTCGTGCGGGGTAGTCACAGAGCACTTGACGGTGGCGGAGCCTGATGCCCAGCCGGGCACGGTCAAAGAGGAAGGTCTTGGGGAAGAAAGGGGCAAAGCCGAGGGATTGAGGAAGAGTTCCAGAGTTTCAGGGGGTAAAATAACATTAGGTTTCCAAAGGTAACTGGATAAAGGGATGTGTGTGTGTGTGGGGAGAAAGGGCAGGGAAATGGGACTGAAAAGATCGCTCCGACAATGTTAAAACAGAAATTGGGTCAAATCATTATTTGTTTAATTTCTGGAACAGATTGCTGAGCTGAGACTGAGCATTCCTGAATTACTGATGTTCTGGCAATGTCTAAGTTATAAGAGCCAACTTGTAACTGCATCGCTCTGACCTACTTTCCCTCAGAACTATTGTTTTTTTAAGTGTTTTTTTGCCCACAATATATACAGTCAATTCACTCAACAGAATATATCGCTTTGAGACTTCTCAACAACATGATAAGTCTGTATCAAATGCAAGGATTATTATTATTATTATTTCCTCTGGCCGCATGGCAATCAGCAGGACATGAACTTTTGTGAGCGTCAGGCTAACGGCAAATAGGTTTGAAGGCAGGTCGTCATTCGTCCTGATCATGACGCTCTGGCATGGGGTTTCGGAGAGTGTGCGGGGGGTGGGCTGAAGGGTGGGTGGGAGAAATAAGCGAAGGGAGCAGCTGGGTGGGTAGGGTTGAAGGAGGTCGCCGGGTGATTATTCCCTGCCAACAGGGAATACACAAAATGCACATTCACTACACTTTACAGTATATCCTTTGAGACGTCTCGACGACATGGTAAGGCGCTGTATCAAACGTGAGGATTATTATTATCATTGATAATAAAAGAAAGGCTAGAACCCAGAACAGTCTCACCCACTGAAGCTGCGAATGTGGAAACAAAGCAATGTCCAGGCTGTTATTGTGTTATCCAGTCCTTTATTTTAATTTCCATTGAACAAAAAACAAATCTGCGAGTTATCCTTCAATCCGTCTCGGGCCGTGTAACCACATGTGCAGCCTGGTTTTTGTCTCCATTCCCATCGCCCGGCAGACGAGTTAACAGAAACTTTGATCGCATTGTTTCAAAGCAGCGGACAACTGCCCCACTCCCCCCCAAATGAACATAAAATGAACGCAAAATGCCAAGTATTTAGAAACTACATAATTTTTTTTAAAAAATAGTGTCTGCTATAGAATCTTACAGCACAGAAGGAGGCCACTTGACCCATTGTGCCCGTGCCGGCTCTTTGAAAGAGCAACCCAACTAGTCCCACTCCCCACCCGACCCCGCTCTTTCCCAAAATTATCTTTGGTAAACCTTTCACAGTTAGTGTTCGGGGAGGGCGGGGGTGGGTAAGAGAGAAAGCGAGGAGAAGAGAGTGGAGACCGCACTGTATCACTGGCCAAAATCAAAAGCTCGAGGGAGAAACCTCCCTCTTGTTAATAAAATAATCAATAAAATAATCAAACTCTTAGATTAAAAATATTATAATCGCGCAAGTTGAACGGGTTATTTTTTGTTGTAGACTAATCAAGTTTAACTCATCCCTCACAATTAAGACCAGAGGTGGGGGAGGGGGGAGGGACTCAGGCTAGAGGGGGCTCAGTCCCCTCAAGTCTATCTGCAGTCGCGCCCTTAAGGGGAGCTGGGAGGAGAAAGTCCTGAGAAAGAGCTGCCCCAAACCCCAGCACCCACTGACTCTCTTGTCCATCTTAAGTGCTCTGAGACGCTCATTTCGCACTATATTCTGTGAAGCCCTTTGAGATGCCGGGGGTGGGGGTGCGGGGGGGAAAATCAGTTTCCAACGGGTCTCCCCTTCAACACATTAAAGATGTCCTCCAGGCTCTTGTTGACGCACTGCAGGAACTCAGGCACGTTGCGGGTGGGGTACCCAGAGACGTTGAAGCCCATCCATTGATCGTGGACCCCGTAGCCCACCCCCAGGCCGTCAGGGACCACGGGGGCAAAACCCCCCAGCTGCACGGCAGGGCTGGTCAGAGTGCTGGTGGACAGGATCACGTGGTTGATCTTGGCGTAGGCTGGATCATGGAAGAATTCAGGCAAAGAGAGCCCCCTGGTAGACGCCAGGTAGCGTAGAGCAAAGAGGTGCCGGTCAAACCCCTGACCTGCGGAGAGGGGTAGAGAAGGAGAGTGGTTAGTCTGTTATTATTATCCTAATGCACACTCTGGGGGTCCCCCAAGCCTTGGCTCTTGCAAGCAGGATACGTCCCTCCAGGGAGAGAGAGAGAGAGCGCATTCCATTCCAACAATCTATCTCTGGGATTTCCACGTGTAGGTGAAATGCCGGGAAATCTCAGTTGGGTTGGGATGCTCTCAAGCAATGGTGATGGGTTTCCTCGTGTGTACCAGACACTCGCCTGACCAAAAAAATACTATTATTAAGTAAACACGGTCTCAAGATATAATAATAGCTCCTCACAGAGACTCAGAGCCGCGAACAGCGAGGTCAACCAAATGACTGTGAGGGTTAGAGCACTCGCTTTGCAAGTGAGAGACCTGAGTTCAATTCCAGGCAGAGGGCGAAACCTTGGGCAAGTTTCCTTACTCCACACAGAGCCTAACAATAATCCCTCCAAAACAAAAAACAATAATAAATTGGTCATTTTCAATCCGCGACTGTTTGTGGGACATTGCTGTGCGCAATTGGCTGCCGCGTTCGCCCACAAATATACAGTCAATTCACTTTACAGTGTGTTCTGTGAAGCGCTTTGGGACGTCCTCCCGACGTGAAAAGCGCTATATCAAATGCAAGGATTATTATTATTATTATTATTATTTAACCAGGAGGAATTGGTGGCCTTTATTGTGTCTGTCGCTGTCTCAGTGTTTGTCCATGTGTGAGAGTGTGCGTGTCAACAGGTGTGTTGTTTCTCTGCGTCTGTGTGTCTTGTTTATCTAAGTGTGCGTGTCTTTTGGTATGTGTCTGTGCTGTGTGTGTCTGTGGTGTGAGTGTGGAGAGGGTGGTGACTGTGTGTGTGTGTGTGTGTGTGGGGGGGGTGACTCTGTGTCTGTGGTGCTTACGTCTATGTGTGTGTCCCTCCTTATCCCTGTATTCCTCTCCTTGCTCTCAATCCTGCCTCCAGTCCCCGCCTCAATGTGAAGTGAAGTCACCTCGACCGTCCCGGTCACTTACCCATGGCGGCCTCTCGGGTCAGCTTGCTGTGGTGCTTGGAGCTCTGGCTGACCATGGCCCTGAGCTCGGCCACGCTGTGCCTGGCCGGCTCCTGGACGAAGGCACGGCAGCAAGTCTGGGCCTGGAGGGAGGCCGGGCGGATGGTCTCTGTCCGGCCGTGACGGAACGCCGCGGTGCTGCACGACTCGTAGCTGGCCACGGTTTGGCCGTACTGCCGCAGGAAGGCCATCTGGAAGGCCAGCTGTGCCACGGCGTCCGGGCTGACCCCTTGGCTCTTCAGGAACTGCTTGCCTCCCCCGCGGAACTCCAGGACGTCGATGGTGAGCGACCCGACAGCCGCCCGGAGCTTCTCCCCGGCTCTGGCCACCCCGGCCTTCACAGTCTCGTCCAGCACGAACTCCAGCTTTCGCACGGCGCGGGCCGAGTCCACGGGCCCCGGGCTGGTCTCCGCGGTGACGCCGGGCCTCCGCGCCGAGTCCCAGTAAATCTCGTTGAGCAGCCGGAGCACGGCCACCCCGTCCCCCCACGAGTGCTCGAAGTTCACTGCGGCGGTCTGGCCGGACACCAGGAGGCTGAGAGACTTGTCGAACCAGCGGTTGATGCCGCTGCCGTGGAGCATAGCGTGGGAGAGGCTGACGGGATCGGTGGCAGAGAGGTCACCGCCGTCCAGGCACAGGCAGAACACGGCCCCGTCCACCCGCTCCAGGGCCTCCGCGTTCCCCGTCTCCTCCAGCCTCCGCCTCAGCCCCGCCCACACGTCCCGCTCCTCGCCGGACAGGAAGCTGAGCGGGAACTCCGGCGGGGGGCGAGGGTCGGAGAGGATGTAGCGCAGGTGGGCCAGGATCTCCGCGGCCGGCACGATCCCACCGTCCGGCCCCAGCACGTCGAAGGTGTAGAAGTGACCGTTCCTCATGACCAGTAGGTGTCGCTCCCCGGGGAGGCTGAGCAGCTCGTCTCGGCCGGGCTGGGGCAGGCGGGTGGAGTTGAAGAGGCGGTGATACTGGGACATGTCCAGCGGGTAGGCGTTGGCCATGTAGGCCACGTACCAGGACAGTGAGGCCGGCACCCAGCGCACCACACGCCTGAAGGCCAGTGTGTCGCTCCGCGATGGGTTCAGGTGGAAGATCTCTGGCTCCAGCAGCCCGGCCCGCAGCGTCTTGAGGAAGCGCAAGGCGGACACGGTCAGGTTGGTGGCTCTCAGCAGCTGGTCGTTGAGTGAGGGATTGGGGTCGGGTTTCAGGGAGATGAAGGGGTTGAAGTTCAAGACCAAGGATTCGCGGGCAGAGAGGTACATGTCAAACCAGGGGCCTGAGGGGGGGGGGGGGGGGAGACAGACAGACAGACAGAGGGAGACACAGAGAGAGAGAGAGAGGAAGGTTATAATAATAATCCTTGCAATTGATATGGCGCCTAATTACGTCGTCAAGACGCCTCAAAGCGCTTCACAAGATATACGGTAAAAGTGTAGTGACTGTGTATTTTGTGGGCACACAAGTTTGGGTGATTGTTGGCCGGGACACCAACCGGGAGAGAGAAACTATTTCGAGTAGCACCGCGGGATCTTTAACATCAACAACAACTTGCATTTATATAGCGGCCTTCACGCGGGATGGAGTCCCGGAGCGCTGGACAGTGGGGAGAGGGAGGGGGGAGGTGACCGTAACTGCCACCAAAAAGGTCTTTTTGGGCGGGATTTGAAAAGTGGGCAGGGAGGGGGCAAGGTGGAGGGATTGAGGAGAGCTCCGGAGTTTCGGGGCGTAGTGGCTGAAGGCACGGCCGCCGATGGCGGAGCGGAGGGGGTGAGGGACAACCGGGGAAAGCCGGAGCCAGCCGAGCGGGTAGTGGAGTGGGGGACAGCAGGTGGGGAGGTGCCGCGGTGTGAAGGGATTTATAGACGAGTGAGAGAAGTCACTGTGAGCTCACAGTCGCTGATGTGGGTCTGTGGCTGAGTGGGTGGGGAGGGTGGGTGGGGGTGAGGGGGTTGCCCGTGCCTCTGTGTGTCACCCAGCGAGGGTTAGGGCAGTAGCTTCCTGGGTGCTCTCACCACCCCAGGCCAGGAGCCACCCCCACCCCCCACTCCCACCCTCACCTGAGATGTAACTGGTGTGTTTGTTCATCTTGTCCTGAGCCACCAGCTCCTTGTGTAGCTCATTCCCATCCTCCCTTTCGAAACTTCGGGCCAGTCGTTCGGTTCTCCTGCAGTAACACACACATGGCCAGAGTGAATACCACACACGCACACACCTTCAGAGGCCGTGCAGCCCCACTGCCTCGCTGCCCCCCCCACCCCGGTAATCGATTTCATACGGCGCCTTCTAACATTCGTTGAGACGTCTCAAAGCTCCTCACAGGATACACTGTGAAGTGAATTGACTGTTTATCGTGCGGGTGAGAGGCGGCAGCCAATGGCCCACAGCAGCGTCCCCACAAACAGTCATGGATTGAGTGACTGCATTTCATCCCCTGGAAAGCGATCGGCCGATCGACAAACAACTGAGTTCCTACTCACTGCCATGTAAACAGAGGTGCGCGGAGTAAGGAAACTCGCCGAAAGTTTTGCCCCGTCTGGGAATCGAACGCAGGTCTCTGGCTTGCGAGGCGAGGCGAGCTCTCTAACCACTGAGCTACAGGACATTTAGAGTGTGGGACAGATTTGACTACTCCCACCCACCCCACCTCCCCCAACTCGTTCCCTATATGAATGATAACGCATGTTAATAAAATATATAAGATAATCCTCACATTTGCCCCCATCACCACTTGCCTACAAATCCCTTCACCCCCTGGCACCTCCCTACCTTTCTAACCTGCTCGCTCCCCACTCCACCACCTCCGGCCTCCTGATTGTCCCTCGTTCCGCTCCACCATCGGCAGCTGCGCTTTCACCCTCTTACACCCCGAAACCCTCACTCTCTCTCCCCCAATCCCTCTGCCTTTGCCCCCCTCTCCTTCCACATCTTCAGGTCGCGCCTGAAGACCTTCCGCTTCAACCGTGCTTACGGTCACTTCCTCCCCCCCCCCACCCCGGCCACCGATGGTGGAGCGGAGGGACGAGGGACAAACAGGTCAGGCTCCGCCACTGCTCAGCGCTCCGAGGCGCTGTGTAAGTGCAAGTTGTTGTTGTTGCCCTGCTGCCTGAGACAGCTCTTACTGATATTGGTCGTCGTCTAAGAGGGGCTTCTGTGCAGCCAAGTAACGTCTCACCGTATCCTCCAGCTTGGGAATGGGCAACCTGGAGATTCACACAGGGAGAGAGAGAGAGATCAGAGACTGGATTACTCCCACTTCCAGCTCGCATCCTCCGTCCCTTTCTCCTTCCACACCCCCCACCCCTTCTCTCTTCCTCCTCGCTCTCCTGCGTAACGCACCCTAAACCCTTACCAGCCTGGTCCAACTTTTGGCTGCTGAGGGTGGCGAAGGTTGGCGAGAGCCATAGCTTGGGGTGGGCAGTGGGTGGGTGGGGAGGGAATCCCAGAGCAATAATTCTGTAATTCTGACATTAATATTATTGATAATAATAATCCACTCATACAATGCCTGATCAAGCCGCCTCAAGGCGCTTCCCGGGGTTTTACTGTCAAGTGTAGTGACTGTGTATTTTTGTAGGCGACCCGGCAGCCAAGTTGCGCACAAAAACGTCCCACAAACAGTGTGAAGTCAATGGCAAAGTTTATGGGGGGGGTTGTGGAGGGTAAAGGGATTGTCAGCCACCGGGGAAAGTGTCAGGGGATCTTAACCGCCCGCGTGAACAGGGCACGGACGGGGGGGGGAGTGAGGTTTAACGTCTCATCCAAAGCCTCTGACAATGCAGAGCTCCCACCACCTCTCACCCCCCCCCCACCCCTCAGCCTGGACTACGTGGGTTCAAAGGGGGCAAAGTGACTTCAAACTTGCGACCACCAGAAGAAGCGTCCAGTATAACTGCCCGCACTGTTTTACGTCAATTTTAAGGCGAAAATATCAGGCCGTCGAGGGGACCGGGGGCAAAGGAGGGTAACTGGAGCCCAGGTACAGATCAGACAGGGTCTGGTAGAATGGCAGAACAGGCTCGAGGGACTGAATGGCCTCGGGGAGGGGGGGGGGAGGGAAAGGAGGACGCCTTTGATCTATTCAATGCTGCCCACAAAGTGCACACAAGTCGAGGAAGGGGTGTGGGGTGGGGGGGAGAGGGAATGAATGAATTCAACCACTTTCCATTCTACACCAAAACAGATCTGCACAAAATCTGCTGACGAGAAGCATTTGCAAAGGGCAACTGAAGCTGAAACGCTGCCTCAACATTTGTGAATTGTTTTTTGGGGGAGAGGGGAGGGAGGGGGGAGAGGGGAGGGAGGAGGGGAGGGAGGGGAGTGAGAGGAGGGAGGGAGGGAGGAGGGGAGAGGGGAGGGAGGGGGGAGGGAGGGAGGTGGGGGAGAGGGGAGGGAGGAGGGGGAGAGGGGAGGGAGGGAGGGAGGGGGGGAATGAGAGGGGGGGAGGAGCGGAGTGAGAGGGGGGAGGGAGAGAGGGGGGAGGGAGGGGGGAGGGAGAGAGGGGGGAGGGAGGGGGGAGGGAGTGGGGGAGAGGGAGGGAGGTGGGGAGAGGGGAGGGAGGGAGGGGGGAATGAGAGGGGGGGAGGAGGGGAGTGAGAGGGGGAGAGAGGGGGGGGAGGAGGGAGGGGGGAGGGAGGTGGGGGAGAGGGGAGGGAGAGGGGGAATGAGAGGGGGGGAGGAGGGAGGGGGGGAGTGAGAGGAAGGGAGGGAGGAGGGGAGGGAGGGAGGGGAGTGAGAGGAGGGGAGAGGGGGAGGGAGGGAGGAGGGGAGAGGGGAGGGAGGGAGGGGGGGGGGAGGGAGAGGAAGGGAGGGAGGAGGGGAGGGAGGGAGGGGGGAGTGAGAGGAGGGAGAGAGGGGAGGGAGGGAGGTGGGGAGAGGGGGGAGGGAGGGAGGTGGGGGAGAGGGGGGAGGGAGGGAGGTGGGGGAGAGGGGGAGGGAGGGAGGTGGGGAATGAGAGGGGGAGGAGGGGAGGGGGGAGTGAGAGGGGGGAGAGAGGGGGAGGGGAGGGGGGAGGGGAGAGAGAGAGGGAGGAGGGGGGGGAGAGAAAGGGAGGAGGGGGGGAGAGAGGGGGGAGGGAGGGAGGTGGGGAATGAGAGGGGGGAGGAGGGGAGGGGGAGTGAGAGGGGGGAGAGAGGGGGGAGGGGAGGAGGAGGGGAGAGGGAGGGGAGAGAGAGAGGGAGGAGGGGGGGAGAGAGGGGGGAGGGGAGGGAGGAGGGGAGAGGGGAGGGGAGAGAGAGAGGGAGGAGGAGGGAGAGGGTTTGCAATTAGTTCAACTTTGACACAGTTTAAATGAACTTTCATCCACTTAATTAGAGAGGAGAGAGATCTTAACCGCTCACTGGAGAGAGAGAGAGAAAAAGGGAAGAGAGAGAGAGAGAGAAATGTGGAGAAAGAAAATAAGAAAGAAGGGGAAAGTGAAAGGAGAGGGAGAGAAGAGGGGACATTTAAAGGAAGGAGAGAGAAGGAAGAAAGGAGAGAGAGAGAGAGAAGGAGAGAGAGAGGGAAGGGGAGAGAGAGGGGAGAGGAGGGGGTGAGGGAGAGTGGGAAGGGGAGAGGAGGGGGGGGCACTGACCGGGGGGGCACTGACCGGGGGAGGGGGGGGGCACTGACCGGGGGAGGGGGAGGGGAGGGGAGGGGGCACTGACCGGGGGGGGGGGGGGGGGCACTGACCGGGGGAGGGGAGGGGGGGGGGCACTGACCGGGGAGGGGAGGGGGGGGGCACTGACCGGGGGAGGGGGGGGGAGGGGAGGGGGGGCACTGACCGGGGGAGGGGAGGGAGGGGGAGGGGGGGCACTGACCGGGGGAGGGGGGGGAGGGGAGGGGGGGCACTGACCGGGGGAGGGGGGGGAGGGGGAGGGGGGCACTGACCGGGGGAGGGGGAGGGAGGGGGGGGCACTGACCGGGGGGGCACTGACCGGGGGAGGGGGAGGGGGGGCACTGACCGGGGGAGGGGGGGGGGCACTGACCGGGGGAGGGGGAGGGGGAGGGGGGCACTGACCGGGGGAGGGGAGGGGGGCACTGACCGGGGGAGGGGGAGGGGGGGGCACTGACCGGGGGGGGGGGGGCACTGACCGGGGGAGGGGGGAGGGGGGGGCACTGACCGGGGGAGGGGGAGGGGGGGCACTGACCGGGGGAGGGGGAGGGGGGCACTGACCGGGGGAGGGGGGGAGGGGGGCACTGACCGGGGGAGGGGGGGGGGGCACTGACCGGGGGAGGGGGAGGGGCACTGACCGGGGGAGGGGGAGGGGGGGGGGCACTGACCGGGGAGGGGGCACTGACCGGGGGAGGGGGGGGAGGGGGGGGGGGGGCACTGACCGGGGGAGGGGGCACTGACCGGGGGAGGGGGGGAGGGGGGCACTGACCGGGGAGGGGGAGGGGGGGCACTGACCGGGGGGGGGGGAGGGGGGCACTGACCGGGGGGGGGGGGCACTGACCGGGGAGGGGAGGGGGGGGGGCACTGACCGGGGGGGGCACTGACCGGGGGAGGGGGGGAGGGGAGGGGGGGGGCACTGACCGGGGGAGGGGGGGGGGGGGGGGGGGGGGCACTGACCGGGGGAGGGGGGGGGGGGGGGCACTGACGGGGGGGGCACTGACCGGGGAGGGGGGGGGGGAGGGGGGGGCACTGACCGGGGAGGGGGGGGGGGGGGGGGCACTGACCGGGGAGGGGGGGGGGGGGGCACTGACCGGGGGGGGCACTGACCGGGGGGGGGGGGGGAGGGGAGGGGGGGGGGCACTGACCGGGGGAGGCACTGACCGGGGGGGGCACTGACCGGGGGGGGGGGAGGGGGGCACTGACCGGGGGAGGGGAGGGGAGGGGGGGCACTGACCGGGGGAGGCTCTTTTGGAAGTGGAGGGTGGGCACGAGGCTGCGGTGCAGGAGGTCGGGATGAGCCGCGGAGCCGACGGCTCTCACCCCGAGACTCCCACCGCCCGCGAGCCGAGCGAGGAGCCCCGGGCCCGGGCCCTGCCTCAGCCTCAGCCCCAACCCCAACCCCAGCCCCGCCATCTCACAGGAGATCCGGGCCGCGGGGGGAGGGAGAGGGGGGAGGGCCGCGGGGGGAGGGAGAGGGGGGAGGGCCGCGGGGGGGAGGGAGAGGGGGAGGGCCGCGGGGGAGGGAGAGGGGGGAGAGGGGGGAGGGGCCGCGGGGGGGGAGGGAGAGGGGGGGAGAGGGGGGAGGGGCCGCGGGGGGAGGGAGAGGGGGAGGGCCGCGGGGGGAGGGAGGGGGAGAGGGGGGAGGGGCCGCGGGGGGGAGGGGAGGGGGGAGGCCGCGGGGTCAGGGAGAGGGGGTGGGGCCCCTCCCCAAGGCCCCGCCCACCGGCCACGAGGTCCCGCCCCTTCCTCACGAGACTCCGCCCATGGCCTCGCCCCCTCCTCCCGAGACTCCGCCCATGGCCCCGCCCCCCTCCCCGAGGCCCCTCTCCTCCCCCGAGGCCCCGCCCTCTCTCTTCCTTAAAGGGAGGTGTCCCGCTCCCAGGAAGCTGCCGTTTCTGTCCACAGCCCAGAATTCGCCCACCACCAGATGGGACGATTTTAAAGGGGAGGGACAGAGGGAGAGGGAGGGGGGGGAGGGAGAGAGGGAGAGAGAGGAGAGGGAGAGAGACGGAGGGAGGGAGGGAGGGAGGGAGGTGTGGTTTTGTAATAATAATAATAATAATATAACAATCCTCGTGTTTGCCTCTCATCACTTCGTTGAGACGTCTCAGAGCGCCTCACGGGCTATGTTGTGAAGTAAACTTATTTTGCGGGTGAGGTTTGCCAATGGCCAATTGCGCTCAGCGGCGTCCGACACACGGTCGTGGATCGAGTGACTGATTCATTATTCTTTTTTAAAAAAACGATTTGAGGGGTTATTACCCCCCCCCCCCCGCGCTGCGGAAAAGCCATCCGCCAATCCACTAACAGCCGGGTTCACCGCGGGGCAAACAGAGGTGTGCGGAGTAAGGAAACTTGCCTAAGGTTGTGGAGTCCTGTAGCTCAGTGGTTAGAGCACTCGCTTTGTTAGCGAGAGTCCAGAGTTCAATTCCAGGCAGAGGGCGAAACCTTGGGCAAGTTTCCTTACTCCACACGGAGCCTAATAATAATCCCTCCAAAACCAAAAACAATAATAAATTGGTCATTTTCAATCTACGACTGTTTGTGGGACATTGCTGTGCGCAATTGGCTGCCGCGTTCGCCCACAAATATACAGTCAATTCACTTCACAGTGTGTTCTGTGAAGCGCTTTGGGATGTCCTCCCGACGTGAAAAGCGCTACATCAAATGCAAGGATTATTATTATTATATAAGGTTTCGCAGCGCCTGGCAATCTCACCGGGGACCTCTCGCTTGTGAAGCGAACTCTTTAACCACTACTCTGCAGGACTCCCACTTTTTTTGTTTTATGTGCGGGTGTGGGAAAGAGAGAGAGAGAGAGAGAGGAGAAAGAGTTTGCACTGTAATAATAATCCTACAATCCGCCCTTCGCATGGGAAGTTAAACTCGGTCCTGTCTGCTTGTTCAGTTGGATGTTAAATATCCCACGGCACAGAGAAGGGAGTTTCTCTCCTCTCTCTCTCTCTCTCTCTCTGTGTCCTGGCCAGCAATTCCCCAAATAAAATTGGTCACACCCGTGGCTGTTCGTGGGACATCACTGTGCCATTGGCTGCCGCAATTCACCCACAAAATCCACAGTCACTCCACTTTACGGTACATTCTGCGAAGCGCTTTGAGACGTCTCAATGATGTGATAAGGCGTATATCAAATACAAGGATTATAATATATTATCTCCCACACTCCCCCCAAACCCCTCTCCCCACTTATCCCCTGCCCCCTACGACTGCCCCCTCCGAACCCGCATCCCAAGCCCGCCATTCCCAATCCCTCCCCCCCCCCAATAATCGTCTTGCTGTGTGTCTTAATAAAGTATCTTACAACGGGATTAAATGCATTGACTTGGGACAGTAACACCATCTGTCGCTTGTTCTCTATTGGGCTGAGTGCTGTTGGTATGTAAAGTGCTGTTGCATTAGTGCTCTCTCGCTCTCTCTCTCTTTTTCTCTCTCTCTCTCTCTCTCTCTCTATCCCCGAGGTAGCCAGAGTCAGCGGGGAGCTGGATGGAGAGAGGGTTCGAGCGCTGAACCAGGCATTGGGACGGGATGGCTGTGGCGTTGGACTCGGTCTCGGTCAGGGTCAAAGATGTTTTTAAGAGGAACGGGCTGCTCATCCTCTCGGTCTTGTCCGTCATCATCGGCTGCTCTCTGGGATTTTTCCTGCGGACCAGACGTCTCTCCGAACAGGTGGGTGTTGACAAGGCGACACCCGCTGAAAGCGGGAGCGACTTCCCCGCAAACGGCCGGGAAATTAACGAGCGATTTTATCAAGGGTGGGGAGGTGGACTGGTCAAGCCCTCTGGGGTCACTGCCCCGCGTGAGGGGCGCTGTGTAAATGCAAGTCGCTGTGCGCGATCGTGTCCGCGGACGGCCTTTCCCGGCCGCTGGCTCTCCCGCACTCTGCGCTCCGCTCGACTTTTGTCAGTTTCCGCCGTATTTACGAACCGTCCCAAGGTTTTCGTTCGCACGGAAATTGGCCGGTCTACATTTCCCTGTCAATAACAACAACACATTGCACTTATATATACGTTTCAGCAAGGACAAGAGCACACGCACACACACACAAGCACAGACACACACACACACACAAGCACAGACACACACACACACACACACAAGCACACACACACACACACAAGCACACACACACACACACAAGCACACACACACACAAGCACAGACACACACACACACACACGCACAAACACACACACACACACAAGCACAGACACACACACAAGCACACACAAACACACACACACACAAGCACAGACACACACACACAAGCACAGACACACACACACACACAAGCACAAACACAGACACACACACACAAGCACAGACACACAAGCACAGACACACACACACACGCACAAACACACACACACAAGCACAGACACACACACACACACACACAAGCACAGACACACACACACGCACACACAAACACAGACACACACACACAAGCACAGACACACAAGCACAGACACACACACACACGCACAAACACACACACACACACAAGCACAGACACACACACACACAAACACAGACACACACACACAAGCACAGACACACACACACACACAAGCACAGACACACACACACACAAACACAGACACACATACACAAGCACAGACACACACACACAAGCACAGACACACACACACACACAAGCACAGACACACACACACAAGCACAGACACACACACACACACAAGCACAGACACACACAAACACACAGACACAGACACTCACAAGCACAGACACACACACACAAGCACAGACACACACACACACACAAGCACAGACACACACACACAAGCACAGACACACATACACACACAAGCACAGACACACACACAAGCACAGGCTCACACACAAGCACAGACACACACACACAAACACACACACACACAAACACACACACACAAGCACAGACACACACACACAAGCACAGACACACACACACAAGCAGAGACACACACACACACACACAAGCACGGACACACAAGTACAGACACACACACACACAAACACAGACACACACACAAGCACAGACACACACAAGCACAGACACACACACACACACACACAAGCACACACACACACACACACAAGTACAGACACACACACAAACACAGACACACACACAAGCACAGACACACACACACACAAGCACAGACACACACACACACACACAAGCACAGACACACACACACACACAAGCACAGACAGACACACAAGCACAGGCTCACACACACAAGCACAGACACACACACACAAGCACAGACACACACACACAAGCACAGACAGACACACAAGCACAGGCTCACACACACAAGCACAGACACACACACACAAGCACCGACACGCACACAAGCACCGACACGCACACAAGCACCGATTCGTACACAAGCACCGACACGTACACAAGCACAGACATACACACACTCGCACAGGCACGCTCACACTCGCACAGACACACTCACAAATACACAAGCACAGATGCACATATAGATACACTCCCTCCATACACATACATCCATACATATACACAATAGTGGCTGTCACGTTAGGGGGATGTCCCAAGATGCTGGCGCGGATACCCAACAGACAGATACACACACACACACACACACACACAGACACCCGTCCTCCTTCCCTACACAAACCCCTATATATATATACACGCTCACTCATATTGTAATCCTTACATTTAGTGCCTTTCATGTTGGGTGGACGGCAGCTCAGAACTTCACAGGATTTTACTGTAAAATATAATGAGTGTGTTTTGTAGGCGAAATACATTAACCATTAAACACATCAGTCATCAGCACACATGCACATATACATAGACACGCAGACACATATAGTCACACACAGATAGACAGACACGCAGTCACACACAGAGTCACACACACATAGACACGCAGACACACACAGGCACCAGATACGTACATACAGTCACCCACACACTCACATTGACATATAGACATAGATACACAGATACACAGCCAGATACCAGACGCTCACATATAGTCACCCACACGCACATAGTCATATAGACATACACACATAGTCACACACACATAGACATAAACACACAGACTCATGGGTGTAGACAAACAAAACACAACACACACTGACATACACAGATATAGACTTGAGTATAAACACACACAGACACATCGGCATAGACTCATACATAAACACACACGGACACGGACACACACAATTTAGATTTACACCGACGCACAGACAGAGAGACAACCCCACACAGGGACATCTCCTATGTAGTTATAATCGAATCTTAAATGAAATATTTCTCGAATTACAATTTGTGAACAGAGTGTTGTGATTCTCTGCTGAAGACCTTTCTTTTCGACCGCGAAAGGTGACTTTGGTCACCTTCCTCCCCCTCCCCCTCCCCCTGGGCTCGGTCCCGGGATCCGTTACTGTAAAGCGCTCTGAGACGTGGTCCACCGTGGAGGGCGCTATATAAATCCAAGTTGTTATTGTTGATTGGTGTCTCCTCAATGGGTCTCTTTTTCCATTGTCCTCATGCGTTTCCCGAGTCACGAAGCAAACTCTGTATAGTAAACAGAAAACTGCACCGCTATATAACTAAGTTAACCTGACCTTTCAGCGCTCCCGGAAGCTACCCTGTGTGAGGGGCGCTGCATAAATGCAAGTTGTTGCTGGTGTATTTCTATGTTGTATTTATGTATATTTATATTTTTTTAAAAATCGCTTCATTTATTTCTGTGGGTGGGCGCTGGGTTGAACGTCTTATAATCCGAGTCTGTTTTGGCTTTGGATCTAATTATTATAGGAAATAAAATATTTCCAGTTTCCTGGAGAGCTGCTCATGAGGATGTTGAAAATGTTGATTTTGCCTCTGGTGGTTTCAAGGTTAGTGTTGACTTAGCACCAACCGCCCCTTTACCTCTCCCTTCTCCCCCTTCCGTTTCCACGCCTCTCCCCCTTCACCCCCCACTCCATTCCATCCCCCCCTCCCTCCCCCCCCCACAATTTATTTTATTACAGTAATCTTTGCCATGCCACTCTGAATATTAGTAAAGATCTCTCTCCCGCTGCGCATTTTCTAATCTCCTTTCCATCAATTTACCTAAAGTATAGTATTAACAGTGACCTGAAAGCTCCCTCCCAGCTGCTTTCTCTATATTGATGGGCAAAGTAATACTTTATTAAAGGGATAGTGCCTTGTCGGTAGAAAGAGAGAGAGAGAGGGAGGGAGGGCGCGGGGGGTGAGTCAGGGGCACAAGTCGAGGATTGTTTTAAAGAACATAAGAATTTGCTGAGCGATGCTAAGGTCCATCTAATTTGCCTTCCGCCATCCTGGCAGTGGCTTGTTCTGTCGTGTCCCAAACCATTTACTGTACCCCCAGATAAGGATTTGCTTGGCGCAAGAAGACCGAGGTCCTTTTCTGGCGGCCTCCGTAATCCCCCCGCCCCTCCTTTCCCCCTCGTACCCACTCTCCGAGATTCAAATTTGCGCCCCAAATTAAAGGTTCGCCACACGCAGATCCTCTTCCCATTTCACCTGAGGATGAACGAGACATCAACCTTCCCCACTCGAGGCAGCTCTCGACTCTCTCCCCCTCTCTCCCTCTCGCCCTCGGACTTGCTCACTCCTTGCTCCACCGCCCGCCTCCGCTCGGCTGGCTACGACCTCCTGCTCGTCCCACGTGCCCCTCCGCTCCACCATCGCTACATCGCTATCACATCGTCGAGCAGCGACTGGATATTTTGTGGGCACAGCAGTGTCCCAACAACAGCCATGAAAACGGCTTCTAAATCCTGTCTGGAAGTATATTTTTGCCCCCCCCCCCCCACTATTAATTCTGCTCATCTTTAAACTTCAAAGCCCAATTCAGTGTTGCCAAGTGCCATTAAGTGAGAGCCACGAGATGGCGCTAAACCCCAGCACACCTGTGCTACCATTTTTTTGGGGGTCGGCCCAAGGTCTGACACCTGCGGAGACCCATCACCGTTGCTTAAGAGTCTCCAAACCAAGCTGAGAATTCCCCGTCTCCCACCTACACCTGGAAAACCAAGAGATAGATTGTTGGAATGGAACGCGCGCTCAAACTCTCTCTCCCCGGAGGGATGCCTCCTGCTTACCTAATTCCAGAGAGTATTAGGCACAGGTTAGCGAGAGCCCAGGCTTGGGGAACCCCAGCGTGTGCTGAAACCACACGGCTTGCCATTGAGAGCGCTGTATGGCAAGCTTTCCTGCTGCTTGGGCCACCCTGGGTTTTAATTTAATTTAATAATGGAGGAACTATTACCCCCGGTTAGTGATCCACCAATAGAATAATAACCGGGTTCCTACCTACTGCTAAGTAAACAGAGGTGTGTGGAGTAAGGAAACTTGCCTAGAATCGACCCGGGTTCCTGTCACTTGTGAGGCGATTGAGCTACAGGATTCACATGACCAATACGCTGCAGGACTCCAAAATGTAGTGACTGTGTGTTTAGTGGGTGAAAGCGGCAGAACGTGAGGCCATGGGTTTAGAGTTGCAAAGAGGTGATTTCAGGACAGAGACGAGGAAGTGTTTCTTTATTGGGAGGGTAATTAACGACTGGTGCACAGTTACCAGGAAGGTAACTTACTCCACACAGAGCCTAATAATAATCCCTCCAAAACCAAAAACAATAATAAATTGGTCATTTTCAATCTACGACTGTTTGTGGGACATTGCTGTGCGCAATTGGCTGCCGCGTTCGCCCACAAATATACAGTCAATTCACTTTACAGTGTGTTCTGTGAAGCGCTTTGGGACGTCCTCCCGACGTGAAAAGCGCTATATCAAATGCAAGGATTATTATTATTATTATTATAGGGTGGTTGAGGCCAGGACACTGGGACTTGTTTAAAAACCAGCTGGATGCTGTGATGGGGGTGTGGCGGGATGGGACGGTTGGGCGGGGTGTCTGGAGCGAGGAGATCGGTTGGGTCAAGGAGCTTTCTTCATATAAACTTATCTTTGATTGTTTAATCCCTGCTATATGGATGTTTAGTCCAGTGACCGATTTCCACGTTTAGCTCCATAATCCACTTTATGTACAGTGTCTCAGAATCGCCTGGCGCAGTGGGTATCGCTCTCACCGCTGAGCCAGAAGGTTGTGGGTTCAAGCCCCCGCGCTAGGACTTGGAATCACGCGGCCTAAGCTGACGCTCCAATGCAGCACTGGGGGGGGTGTTGCATTGTCGGAGACGCCATCCTTCAGATGAGACGTTAAACCGAGCTCCCGTCTGTCTGCTCAGGTGGACATTAAAGATCCCACGGCACTATTCACAAAGAACAGAGTTTCCTCTCTCTCCTGGTGTCCTGGTCGACAATCCCCCAAATAACATCAGCCGCTCGCTCCATGGCTGTTTGTGGGACACCGCTGTGCACAAATTAGCTGCTGTGTTTTGCCCACAGTCGATTTGCTTCACGATATATTCTGTGAAGAGGTTTGAGACGTCTCAGCAGCATATTAAGGTGCTGTACTAAATACAAGGATTATTATTATTATTGAAGATAAGCGGTTTAGCATTGTGTTAAACCTGCTCTCCGAACACTGACTTCTGAACCTGATCTACAACAGTGCTGGGAAAGCCACTTAAGTCTTTATACTCAGCGACCGCCGACAACATATGGCTCGGCCCAGCCTCAAGCCTCTTTATTTTTGGCCAACCAGGTGTCTGACACACGCGGAAACCCATCACTGTGTCTCCAAATAAAATAATGATCATAATCCTTGCATTTGACACAGCGCCTCAAACTCCCTTCTCTTTTCGAACTGCGCTGCGGGAACTTTAACATCCACCTGAACAGGCAGACGGAACCTCGGTTTAATGTCTCACCTGAAGGATGACACCTCCGACAATGAAACACACCCCACAGCGCTGTATCGGATACACCTTAGACTATGCGATTCCAAATCCCGACCTGGGGGCATGAACCCACAACCGCCTGACTCAGAAGCGAGAGCGTTGCTGAGCCAGGCTGACACCTAATCAAACTGAGAATGGAATGCGCTCTCTCTCTCTCTCTCTCTCCCTGGAGGGACGTATCCTGCTTACTTCAGTCCAGAAAGTGGAGTCCTGTAGCTCAGTGGTTAGAGCACTCGCTTTGCAAGTGAGAGACCTGAGTTCAATTCCAGGCAGAGGGCGAAACCTTGGGCAAGTTTCCTTACTCCACACAGAGCCTAATAATAATCCCTCCAAAACCCAAAACAATAATAAATTGGTCACTTTCAATCCACGACTGTTTGTGGGACATTGCTGTGCGCAATTGGCTGCCGCGTTCGCCCACAAATATACAGTCAATTCACTTTACAGTGTGTTCTGTGAAGCGCTTTGGGATGTCCTCCCGACGTGAAAAGCGCTATATCAAATGCAAGGGTTATTATTATTATTCTGTGAAGCGCTTTGAGACGTCGAGAAGACGTGAAAAGCGCTATATCAAATGCAAGGATTATTATTATTATTATTTATTATTATAGAAAGTATTAGGTGCAGGTTAGTAAGCCAAGGCTTGGTAGGAGCCCAGAGTGTGTGTTGGGGTAACCAGTAAAAACCACACAGTTTGCCATTGGTATCGCTGTCCGCCAAGCTCTCCCGCTGCTTGTCCAGTCAGGACCTCCTGACCCGTTAGGGCTTTGGCTTTCAGGGTTAACAGGAGCTGAGTGGGAGGATTCCCTGCCCCCAGTGACTGGACTGCCCTTCCAGGTCCAGGCTGGGGTGGGACCTGGAATACTGCGGATCCAGAGGTGAAAGGACAGTGTGTTTACCCCCCGAGCTGGGGGTCCCTCCCACCCCGATGTGGAACGTCAGTGCAGAGTCCAGCTTTGCCTTATCATCTGTTGCCACGTCCCGCACAGCAGTCAGGTCACTCGGGGTGGTTGGCGATCCACAGCTTTCTGTACAGACCCCGCGACTCCACCTCTTCAGACGCGCCATGGCCACCCCTCCCCTCCCTCCTCTTTCCCTCCGCCCCCACTCCCCAGTCTCCTCTCTCCCCTCCTCCCCTCTCCTCTTCCCACTTGCTCGGTGTTCGACCCTGTCCATGTCCCTATGTGTACATGTCTCTCTGCGTGTGCTGTGTGTGTCTTTGTGTGTGAGAGGGAGAGAGAGAGAGAGAGAGAGAGAAATGCTCTCTAACACTAGGCTTTAACTTAAGAGTCGGTCAGTGTTGGCGACATTGGCAAACGGGGAGGTTTTGGTCTGAGTTGACCAGTGTCTGTCGGTCACAGCGATCAACAATTTTTTTTTGTCGATAATTGCTAAAATCTCTCATGATATCTTTATCCGTAATCCGTGCGTCCAGCGCACAGCCCCTGCCCTGCGTGCCACGCACTAATCCTTCTATTTATACTCAGCCCGAAATTCCCTTCGCAAGCAACGGTGGTGTCAAGTGTAGTGACTGTTTGTTTCTCTTGCGCGCACTGACCTCCTGACTCGATGCAAGCGTGAACGATTTTATTCAGCAGCAACAACAAGATTACATTCATACAGCGCCTTTCACCTCGGGGGGACGTCCCAAGGCGCTGGACAGGCAGGGATTTGGGCCCGAGCTGGGGGCTGGGATCGGGACGGGGTGGAGGGCAGGGAGGGTGAGTGAGGGGGCGTAGGAGGGTGGCTGAAGGCACGGTCGAAGAGGAGGATCTTGAGACAGACCTTGAAGGAGGCGAGGGGAGGGAGGGAGGCGATGCGACTGGGATGGAGTTCCAAAGGTTGGGGGCAGAGAGACTGAAAGCTCAACCGCTGATGGTAGAGTGGGCAAGGTGGGGGACATGGAGGCTGCTGAGCAGAGGGAGTGGACGGGGTGTGGGGGTGTGAGGGGGGGAATTTGTTGGCTGCGATGCCGTGTAGAAACTCTTCTCCTTCCCGATTGCGCCCCGAGCAGGCGGGATAGTTAACACTCACCCCCAGACAGGCATAGACAGGGAACTGGGTTAAACGTCTCATCAGAAGGATGGCGCCTCCAACGGTGCAACGTGCCACCCTTAAATGAAGAAGCCTCTTTTGCCCAACCTGATCTCCTGCCTCCAGACTCCCTGCCCGCCCTCCCTCCCCCAGGCACAGCATCGAGCCGCTGTTTAAACGAGTCCCAGTGTCCTGGCCTCAACCGCCCCCCCCCCCCACCAGTCACCCTGTTTCCCTCGTTAATTCCGCTCGGGGTAAAGAAACACTTCCTGAAATTACCCCTTTACAAACTCTTAAACCCATGGTCTTGTGTTCCACTGTCCTGCCCCCCTCGCCCCGCCTGCCTTGTCATAACTCATCTCTCTACCGCGGGGGAGGAATCAGAAGAGGAATTCTCTGACCTTGATAGAATGATAGAACCCTACAGCGCAGAAGGAGGCCATTCGGCCCATCGTGGTTGTGCCGGCTCTTTGAGCGAGCTATCAACTAGTCCCACTCCCCCGCTCTTACCCCAACTAGTCCCACTCCCCCCGCTCTTACCCCAACTAGTCCCACTCCCCCCGCTCTTACCCCAACTAGTCCCACTCCCCCCGCTGTTACCCCAACTAGTCCCACTCCCCCGCTCTTACCTCATAACCCTGCAATTTTTCTCCTTTTCAAGTCAATATCCAATTCCCTTTTGAAAGCAACTATCGAATTTGCTTCCATCACCCCTTCAGCCAGTGCGTTCCAGACCGTAACAACTCTCTGACGTCTTCTAAAACAATCGAGTGATCGTTGTAATTTCTCTTCCATCACCCCCCCGCCCATCCCGTGTCTCAGAGCCTCTTCACGTCACCACTCCTCCAGTGAGGGACTGTGTCGATAATAATAATCCTTGCATTTCGATACAGCGCCTTATCATGTCTTCGAGACATCTCAAAGCGCTTCAGAGGATAAACTGTAAAGTAAATTGACTGTGTATTTTGTGGGTGAAACGTGGCACATAATGTCTCATACACAGATGTCGATGTTGCAGACAGCATAAAATCCAGGCATTTTGTCACAATCCGCTAATGGACCAGACATCTGCTGCTGTGGTTTTGACCTTAACAATGTTTGCCTCTGGAACTCGTGATTGTAAACCAGAGGATTATATCAGAGCTCCCTCTCCCCAGGGCGTCCACAGAGTCCTGTTATCCCCTATTACAAAACAGCGATACGAGTCTACAGAGCTGAAATAAGACGTCAGGGATACATTTCACCTTCTCACTCATTCCTTCCATGTTCCGGGCGATGTGACACCAATTATAACGGCAGATTATTATCGGCCACGAAAATGATGGCTCTCACACACTCACTCGTCCTCTGGACGGCTAAGTGCAGTTTAACTCTTGTACTGTCTTTGTTTAAATCTGAATACAATTTACATAATTCTTCCACGTTTCAGCTGTTGGGGGGGAAAAAAACATGGGGCTAATAGGACTTTGCGAACACTTTATCGCAACAATTGCTTTCCGCAACCAAACTGCGGAGGAGTTCTGTAGCGTAGTGGTTAGAGCACTCGCTGCGCTAGCGAGAGAACTCGGGTTTGATTTGCGAAACCCTAAGCATGTTTCCTTACTCCACACGCCTCTATTTACCTGGCAGCTAGTAGGTATCCGGTTGTTAGTGGATTGTCGGATCATTTTATCAGATGCAAGGATTTTATTATTATAATAAATGTAGATGTTCAGTGCATTAAAATGTTTCAGTAAATGGTGTGTCTGTGTGCAAATTTGTGCGTGTTGTCTGTGATTGCGTGTGAATGTCTGTGCACGTGTGTGAATGTCTGGACATGTGCGGTGTGCTGTATCTGTGCGTGCCCGTGCGCTACAACAAACGAAAGGATGTCCTGTAGCTCAGTGGTTAGAGTACTCGCCTCGCAAGTGAGAGACCTGGGTTCGATTCCTGGGCAGAACGAAATGTTGGTCAAGTTTCCTCACTCCACACGCCTCTGTTTACTCAGCAGTAAGTAGGAACCCAGTAGTTAGTCGATTGGCGGATCGCTTTTCCAGGGGTGATAATCCCTTCATCAAAGATACGTAAAATAATAATAATTTGATCACTTAATCCATAGCTGTTTGTGGGGACACTGCTGTGTGCAATTGGTCTCCACGTTTCGCCCACAAAATACAGTCAATTCACGTTACAGTGTATTCTGTGAAGCGCTTTGAGACGTCTCAAAGATGGGTTAAGGCGTTGTATCAAATGCAGGGATTATCATTATATTGTGGTGATATTATTTTCTCTTGGCAGCCTGATGTCGGGGCTGGCAGCGCTGGATGCCAAAGCCTCGAGCCGGCTGGGCCTGATCACCATCGCCTACTACCTGTGGACCACCTTCGTGGCTGTGGTGATCGGCATCATCATGGTGTCCATCATCCACCCTGGAGGGGCCGCGCAGAAGGAGAGCACAGAGGACAGCGGCAAACCCATCATGAGCTCCGCAGACGCCCTGCTAGATCTGATCCGGTCAGAGCTCTCTATTCTAACCCCATTCCCTGCTCTCTCTCCCCCCATCGTGTCTGTGTTGGGGCTCACTCCCCCACTGGAGCTCTCTACTCTAACCCCATTCCCTGCTCTCTCTCTCTCTCTCCATCGTGTCTGTGCTGGGGTTCGCTCCCCCACTGGAGCTCTCTACTCTAACCCCATTCCCCTGCTCTCTCTCCCCCCATCGTGTCTGTGCTGGGGCTCACTCCCCCACTGGAGCTCTCTACTCTAACCCCATTCCCCTGCTCTCTCTCCCCCCATCGTGTCTGTGCTGGGGCTCGCTCCCCCACTGGAGCTCTCTACTCTAACCCCATTCCCTGCTCTCTCTCCCCATCGTGCCTTTGTCAGGTCAGTGTGGTGTATGTTGTTTAGTGTGTTTCCCTCCGCACTGAACTCTTATCTCTAATTTCTCTTTCACTTAAAGGAACATGTTCCCGTCCAATTTAGTTCAAGCCACATTTAAGCAGGTGAGGGCTCGCCCGGTGAGTTGCCTTGTTAAGAGGGAAGTAATTAACGCCTCAGCTTGTCCCAGTAGTCAACACACTCACTTGTGAGTCAGGGGTTTGTGGGTTCGAATCCTACGTCAGGGTCTTTGAGCTCACAGTCCAGGCTGACTGGGGGGGTAGGGAGCACTGCATTGGCAGAGGTGTTGTTCTTCGGGTGAGATGTTAAACCTCACTCCCCATCTATGCCCTGCTCAGGTGGGCATTAAAGATCCCGCAGCTGTCGGGGAAAAGAGAAGGGAATTTCTCTCTCTTTCTCTCTCTCTGTCGGCCAGGACAATTCCCAAATAAAATCGCTTACTTCACGGACGCTGGGATGTCGATGCGTTCTGATGGGTAGCCACGTTCGCTCACAAAACACACAGTCACTACATTTGACAGTGGTCAGAGCATTCACCTCGCAAATGCAAGCAAGAGGACCCGGGTTCGATTCCCAGGTGGGGCGAAACCTTAGGCAAGTTTCCTTGCTCCACACGCCTCTGTTTACCTAGCAGCAAGTCGATTGGTGAGTTGTTTTCCTGGGGATAATTAAACCCTTCAAAAAAAAATACTAGTAATAATTTGGTCACTCAATCCACGACGGTTTGTGAGACGTCGCTGTGTGCTGCGTTTCGTCGACAAAATACACAGTCACTTCACTTTACAGTATATTCAGTGAAGCGCTTTGAGACATCACAGCGACGTGATAAGACCCTATATCAAATGTAAGGATGATTATTATTATTAATGGCATTGAGATGCCGAAGAGCGCTGTGTGAAGGACAGGCCTTGATCCCCCTGTAACCACTCTCTGTGTCTAACAGTATCGAACAAAAATTGTCCCGATCGTGATATCAGTGAAGATATTGGGTTCGGAGCCGGCTACCAGGATTCCCCTGATCTATGGGATTCATGGTGACAATAACTCGGTCGTCATCCAGAACTTTACCCTGGATATCACCCCGCCTCCCGAAATCATCTACAAATCCGGCCCGGGATCCAGCGACGGAATGAACGTGTTGGGAATTGTGATATTCTCCGCCACAATGGGTGGGTGGGGTGCGCGGAGAGAAGGGGCTATGTGTGGGTGGGTGCGGGGGGTGGGGTGAGGAGTTAAAGATCTGGTGGCACTGTTGGAAAAAAGAAGAGTTTCTCTCTCCCGGTGTCCTGGCTGACACTCCCTCACCAATCGCTCACCCTACCCCACCTACCCACACACACACACACACACAGATAAAATTGCTGACTCCCTTCCCGGCTGCTTCCACAGACGTCGTCGTGCGCAAAAAATTGGCTGCCACATTCGCCCGCGAAACACATAGTCACTACACTTCGCTGTAAAACCCTGCAATGTCGAGATACCAGGATTATTGTTGAACATTTGTGTGCGCAGTGGGTGGGGGCGGGGGTGGAGGGGGGAGGTCGGGGTGCTTTTACTGTGCGCCTCGCTGGCCCGATGGTGGCTGTGTCACCATCCATGGCTCTCTGTGCCGGGGACGGTGATCATTGCTGTGTGAGCTGGCACTGGCGCTGGTAGGCCAGGGGCCGGGGGGGTGTCTCCTGTGAGTGTGAGTGTGTGTGTGTTTGCAGGTATAATGCTGGGGAGAATGGGCAAGAACGGAATGCCTCTGGTCAGCTTCTGCCAGTGTCTCAACGAGTGCGTCATGAAGATCGTCGCAGTGGCAACCTGGTGAGTGAGATGGGTTCTTGGAGGGGTGGCGGGGGGGGTGGGGGTGGGGGGTCAGGCAGAGGGGGCTCCCGTGATGGAGTTCCAGAAGGTGGGGAGGCTGAAGGCTGATGGTGGAGCATGCAGGGTGGGCGGGGGGTGGGTGGGGGAAACGTGGAACAGACCAGTGCCTCCAGAGCAGAGCGTAGGGAGCGGGCGGGTTGGTGAACTTTTAATGGGTCGCAGAGTGGTGGGTGGGGTGGGGGTTGGGAGGGTGGATCATCAACAACAACAACTAGCATTTACACAGTGACTTGACGTTGGGCAGTGTCTTGGGACGCTGAACAGTGGCGGAGTCTGACCCCGAGCCGGGGGGAGGGAGGAGAAGACCGTCAGCGCGGTCAAGGAGGAAGGTCTTCAGTCGTGATCTAAAAGAGGGAAAGGAGGGAGGGGGCGAGAGGGTGGGATTGCCTGGGGGGTGGGATTGGGTGGGGGAAGAGAGTTCCAAAGCTTCGGGGCGCAGTGCCTGAAAAGCGTAAAGAGGGCTTTAAAGGTCACGTTCCCCGATCGATCCGCCGGAACCTTTTTCCGCAGTTACTTCCCGTTCGGCATCGTGTTCCTGATAGCCGGGAAGATCCTGGAGATGGATGACCCGACGGCTATTGGGAAGAAGCTGGGATTTTACGCGGTGACGGTGGTGTGTGGGCTGGTGGTTCACGGCCTCTTCGTGCTGCCCATGGTCTATTTCTTCATCACCAAGAAAAACCCCATCGTCTACATCAGGGGCATCCTGCAGGCCCTGCTCATCGCTCTGGCCACCTCCTCCAGGTACTGGGTGGGTGGGGGGCACTGACAGAGCCAGGGTGGGGTGAAGGCGTCGGCCAGGGTTCCTGCTCCATTTCAGCAACGCTAGCATGTACCTATGTGTCTGTGTGTTAGTGTATGTGAGTGTGTGTGTCTATATCAGGAGTATACGCGTGTGTGTGTGTGTCAGTGAGTGTGTTGTCAGTGTTAGTGCGTGTGAGGGTGTGTGTAAGTCAGGCTGTGTGCGTATTGTCAGTGTTAGTGCGTGTGAGGGTGTGTGTAAGTCAGCGTGTGTGTGTGTGTGTGTGTTGGCAGTGTTAGTGTGTGTATGTGCAGCGTCAGTGTGTGATTCCAAGAGTTTTGACCTCAGCGAGAAGCTGCTGTGTCCTCTCCTGACCTGACACCCTCAGCCCTGGTGGGGGGAAGCGGTGATGTGGAGCGAGCAAGTGCTCAGGAGGAAGGGGTGGGGTGGGGGGAAGCGGAGGGGGTCCCAGACTGACAACATTCTCATCCCCCCCCCTACCAACCCCTCCCGCGCACACGCTCACCAACCCTCAGGGTCTGACTCTCTGCTCTATCTCCCCCCCCCCCCCCCCAGCTCGGCCACGCTACCCATCACGTTCAAGTGCCTGTTAGAAAACAACCACATTGACAGACGGATAGCCCGCTTTGTGCTGCCGGTGGGGGCCACCATCAACATGGACGGGACGGCGCTGTACGAAGCCGTGGCCGCCATATTCATCGCTCAGGTCAACAATTACGAGCTGGACTTTGGGCAAATCATCACCATAAGGTACCGCGCGAGGGTTGGCGGGGGATCCCACTTACACTGCTGGGGGTGTAGGCAGCCGGGTGTCTGACACACACGGAAACCCGTCACTGTGACCGGCCGGGTGTCTGACACTCACGGAAACCCGTCACTGTGACCGGCGGGTGTCTGACACACACGGAAACCCATCAACATGACCGGCGGGTGTCTGACTCACACGGAAACCCGTCACCATGACCGGCCGGGTGTCTGACTCACACGGAAACCCATCACCGTGATCAGCCCAGTGTCTGACACTCACGGAAACCCGTCACCGTGACCGGCGGGGTGTCTGACACACACGGAAACCCGTCACCATGACCGGCCGGGTGTCTGACACACACGGAAACCCCATCAACGTGACCGGCCGTGTGTCTGACACACACGGAAACCCGTCACCGTGACCGGCCGGGTGTCTGACACACACGGAAACCCATCAACATGACCGGCGGGTGTCTGACACACACGGAAACCCGTCACCGTGACCAGCCCGGTGTCTGACACACACGGAAACCCGTCACCGTGACCGGCCCGGTGTCTGACACACACGGAAACCCGTCACCGCAATCAGCCGGGCGTCTGACACACACGGAAACCCGTCACCGCGAACAGCCGGGTGTCTGACACTCACGGAAACCCGTCACCGTGACCGGCCGGGTGTCTGACACACACGGAAACCCGTCACTGTGACCGGCGGGTGTCTGACACACACGGAAACCCGTCACCGTGACCGGCCGGGTGTCTGACACACACGGAAACCCATCACCGCGATCAGCCGGGTGTCTGACACACACGGAAACCCGTCGCTATAATTAAGAGAGTATCCAAAGGACTCTTCACATGAGACGTTAAACCGAGCCCTGTTCAGGTGGACGTTAAAGAATCCGCAGGGCTTTGAAAGCGTTTTCTCTCCCGGTTTCCTGACTGACAATTTGTGGGATATTCCCGCCTTCACCCACAAAAATGCACAGTCATTATATACTATATACCATATACCCCCTATGGAGATCCCGGGAAGCGCTTTGACAGGTCTTTCCGATGTGAAAAGCACTGAATCAATCCAACTTGTTTCCTTATCACTGCTTCACTCTCGCTGCCGTTTTCTCTCTCTTATTCCCTAGCGCTCCGGGTGAAGGGCGCTATATAAGCTGTGAAGCGCTTTGAGACGTCTGGAAGACGCGATAAGGCGCTGTGTCAAATGCAAAGCTTATTATACCTTTTTTTTCTTTGTTTCTCTTTCTCCTCTCTGTGTCTCTCTTTCTCTCTCTCTGTCTATCTGTCTCCCCCGCCCTCTCTCGCTCTCTCTCTCTCTCGCCGCGTCTCTCACCCTGCCCCCGCCTGTTATAGTATCACAGCGACGGCGGCCAGTATTGGAGCTGCAGGGATCCCCCAGGCCGGGCTGGTGACCATGGTCATCGTCCTGACCTCTGTCGGGTTGCCCACCGACGACATCACTCTCATCATCGCCGTGGACTGGGCTCTGTGAGTTCCTCTGCTTTCCCTCCCCAAGCACACAGTCACTACACTTTACGCTAACATCCTGCGAAGCGGTTTCATGACGTCCACAAACTCACAGTCACTACACTTCACAGGGAAACCCTGCAAAGCGCTTTAAAGCGCACTCCCGACTTGAGCGGGAGACGTGTGTCAAACGTACGATTATTATTATTTTATTTTCGTTATTATTAATGTCACGATTCACACGGACCACACTCGCTTCCTAACCCCCACCCCCATAGCGCTGTGTCTGGGGGGGGGCTGTGTCACACAGTGCTGTGTCGGGGGGGGGGGGGGGGCGGTGTCACAGAGCTGTGTCTGGTGGGGGGCGGTGTCACAGAGCTGTGTCTGGTGGGGCGCTGTGTCATACAGTGCTGTAACTGGGGGGGGGTCACAGTGCTGTAACTGGGGGGGTATCACAGAGCTGTGTCTGGGGGGTGTCACAGAGCTGTGTCTGGGGGGGTGTCACAGAGCTGTGTCTGGGGGGCGTGTCATACAGTGCTGTGTCTGGGGTGGGCGGTGTCACAGCGCTGTGTCTGGGGTGGGGGGTGTGCTGTGTCTGGGGTGGGGGAGCAGTGTCACACAGCGCTGTGTCTGGGGTAGGGGGGGCACTGTGTCTGGGGCAGGGGAGCAGTGTCACACAGCGCTGTGTCTGGTGGGGGGGGCACTGTGTCTGGGGCGGGGGAACAGTGTCACACAGTTGTGTCTGGTGGGGGGGGGCACTGTGTCTGGGGAGCAGTGTCACACAGCGCTGTGTCTGGTGGGGGGGCACTGTGTCTGGGGCTCACACAGCACCGAGGGCTCACAGCGAGGCGTCCTGGGTTACAGAGATCGATTCCGGACGATGATTAATGTGCTGGGGGACGCCCTGGCCGCGGGCATCATGGCTCACCTCTGTCGCAAGAACTTCACTCAGGAGACTGACGAGGTGAGAAACATGACAGGTTCTCTGATCGTCCAGAACTCAGCAGGCCATGTCCTCTCCCGCACCAGGCTCCGAGACCCTGTCACTCCCATCCTCGCCCGACCCCACTGGCTTCCCATCACACAGAGGATACAGTTCAAGTTTCTGGTCCTCAACTTCAAAGCCCTCCACGGGCTCGCTCCCCCTCCCACCCCCGACCTCTACCACCTCCTAACCCCTTAGCACCCTGTATGCTCCCTCCACTCAGCGGGCTCCAGCCTGTTTCACGTCCCCCGCCTCGCTCGCTCCACTATTGGTGGGCGGGCCTTCCGAAACTCTACACCCACCCTCTGGAACTCCATCCCACAGTCTTTCCACCTTGCCCCCTCCCCTGCCACCTCATCTCAAGACCCTCCTCTTTGACTGTGCTTTTGATCTCCCTGCTTCCACCCTCCCCAACCCCGACTCTCAGCTCGGGTCCGTAACTCTATCTGTCCAACACTTTGGGACGTCCTCCTGATGTGAAAGACATTGTACACTTGTAATTTTGTTGTTATTGTTATAATGATAATGTTGGCGATGTTGGTGATGATGATGTTGGTGATGATGATGTTGGTGATAATGATGCTGTTGTGGTGATGCAGGTTCCTCTGATCTGTGAGACGAAGCCTATCAGCATCCACCAGATCATGGCTTACCAGAGGAACGGCTGCACAAACGACGTGAACAAGACGGGCCGGGGGGAGAGGCCATGCCCCCCAGGGGGGTCCCACAACGTGCAGATGGAGCTGGCCTTGGGCCTGCAGAAGGACCAATGTGCCATCGAGATGGACGAGCTAGAGACCAATGTGTGAGCTCCCTCCTCCGCCCCCCCCCCCCGCCATAGGCTAGCGCTCACACCATCACAGCACATCCACTTGGCCCAGGGTGGGGAGACACAACTGATGCTTCACTTGTTTCTCCTCTTCACCCTCCCAGCTACTTCATTCCCCCCACCCCTCCCCACCTGGGCTCCATCCTTCAGTTTGGGGGGGGGGGAAGGGAGGGAGGAAGGAATATGTCCACATGGACCCTCCTTGTTATTGATGGAAGAGCCAGGCGGATGCTGTTATGGGAACACGGACAAGTGGGAGTGATGGATCGAAGGGTCTTCTTCAAGCCAACTGCTCCCCGCAAGCTTACGTTATTATCCTGAAAATATCCGACTTCTTCCCCTCCCATCCCTTTCCCCAGAGAACAGTGTGTGAGGGGCCGTTTGTGGGTCTGTGTGTGTTGCCATTGGTGTGTGTGGGGGGTGGGGGGTGCGGGCTATGTGTGCGCATGCGAGTTGGGTGTGCGTGGGGTTAGGGGTGTATATGGGCATGCACGCGTGTGGTCCTGCGGGTGTGGATGTGTGTGTGTGTGTGTGTGTGTGTGGGGGGGGGGGGGGTGGGGGGGGGTCAGTTTGTGATTGGTTTCCTCTCCCCCTTCTCTCTCTCCCTCTCCCTCCCAGACCTGGTTTCCATGTCCCGTCAGTTGCGTGTTGTATTTTACATATATAAATACGTGTATATAGAACTCTTGTACAGTACATACATGGCTCATCCCGAGTCTAATTCCCAGGTGTTTGTAATGAGATTCGTTAAGGAGGAATGCCAAGTGGCTCGGATCAGCAACCGGGAAGTACATCGTCCCGTGACTTTCTGGGCGGGGATGTAGGGGGGGAGTGGAGGGGGGAATTTCCCCCCCCCCTCCCCCCAATATCAGGCTATCGATCGACCACAAGGGGACAATTCCCGCCTCACGCGAGAACTCGTCAGGATTACAGTCTGACATTTAGACATCCGAGAGGGAGGAATTCTCACTGGCGACACGTTCAGCACAGACTGTAATGTCGCCTGTCCCGGGGTCAGGTGCTTTCTAAGCTGTTTGTACAATGTAAATGTTTCTACTCAAGTACTCCATCCCGGGTGGTGCTTCACTCTGACACACTGCCCCCCCCCCCCACCTCTCCCTCACATCCCTCCCCCTCTCTCCCATCCCATCCCTACTCACCTCCTTCTCTCCCTCTCTCTTCTCCCCCCAACCCCTTCCATCTCTCCCTCTCCCATCCCTACCAGTCTTCCTCACTCTGTCTCCCATCGCCCCCCCCCCTCTCTCTCTACTCCCCTCTCCCTCCCTCTCCCAACCCTCTCTCTCTCTCTCTCTCTCTCTCCTCTTCAGAGCCCTCGCTCTCTCTCCCATCCATTCCATCCCTCCTTCTCCATCGCTCTCTTCCCCCTCTCCTATCCCTAACCTTCTCTTCCTCTCTCTCTCCTTCTCCCTCCCTCCCTCCCTCAGGTTCACTCATGTTACTTTAGTAACATAGAAAATGTGGGAGACATTTTCTGCGTTAGTAAAGCTATTGCTGTTGCTAAACCATTGCTCACTCCCAACGCAATTGTAATAAACATTTTGGAAATGACATCTCGCTCTTTGTAACCTTATATATATATATATAACAGAGCGATACGATTCACGTTCACACGGGGGCCTTTTACCTCGGGAGGGGTCTCTCAAAGCCCTCGACGCTGCCGGCTGAGCACCGAGCCTAGGGGTTTTGTGGGGTGGGGTGGTGGGAGAGGTGTGGGATCGAAAGCGCGGTCAAAGAGGTCAGTCTGGAGACGGGCCTTGAACAAGGTGAGCTGAGGGAGGGAGCGAGTTGGAGGGATGGAGCTTCAGAGTGGGGGGCAAAATGTCTGAAAGCCCCCCCACCCGATGGTGGGGGCGGGAGAGGCAGTCAGTGAATGTCCGAATTGGGATGGTGAGGTGTTCGTGTTCCTGTGGCAACGTGACCCCCCCCACCCCGACACCTCCCTCTCCCCTCCCGTCTCTTCGGATTGTCTCTGACACCAGGATATTCTCAACGGTGGGAGTGGGTGGCTTTTGCCCATGGTCTCTCTCTCTCTCTCCTATCTTTCTTTCTCATTCATTCTCTCCCTTATTTTTCTCTGTCTCTCATTTTCCTCTCTCTCATTCACTTTCTCCTGTTCTCTTTCATTGGCGCTCTCATTTTTTATCACCTCTTTCTCGCTGACTCCCTCTCCCTCTCTGCCCCTATCTCATATTCTCTCCTCTCTCACCTGTCATTCTCTTTCTCCCCCCCCTCTCTCTCTCTCATTTTCACTCTCTCTGTCACTCCAGTAATTGTCGTTCTCTCTATTCTCATTCAACAACAAGAACAACAACAACAGTTGGCATTTATATCACGTCCTTCACATGGGGGTAGAATCCTGGATCACTTATTCACTCTCATTCTACCTCCAACAATCTTCTCTCTCCTCTCTCTCTCCCCTTCTCCCTCTCTCCTCTCGCTCTCCTATCATCTTCTTTCTCTCACTCGGTGTCTCACTCTCTCTGTCTCCTTTACATCGTGTTGTGTCAGACAGTGAAGCCAGTCGAGTGCCAAGCCATGAACGAGAGATCAAAACAACAAGTGGAGACTTTAACATGGAAAAAACAGGGAATGGATTGGTTTAGTGCCAAGTGCTCGGTGGGGGGGGGGGGGGGGAAAGAGTCCAAGTTCCAATAAGAGTGTTTTGAAACCCAACAAGGGTTCCTGGCGAGAAGCTTATTCTGGCTCATCGTGGCTGAGGTCATCTCATGCAACTTTAAGTGGCGTTGGCCCATTCGTCCGATAACATTGTTAATCCACCTCGCTCTCGTCCCCACCACCCGGCCTCCTTGACGCCCCCACCCGCCCCACTCGAACCCTACCCACCCGGCCGCTCCCTTCGCTCAGCAAACAGCGGCCTGTTTCATGCCCCCTTGCCCACACGTCTGCCCCACTAGTGGAGGGCGAGCTTTGTCACCAGGACACTGGGAGAGAGAAAGCCCCCTTCGCTTGTTAAACATCGCTGCAGGATCTTTAACATCCGCCTGAACAGGGCACAGACATGAGCATGTGATAGACCAGACATTTAGGTGAGATGCTGAGGGGAATGGGGTTGGGTGAGGAGCTTGTTGGCCTCAAATGACCTGAACCAAACAACGGGGGGATGTGGGGGGAAGACAGACCACTGAAAGAAGGAGAAAACTCCCCATGGATTTTTTATTTGAAACCATCCAAGTCCAAACATGATTAGTTGCGGACTCGCTTTGCTGTGTTTTCCAGAGCCGGTGCCAGCTGGACTCGGCTCAAACTTAAGCAAGTCAATAAGGGAAGTAACCCAATCTAACCAACACACTCCAATAAAAACCAACACAGTCCAATCCCAAAGCATAGTGATTAGAGCGCTCGCCTCGCAAACGAGAGGACCTGAGTTCGATTCCCGGGCAGAGCAAAACCTTCGACAAGTTTCCTTACTCCGCACTCACACCTCTACTTACCCAACTGTAAGTAGGAACCCGGTTGTTAGTCGATTGACGGATCGCTTTCCAGGGGTATAAAATCCTTTGATGTATAAAAAAAATTCGGTCACTCAATCCACGACTATTTGTGGGACGCTGCTGTGTGGAATTGGCTGCTGCCTTTCGCCCACGAAATACATGGTCAGTCCACTTTACAATATATTCTGTGAAGCGCTTTGATGCGTCTCAACGACATGAGAAGGCGCCGTATCAAATGGAAGGATTATCATCATTATTATTATCCAATCCAATAAAGTCCAACGCAAAGTGACATTTGCCTCAGGTCAGACAATTGGGAGACTTGCTTAGCGGGGGCGGGGAGGGGGGAGTAGTTGGGTGGAGGTATCCCAGAGAGTGCATTGTATGTGTGCGTGGGGGCGGGGGGGATAGGGTGGGGAAGGTGTTAGAAATGGGGTCAGCTGCTGGCAATTCACCAGCTAAAAGCTCATTGCCCATTGTGACCACTGCCTGGAAAGCTGCCTGTCCAGTGAGGACCTCTCTGTCAAGTGGGTGTGTGAATCCACAACCTCCTGACCCAGCGACAGGTGGCCGAGCCAGATTGCCACGGATTGGTTTGCTTATCTAACGCACGCACTGCCCCAAAGACTGCGTTCAGGGCAGATGAACCATGGAGTCCGTGGAAGCTGCTGGGAAAGACGTCGTCTTTAATAAAATGGAGTGTGAACAGCAACAGCTCAGTAAAGGCGGCATTGGGTAAATTCTCCACATCGACACGAAGGTTTGACAGCCTCACACCTCTCTCATCAGCATCCAACACGACCTCCTGAGTCTTACAACAGTCCAGGCTGATTCTCTAGCACTGTGCTGGGGGGAGAGAGCGGGCTGCATTGTTGGAAGCGCCGTCCTTTGGTTGAGATGTTACAGCTCAGTTCAGGCGGACATCAAAGATCTCCCGCGGTGCTATTTGAAAAGAGAAGGGAACTCCTCTCTCTCTCTCTCTCTCTCTCTCTCTCTCTCTCCCGGTATCCTGGCCGACAATCCTTCCCCCCACCGCACCCCAGAGAAGATTGGTCGCTCGCTTCGTGGCTGTTTACAGTATGTTTCTGCGGGCAAACTGGCTGCCGCGTTTCTCCCACAAAATACACGGTCACTACACTTTGACGGCCATTTTGGCCAGCAAGGTCCCACACCGTGGAATCTTTAACGTACGCCTGCACAGGCAGGGAGCTGGGTGCGTCAATCTAGACCAACAGTCTAGACCCAAAGTCCTTGACGTGGGGTGTGGAGGGGGGGAAAAGGGGCTTGAACCCACAAGCCTCCTGAACCCTAAAGACGAGAGCGAGACAAACAGAGCCCATGGGGGGGCGAGCGGTATCCCCCTGTAGCATGTGCAACTCGGGCATTAAATACAATATGTACATTAAGATGATCGTAGGAAATATTTATAAAATATAGCACTGTCTGTCCCCTAAAACCATCTTACAGCTCCTGCCTCCTGCCATCCCCATCGACAGCCACAATGCGCAGTCTGCTGCCCGGGCACCCAGTCTCAGGCACCTTCTCCGGCGGGAGGGGGGAGGGCAGTGTTTCGGTCTGTCTCTGACCCGCTTTCCGTCTTGTCCTCGTCCTGTGAGTCGGAGTACGACCTCATGTCCAGCACCTGTAAGTATTTCAGGTTTTCGAAAGCTATCTCCTTTATCGCCGTCGTCACCAGCCTGTTGCCTCTGGCAAAGGGAACAAACACAAATACAGGCACAAGTAATAATAATAATAGCCCTTAATAATAATAATTCTTGCACCTCATCACGTAGTTCAGACATCTCACAGCACTTCACAGAATATAATGCGGGCAAAATGACCAGGACTTGAACCTGGGACCTCTCGCTTGCGAGGCGAGTGCTCTAACCCCCCGCGCCCCCCGCTCTACAGGAACATCACACGCAACCAATCCAACACAAAGTGACATCTGCCTCAGGTCAGACAGTTGGGAGACTGAATTGACAGGAGCCAAGGCTTTGGGAAATGGATTTTTCCTTGGATTTCAGGAGTGGAGTGTGAGATAGTTAACCCCTTGTTAATCACTAAGCTTCGCTGGGGTGGGCATGGGGGCGTGTAGGGTTGGTGGTGGGATGGTGGGGGCTTACCTCAGGAAGATGCCCTTGATGTTCGGGGTGGATTGGAAGGCGTCATCTGGGATGAGGGAAATTTGGTTGTTCTGGAGGTAAATGTACTCGAGGGATTCGGGCAGGTCGGGAGGGATGGAGGAGAGCTGATTGCCGGAAAGGTGCAGAAGCTGAGAAAGCAACGTAAACGATTGGAAATCGTCGCTGTTATATCTCAATTACGACCTCTCCCACACTCCCACACACCAACCCTATGCAAGTACATCTCTCCCACTTCCCAAACACCCATCCTCCACCCCCACCAGTAACCCCCCTCACCCCCATTCCAATCCCATCCCCACTTCACCAGACCCTAATCTCAATCTCCACCTGGTATCCCTCTCCACTACATCTTACCTCTATCCCAACCGACACCCACCACCCACTCCCGCCTTCCACTACATCCGAACTCCCATCCCATCCCTCATCCCGACCACCAACTCCCACCTCAACCCCCCCTCACCCCAGACCATGGGGTTACTCCTCAACCTCATCCCAACCCTAACCTTCCCACTAAACCCGCACCTCTGCCTACACCCCATATTCTCCCGACCTCTCCACTGCAAACAATCGCCCATCGCCCACGCCCCCCATCCTAACTCTATTCCCTACCTCCCCACCTCTCACCTCAAACCACACAACACCCCCTTGCCCTGCCCCACGCCCCCCCTTCCTCCCCACCCCCCACCAGTACCTTCAGGGCGGGCAGCTCCTGCCAGGCTGCGGGGTGAATGGCTGTCGGCCCCAGGCGGTTGCCGCTCAGGTCCAGCTCCCGGAGGTGGCTCATGCCGGCCAGGGCGACGCGGGGCACGGAGACCATGCCGTTCTCGCGGAGGCGGAGCAGGCGCAGGTTGCGGGGGAGGCCCCGGGGGGCCGAGAGCAGGGCATTGCCCGACAGATCCAGGGAGTCCAGGCGGCGGAGCTTGCGGAAGGCCTCGGGGTGCAGGCCGGCCACGCTCAGCCGGTTGTAGCTGAGGTTCAGCTCGCTGAGCAGGTAGGTGAGGGCGAAGTCGTTGCGCGAGATGGTGGTAATGCGGTTGTGCAGCAGCATGAGGCTCCGGACCCGGCGAGGGAGCCCGGCCGGCACCCACTCCAGCAGGTTGCTGTGCAGGTGGCAGGTGTGCAGTCGCTTCAGGCCGCGGAAGGCCTCGCGGTGGATGTCGGCCGCCCGCAGCTTGTTGTGGTGCAGCAGCAGGTACTCAAGCCCCCGCACGGGCTGCAGCGTGCCCACCGCCACCGCCCCGATGGCGTTCCGCTCCAGGTGCAGCAGCACCAGCCCCCGGGGCAGCCCCTCGGGCACACGGCTCAGCCGGTTACTGGCCAGGTCCAGGTACTCCAGGCTGGACAGCTTGCTGTCACACAGCACAGAGGAGGAGCACACAACAATGATAATAATAATAATAATTAATAACCCTGACATTTGATACGGCATCTTATCTCAAAGCTTTTCACAGGATGGTGAATTGACTAGATTTTGTGGGCAAATCTGTCAAAATTAGCCCCAAGGCCCCCCCCCAAAAGTAGCCCTCTGCTCCCCCCCCACACACAGACACACAGATACACACACGCACAGATACACACACACACACAGACACACACACACAGATACACACACAGACATACACACACACACAGCGTCTTCCTTACCAGAAGGTCTCATTGTCCATCCCATCATTGGTGATGTGATTGTTCTGCAGATGCAGTTCTCGGAGTTGGAAGAGATGATCAAAAGCTCCCCGAGGAATCTTCTCCAGTCTATTGTTCTGAAACACAAAGGGATTTTTTACGGTTTACAGTATAACTGTCAACTGAAATGTCGAGAGAATTTACAGCCTCAATATCCTTTAAGAATTGCTTGTCTGTTTGTTCTTTTGGTCATTTGTCTGGAAACCCATGAAACCCATCACCGTGTTTAAGAGCAACCAAGACATAGAGTCCCCTATACGTACACCAACTACACTATGTCTGCAATGGATTGCGCACACTCTCTATCTCTCCCTCTCTTTAGTTGGGCAAGCAGCGGGAAAGCTTGCCAGCCAGCAATATTAATGGTAAGCTGTGGGGTTTTATCTGGTTAGACTCCAGCAGTTACCCCCATGCAAACTCTGCCCCCCCCCCCACCCCCAAGCCTTGGCTCTTACCAATCTGCGCCTAATGCCTTCCGGGATGAGGTAAACAGGTTCCTCCAGGGACGAGAGCCAAATCTTGGGAATAGACTGATGGGTGGGGTGGGTGGTAGCTGCTGGAGTCTAACCAGCTTAAACCGCACTGTTTGGCCCATTGAGAGCACTGTCTGGCAAGCTTTCCTGCTGTTTGTCCAGCTGGGGACCACCCTACCAGTCGGGCTTGCGGGGGTAACGGGAGCCGAGCGGGAAGAATCCCTGATCCCGGTATAAACGATTGACAGGTTTGACGATCGATTTAAAAAAAAACAACTCTTTTTCCACCTACTTTCAGGTGCAGTCTGACGAGTTCTGCCGGCAGGTTCTTGGGAACGTACTTGACGAAATTACTGGACATGATGAGGACCCCAACTCCGTCCGAACCATTAAACATGTGCTCAGGCAGCCCGGCATCTGTCAGCTTGTTGTTATGGAGATAGATCGATCTGTCAATGGCAAAAACATCAGTCATCCCTTTATAAGTCACGCTCCCAGCCAAATCCCATTCAGTTTCCGATTGAAAAATACTTGGATTTCTTTGCACTTGTTGTATTTTATAAGACGGATAAATACAAAATCGTATCAGTTTCTCGTTCCCAAATAATCCTCTGTCCTGTGCAAATCGTCTTCTAAGTTGTCAGACCGCGACCTGACTTACCGGCTGCCTTGAAATACGCACGCACAAGCGCTGGAAACAAAGTCTTGACCCGTCACCGCATGCAAACTTATTGCGTACCACGTTTAAACAAGTGCGGAATCGGAGGTACTTTTTTATATCATAATAATTATTATTATTATTACCTGTTTACTGTTATGGGTTAGTTGTATAAAATCAGACTTCCGCAAGTTTGCCTGTAACTCATACTTCGCGTAAGTCATATTAGACGTTATGATCCTGACTGATAGGACTTCTGCTGGTTTTACTTAACAATAAGAATCCTTACATTTGATGCAGCGCCTTTCATGTTGGGAGGACGTCCCAAAGTGCTTCACAGGATGCACTGTAAAGTGCAGTATTTTGTGGGTGAAGGCAACAGCAGATTTGCGAACAGAAAAATGTCCTGCAAACAGCAAGATCTGAACGTGGGAAGGAGAGGAAAGGAGTTTCACTGTAATTCTACACCCCCTTCCCCCAATTTTTTACAAGTACTTTATATGTCAACCCCCTCCCCCCCACCCCTGCCCTGGAGTTAATATGGCGACTGTGGTGCTGATGGAGGGGTGTCAGGGTGACAGACAGTACCTGAGCTTTGGCTTCTGCCCGAAGGTCAGGGGGTAAATCCTTGTCAGGTAATTGGCCGCTACATCAGCACTAACCAGGGATTTGGGCAGAAACTTTGGGGCAACGGTGAGCTGTGAAATACAACAATATATTTATGTTACTTCATATATCTTATATTTATATACATTTATGTGCATTGCATCAGATACAATACATCTGTATACATTACATGATTATATATTACGTTATATCCTTTATATTATATCCTTTACATCGTATACTTTACATTATATACTCATAGCCCTTCACTGCAAAGCTACAATTAGGAGTTTTGTTTTGTCAGCCGGGTGTCTGACACACACACAGAAACCCGTCACCGCGATCAGCCGGGTGACTGACACACGCGGAAACCCTTCACCGCGATCAGTCGGGTGACTGACACACACGGAAACCCTTCACCGCGATCAGCGGGTGACTGACACACGCGGAAACCCTTCACCGCGATCAGCCGGGTGACTGACACACACACAGAAACCCATCACTGCGATCAGCTGGGTGTCTGACACACGCGGAAACCCATCACTGCGATCAGCCGGGTGTCTGACACACGCGGAAATCCGTCACCGCAATCAGCCGGGTGACTGACACGCGGAAACCCATCACTGCGATCAGCCGGGTGACTGACACACATGGAAACCCATCACTGCGATCAGCCGGGTGTCTGACACACGCGGAAACCCATCACTGCGATCAGCCGGGTGTCTGACACATGCGGAAACCCTTCACCGCGATCAGCCGGGTGTCTGCTTGGAGAACCCCAGAGTGTGTGTTGGGGGTAACTGCTGGAGTCTAACCAGCTTAAACCACATAGCCTGCCATTGAGAGCGCCATTTGGCAAGCTTTCCCTCCAGCTACGACAATGGCTGATAATTATTACCAGCAATAATTATGTCATTAAAATTAAGTGCGTTTCAGCAAACAGCCTCACACCACAAAGAGAATTGCTCTTGTGTGTATTGGTTCCAATATCTCACTAATTGACCAATTTTTATCTGGGGGACTATTGGCCAGCACACAGGAGAAATTCCCAACTCTTTCCCAAGAGAGTCACGGGATCTTTGACGTCAGCCTGAACGGCTCCTCAGTTTAACGTCTCGTCTGAAGGACGGCTCTGTGACAATGCAGTACTCCCTCCTTCCCCTCCCTCCCCCCTCTCCCCACTCACGTCGAGAGCTCAAGATCTCTTGATGTGGGGTGTTTGGACCCACAACCTTCTGACCCAGAGGGTTACTCAGTGACACCTCACTCAGTGTTGAGGTACTGTCTAGGGCCCAGGAACAGGTACCTTGGCTGATTTCCATCTCCCCAACCTCGGGAAGGCTGTTTACGCTGCACTTTGGAGGTGACGTTAAACCTGAGGAACGTTAATCGGTCAGATAGTCGCAGGGACTGGCTTTCCCATGCCCTGGGTAGGAGGATAGTCTCTCACCTTGTTGTTAGCCAGGTACAGGTATTGCAAATTGTCGAGCGAGTTGAACGCATCATCTGGAAGCCCTAGAAAGAGAGGAAATGTCAGCAGCGAGTGACAGAGACTGGTCGCAGTCGGCACAGACCAAGATAAAGTTCTTGTTTAGTTACTTTACGGTTATTTAAAGGTCCTGTTAACGGGTGAGCCATGGTAGTGAGTGCCGGCAGGCCGACAGACGGTGGAGGGCGCTACAGCCGAGCCTAACCTCTACCCACCCGGCTCACACAAATCAGTGAGGTGCTCTCTAGGGAGCAGAGCAGGTACCCTGGCTGGATTTCCTCTCCCTAACCCTGGGAAGGCTGTTTACACTACATTGTCGTAAGAACAAATTACATTTGTATAGCACCTTTCAAGTCAAGGGGTCATCCCAAGCCACTAGGATTTCTCCAGTGAGACGTTAAACCCGAGGCCCGTCTATATCCTGTCAGGATTGTTGGGAGAGGGTAAGGAAGTTTCTCCCGGGTTCCTGGCCGACAATCCCCGATCTGCACCGGCTCTCAATCCATTTAATGAGGAGAGAGAAGGGAACAACAGACGCAAAGAGAACCCAAGGGATTTTTTTGGGGGTAAAAAAGATCTTTTCAGAGGTAATATTCTTGTGGCGTGTCAAGGACGTTAAAAACATGAATAATAATAATAATCCTTGCATTTGATACGGCGCCTTATCACGTCTTTGAGACGTCTCAAAGCGCTTCACAGAATAGACTGTGAAGTGAATTGACTGTAGATTTTGTAGGTGAAACATGGCAGCCAATTGCGCACAGCAGCGTCCTGCAAGCAGCTGTGGATTAAAGTGACTGCATCATTTTTTTTTGAAGGAATTATTATCCGCGGAAAAGCTAATCGACTAACAACCGCGTTATTTACTGCTCGGTAAACTGAGGGGTGTGGAGCAAGGAAATTTGCCTATAGTTCCACCCTGCCCAGGACTCAAACCCGGCTCTTCTCGCTTGTGAGGCGAGTGGTCTAACCACAGGAGAGGAGGTTAAAAACATGAAGATTTTTTTTTTAAAAATCAGTTCTCAAAGGGTTAATCTCCGCACCCCATTTAAAGGCTGGGGCACGCCCAGTCCTGCTTCAAAACAACATGTTCCTCTGGGTATTGCCTCCTATTTATTTCTGTTATTTCTCTCTTGTTATCTTCATTGACATCAGCTCAAGGGTAAGTTGGTCGCTTGGGTCAATGGTCAGGACCTTCCCGGGGAAGGTCTCCTGCATCACCCCTGGCCCGCCCGCCCGCCCGCCTCCTCCTCCCCTTTAAGCAAACCTAATGTTTGGCAAAACTTATATATTTTTTGACACGTGTAACGGGGACAAAGGCCCCTTTAAGAGCCATGCTCTGTATTTGTCTTGGCCGCATGACAAATTCTCTCACAACTGGTACCAAGTCAACATCGGGGTCCCGTCATGAGGGTTTAATGAAAATAGCAGGGATGGTGCGTGTGTGTGTCTGCGCGTGTGTGTCTGCATGTGTGTGTGTGTGTCTGCGTGCGTGCGTGCGTGTGTCTGTGTGTGTGTGCGCGCGTGTGGGGAGGGGTGGGGGGGGGAGGAAGATACCTTTGCCAAGACAGATAATTTAGCCTCTGCAGGAGGACGCAGCCTGTTTTGTTTGTGTTTCTGTGGGAGGATACTTTACCACTTGATGTCAGCCTGTTATTCTGCAGATTCAGAGTCTCCAAGTTATGGAGCTTTGACAGCCCGTCAATCGGGATGGTCTCCAAGGCATTGTTCTGGGAAACACGAAGAATAGTATGTTTAAATAGTAATAATAATAATAATTATTAATATTAATCCCCACATTTGATGCAGTGCCTTACTACCTCGTTGAGGCGTCTCAAAGCACTGCACGAGATTTTACTGTAAAGAGCAGTTTAATCGTGAGCCAATTTTGCGCAGGGTATCAACCCACAAACAGCCATGACTAAGAGATGACTAATTTTATTCGGGGGTTGGGGGGGGGAACAGGGGCGGGGGGGGGAACGGGAGGTCGCACTGTTGACCAGGAAACTAGGAAAGAGAGATTCCCTTTTGTGAATAGCGCCAATACGGCCTCTTAATTGCCGTCTAAATAGAGCACAGATAGGGAGGTCAACAACAACAACAATAATAATAATCCTTGCATTTGATGTAGCATCTCATCACATCTTCAAGATGTCTCAAAGCGCTTCACAGAACACACTGTAAGGTGATTTGACTGTATATTTTGTGGGCGAAACAATAACAGCAACAACTACGTATCACACTTGTTCAGTACCTTTCATGTCGGGAGGACGTCCCAAGGGGCCTCATCGAAACGACCTCAAACAATATAGCGCTCCCTGACCCCCACCCTCCCCACCCCCAGCGTCAATAATAATAACAACAACAACTTGCATTTATATAGTGCCCCTCACGCAGGATAGTGTCCCGGAGTGTCAGCCCAGACGATGTGGGTTCCAAGTCCCGCCAAGTCTTCTGACTCAGAGTGCTGCCGACTGAGCCAGGCCGCCACACTCACTGTGCGCGTCCATCCACACCGGCAAAGCTCTCGATGGACGAGCTGTGCGGTTTTAGCTGGACCCCAGCCCCTCCACGCTCCCCACGCCACGCCACCTCCCCCTCCCCACCCTACAGCGCTCGCTCTGGGGTCCCCCAAAACGGGAAAACATCTGTAAGCGTTTCACAGGGTTTTACCGTAACGTACAGTGACCTTGTATTTTGTAGGTGATCGTGACAGGCAATTTGTGCAAAGTGACGTCCCTGCCAACAGCCGTCAAGTGAGCGAAGGATTTTATCTGGTGGGGGGGGGATTGTGGGCCAGGACAGCAGGAGCGAGAGAGCGAGGGGGAGAGAGAGAGCGAGGGAGAGAGAGAGAGAGTGAGGGAGAGAGAGAGAGAGAAAAAACTCCCCTCTCTTCTCAAAACAACTCCCAGATAACTGCTCTCAAGTTCTTTAGGCGAAAGCAGCAGCCAATTTGCTGACTACGTCTAGACTTCAGCTATTTCCTCACTGTTTCCTCCGCCGACGTGATTTCGGGAGAAAGTTATTCAATTCACTGCAAATTTCAGAAGCTGTCACTCTGACCATCGCCCTCCCGGGCTTTTAAGAATTACAGAAAAAACGACTTCAACGATGATTAACAATTATGCCTGCATCGGGCGCAGAAGCCGCAACAACAAAGCTCGGGTTCAAATCGGTGTTCGCTTCACGCCCGTTGGCGGGGACGTCGCTGTGCGCAAACTGGCTGCCTCGTTCCGCTCACGAAACGCACAGTCACTACATTTTGCAGTAAAATCGTGCGAAGCGCTTTGAGACCTTCTCCCGACGCGGAGGGCGCTGAAGCGAATGGGAGGATCGCTGTTGCATTTTAAAGAGCTTCACGGGAATGACAGTGACTGTGAATCTTGCGGCAGCCGGTGGGGTGGTGGGGGGGGGGGGGTGGGGGGAAGGAAGATTTAAGGTCTGATCTGAAGGACGGCGCCTCCGATGATGGAACTCTGCCCCCCAGTGCTGTGCAGAGCGCAGCGGGTTAACCCCCTCCTCCCCATTGCTCCCCTTACCACACCACAACACACCACCTCCCTCCCCCCTCAACCCCTCAGCCGATCAGCACCGGTGAAGCTACCTGTAGGGAGAGATGCAGGGTTCCCTCCGATACATTGCTGGGGAATTCTTTCAGGTTCACACCTCCGCAATCCACAGTGCAGTCCAGGTTACAGCGACAGTCCTTGGGGCAGGACATGGTGGGCTCCAGGGTAACCGGGACCCCAGCCTGGGTCACCGCGATGTCCGGGGACGGAAGTGCGTGTAAGGGGTCCTCCGCCCCCCGAGCGGTGATCCACACCGCGTTCAACAAGCACGCCAGCCACAACGAACTCGTGCTCCTGTTCATCTTCCCTGCCGAAAGCCACACTGTTCCGTCCGGATTTTGCTAACAACAGTAATCCTCGCATTGGATACACGGCTCACGGTGAAGTTGGCTGGGAAGTGTAGTGACTGTGTATTTCGTGGACCAACGCAACCTTTGCGCACAGCGAGGTCCCGCGGGAAAGCAGCCGTGAATCAAACACGATTTTATCCGGGGGGGTGGGGGGGGGGAGAGAGGAGGGGAGGGGGAGAGAGGGGGGAGTGGGGGAGAGAATTAACTGTCAGCCAAGACGCACACCGAGGGAGAGAAGGTCTCTTTTCTTTTTTTCCAATAGCTTTGTAGAGATCTTTTAACGTCCCACCAGGTCAGGGCATGGACGAGCAGCTCGGTTTAACGTCTCATCCAAAGGACGGTGTCTCTGATGACTCAGCGGGAGCTAGCTCGCCCCTCGTGCACCCCCACACCCCCCACCCCCCACCCCCCCCACCCTCCCACCCCCAGGCACTGTGCTGGAGCGTCAGCCTTGACAGTGTGAGCTTGAAGCCCCTTGAACAAGGGAGCTCGAATCCACAGCTTTCCGACTCAGAGGCGAGAGCTCAAGCGACTGAGCCAATAAAATGAAATACACTTCACATCATTTTATAATGGAAATAGCATGTCCCTGTGAAGACATCTGGCCAGACCAGAGCTGAGAGTTTTAACTCATTGTGAGGAGCGCAGAGCAGATGTTATCCTGAGAGCTGCTGTCGCTTAATAAGTGAATATTAAAAAGAGGGTCTTTAAATCCACATGAAACCAAGGATAAAATCCTCCTTCGACCAGCTGGGGTGAGGTCATCGCTCCGAGACTCTATCCTGCATGAGGTGAGCTGTGTAATAATAATAATAATCATCTGGTCACTCGATCCACGACTATTTGTGGAACACTGCTGTGCGCAATCGGATGCCGGGTTTCACCCACGAAATATAGTCACTACACTTTACAGTATATTCTGTGAAGCGCTTTGAGACGTCTCGAAGACCTGATAAGGCGCTGTATCAAATGCACGGATTAGTATAAATTGTTGTTAATGTATGTATTTTACAGTCTAATATGTTTCTTGAAATCTTATGGAAACACAATAGCTACATAGAAACATATAACAAACGTATAGAAAAATGATAACCGTATAAAAACATACGCTAACCATATAGAAACATACAATGCCTGTATAGAAACATACAATAACTACATAGAAACGTATGCTAACTGTATAGAAATGCACGATAACCATATATAAATGTATAACCGCAAAGAAACGTATATTTACCATCTAAAAATGTACATTTATTGTGTATGAAAATATATTTATGTTATAGAATTATATGTGTTGTATCTCTGAAAGCAAAGGGACAGGACACCTGCCTAAGTTTAACTTGTTTGCACTTGCAATTCAATCCAGAAATCTTGTGTTTTTCTTTAAACCCCAGTTAACAAGTTATCTGAAATCAAGTTGTCGAAGCTGTGATTTGATTTCCCCCCCCCAAAAAAAAATTAACGCTTGATAATAATTCTGGCATTTGACAATCGATTATTATTTAATTATTGCCTCTTCGCCTTCGCAGAGACAAGCGAATCCAAATAAATAACTGCACAACTTAAAAAAAAAGGATGTCTGTCAATGGGAAGCTGTGTGGTTTTCGCTGGTTATGCAGATATCCCAATGCACACCCTGGGCTCCCCCCCCCCCCCCCCCCACCCCAAGCCTTGTCCCTTACCTGAAGAGTGTAGAGGGAGGGTCACACTAACACTGACCTGGGAGATGGAAATAAAGAACGTAAGGCTGGCTTTGCAGATAAAATCAGTCAAAAATTGTTTTTCAGTACTTCCTGACTGAGTATTCACATTGTGATTTGCAGGAGATATTGAGCAACGGGCTAACTGTGTGTCAGCCTGGCTCAGTCGCTGTGTGTCAGCCTGGCTCAGTCACTGTGTGTCAGCCTGGCTCAGTCGCTGTGTGTCAGCCTGGCTCAGTCACTGTCTGTGTCAGACTGGCTCAGTCACTGTGTGTCAGCCTGGCTCAGTCACTGTGTGTCGGCCTGGCTCAGTCGCTGTGTGTCGGTCTGGCTCAGTCACTGTGTGTCGGCCTGGCTCAGTCGCTGGTGTGGTCGGTCCTGGCTCAGTCGCTGTGTGTCGGTCTGGCTCAGTCACTGTGTGTCGGCCTGGCTCAGTCGCTGTGTGTCGGCCTGGCTCAGTCCCTGTGTGTGTGTCGGCCTGGCTCAGTCCCTGTGTGTCGGCCTGGCTCAGTCACTGTGTGTGTCGGCCTGGCTCAGTCACTGTGTGTGTCGGCCTGGCTCAGTCACTGTGTGTCGGCCTGGCTCAGTCACTGTGTGTCGGTCTGGCTCAGTCACTGTGTGTCAGCCTGGCTCAGTCGCTGTGTGTGTCAGCCTGGCTCAGTCACTGTGTGTCAGCCTGGCTCAGTCGCTGTGTGTGTCAGCCTGGCTCAGTCGCTGTGTGTGTCGGTCTGGCTCAGTCACTGTGTGTCAGCCTGGCTCAGTCACTGTGTGTGTGTGTCAGCCTGGCTCAATCACTGTATGTGTCAGCCTGGCTCAGTCACTGTGTGTCGGTCTGGCTCAGTCGCTGTGTGTCGGTCTGGCTCAGTCGCTGTGTGTGTCGGCCTGGCTCAGTCGCTGTGTGTGTCAGCCTGGCTCAGTCGCTGTGTGTCGGTCTGGCTCAGTCGCTGTGTGTGTCGGTCTGGCTCAGTCACTGTGTGTCGGCCTGGCTCAGTCGCAGTGTGTGTCGGCCTGGCTCAGTCACTGTGTGTCGGCCTGGCTCAGTCGCTGTGTGTGTCAGCCTGGCTCAGTCGCTGTGTGTGTCGGTCTGGCTCAGTCACTGTGTGTCAGCCTGGCTCAGTCACTGTGTGTGTCGGCCTGGCTCAGTCACTGTGTGTCAGCCTGGCTCAGTCACTGTGTGTCAGCCTGGCTCAGTCACTGTGTGTCAGCCTGGCTCAGTCACTGTGTGTCGGTCTGGCTCAGTCGCTGTGTGTGTCAGCCTGGCTCAGTCGCTGTGTGTCAGCCTGGCTCAGTCGCTGTGTGTCAGCCTGGCTCAGTCGCTGTGTGTGTCGGTCTGGCTCAGTCGCTGTGTGTGTCGGTCTGGCTCAGTCGCTGTGTGTGTCAGCCTGGCTCAGTCGCTGTGTGTGTCGGTCTGGCTCAGTCACTGTGTGTCGGTCTGGCTCAGTCGCTGTGTGTGTCAGCCTGGCTCAGTCGCTGTGTGTGTCAGCCTGGCTCAGTCGCTGTGTGTGTCCGCCTGGCTCAGTCGCTGCGTGTGTCAGCCTGGCTCAATCGCTGTGTGTCGGTCTGGCTCAGTCGCTGTGTGTGTCAGCCTGGCTCAGTCGCTGTGTGTGTCAGCCTGGCTCAGTCGCTGTGTGTCAGCCTGGCTCAGTCACTGTGTGTCGGCCTGGCTCAGTCACTGTGTGTCACTGAAATTGTCTCCCGTCGAACTCCCCCCCACCATCAAGTGCCTGTTGGTGCTTTTTCCTTCCACACCCCCACACTGTCAAACTCTCCTCTAAGCCCATTCCTTTGCCGTTGCCTCCCCCCCACTCCCCCAACCCCCGCATCGTGTCGGTGCTGCTGCATAATACAGTCTGGATTAGGTAAACAGGTCGAGTCTCTCCAGAGTGCGCATTTCATTCCAACAATCTATCTCCGGGATTTCCATGTGTGTGTGGGTGGGACGCACGGAATTCTCAGTTGGGTCTGGAGAGACTCTTAAGCAACGGTGATGGGTTTCCGCACGTGTCAGACGCCCGGCGGAGCAAAAATACAGCCTTTTCCCTCTGCAGTGCAAACCTTTCACGTCCGATTTTATCATTAATGATTACGGTTTGCCTTTCTGTGTGTTCCATCTGTTCTGTGCTGAGTGGCTGTCAGGCTACCTGGTCAACCACCGCAGAAAGATCCCAGGCCAACACCTGATCCTAACTCCCTCACCAGACGCTCAACAGCCAGAGAGAGTCCATGGAAAATCTCCCGTTTCCCCACCCCGCTTCCCTGTGGAATTCCAGTCCAAGAATCTCACGCTCCCTGGCTGGGCAGTTTCCGATCCGTCTCCAGCTGTCCACTAATTCGAAACAAAAAGGATCAGAATGTCTTGTGGGGGTGGGGGTCTGCCATTCGTCATCTGTCCATCCTTCTGACCGTCCACCCCTTTTTTTTATCCCATCTGTTGTCCCCCTAACACTTTGCTGTTGCGGCTGACATAGTGACTGAGCCAGGCTGACCCACAGTAACACAAATCCCCTACCTCCCCCCGTTCCCTCCCATCCCCTGTCCTCCCATCCCCTGTCCCATGTTGGCTGGTCCCATTGAACACTAAACAGTCAATTCACTTTGTTGTGAAACGCTTTGAGACGTCTCGATGACGTGATGAGTCGCTATATCAAATGCAAGGATTATTATTATTATTATTATAAATACGCTGAACCCACCTCTCCTCGGTTTTCTCGCTGTCTGGCTCGGAAGTCCATTCTACAAGCCGGAGTTATAGGAATGTACAGATCTCTGCTCTGCAGGGACCCTCTCACTCACCACTGCTGGTTTCAGACCACACAAAGCATTCTACCATATTTCCCTTAGTTCTGTGCATCCACTGAAATTGTGCAGCGCAGAGAGAGACAGGAGGCCATTTGCCCCTAATCTCTGGAACTCTCTTCCTCTCCATTCCCTCGCTCCACACTATCTTTCTGTCTTTAAATCCTTCCTTGGATCGTATCTCTCTGGGACGCTGCGTGAGGGGCGCTGTGTAAATACTACTACTAATAAGCCTCACGTTTGATACAGCACCTTTCATGCCAGGACATCTCAAAGCGCTTCACAGGATCGGGTGCCCTCTCGTAACTGACTAACTGACCCCTGGGGGAAGGGATACAGGGGCAGGAGGGGTGTGGGGAGGGGGTGACAAAAGGGAGAGCGTCTGTGCTGTAAATAATGTAGATTACAGCGTGAAGCAAAGGCAATTCAGCCCCGAGTTCCACAGCGTGTTCTGACCCAGGCAGATGTTCAACAGCTGGGACGGGCTGCCAGGAGAGGAGAGGTTGAGGCCAGAACATTGGGACTCTTTCAACAGACCAAGTCTGACTGTGAAGGCAATGGGTGTTCTGCAGGGATGAGGCCAAACAGGCCGCTGGGGCATCAAGATGTTTTGTTAATGAATCTCAGAGTTCTGGCCTCAGCCACGTTCTGCCTGAAATCCCTTCCAACTGCTCTCTCTCCCCGGCTCACACTTCCTAGCCTCTGTCCTGAATTTTCCCCGCTTAACGATCTTCAAGGCTTGAAGATCACAGGTAACCGTGCTGTTCCTCCCGGGGCTTCTCTTCCCAGAGGGAATCTTAAATGTGAATCAGTTATGTATCTGAATGGGAGGAATATGAGAAGGGGTCTTTGTCTATGTGTTGATGAGGGGGGTTTGGGGGAGAGAGGAGAATGGGACTGAACGGAGAGGAGGGAGGAGATTTAGATAATTCTAAGAGGGATGAGGAGAGGAGGGAAGGAGTGTGGAGAGAATGAGGAGAGAGGTAGGGAGGGATGGATGAAGAGGTAGAAGATGAGGAGAGGGAAGGAGTGTGAAGGGAGAGGGAGGAGAGAGGAGGGATGGAGAGGTAGAGAACGAGGAGAGGATGGAGGAGGAGAGAGAGGAACGAAGGAGAGGGAGAGAACCGGGAGGGAGAGAGAGAGAGAGAGGGAGGGAAGGAAGGAGTGTGGAGAGAGAGAGAGAGAGAGGAAGGGAATAGTGTGCAAAAACATCTGTGGTTGAAACTGGTCCAGCTGGTTCCATTTGAAGTGAAGTTGTGGTTTAGTGGCTGCTGGGAGGAGACGTTACAAATATCTCGCTGTAGCCAGACAGCCCGCCCGGACCTACTAACACCAACAGGCAACCATGTTCTGACACCCACCCCACCCCAAAATAAAACCCATCCATGTCCTTCGCTCCCCTCTCTCCCCATTTTCTAACAACTTACCTCCTCGCCGAGCTGTGCTCCCACCCCTCTCCCTTCGCTCACCGCTCTTTTGAGATAACCCCTAATATTTTGTGTCTGATACCCGTGGAAACCCATCACACCTGTTTTAGTCTCCGAACCAGACTGATTTCCATTGATGTACATTAGCTGCACATGGGAATTTCACCGGGTCCTGAATGCAACGTGCACTCTCTCTCTCTCTCTGGAAGCGTGCACCCTGCTTTCCTAATTCTAGAGAGTATTAGGCGCAGGTTGGTGAGAGCTGAAGCTTGGGGACCCCAGAGTGTGCGTTCAGCATAACTGCTGGAGTCTAACCAGCTAAAAAAACAGAGCGCGCTCTAGCTAACACAGCAAACAGCTGTGAGGTGCCCATTTTTTTTCCCTCTGTGGTGGAGGGTGGGTTGGGGGAGGGGAATTGTCAGCCAGGACACTGGGAGAGAAACTTCCTTCTCTTTTCCAACAGCACCACGGGATCTCTAACACTCACCTGAACAGACGGGGCGCTAGATAGGTTTAATGTCTCATCCGAAGGACAGCGTCTTTCAATGTGGGGCTGTGCAGTGTAGACTCGCCTGTGTGAGCCAGTCACTGACACAGTGGTTTGACTGTGCCACACTCAGTTGAGTGCGAGCGACTGAGCCACCCCATAAAATATATATATTATATATGAAATCCTTACATTTGATATAGTTAGTATCTTATCATATCTTCGAGGTGTCTCAAAGTGCTTCACAGAATATACTGTAAAGTGTAGTGACTATATATTCTGTTGGCGAAACAGCAGTGTCCCACAGACAATCGTTGATTGAATGACCGAATTATTATTATTTTTGGGGGGAGGGATTATTACCCCAGGAAAAACGATCCGCCAATTGACTAACAACTGGGTTCCTACTTACTGCTAGGTGAACAGGTGTGGTGTTAGGTGTGGAGTCCTGTAGCTCAGTGGTTAGAGCACTCACTTTGCGAGTGAGAGACCTGAGTTCAATTCCAGGCAGAGGGCGAAACCTTGGGCAAGTTTCCTTACTCCACACAGAGCCTAATAATAATCCTCCAAAACAAAACAATAATAAATTGGTCATTTTCAATCAACGACTGTTTGTGGGACATTGTTGTGCGCAATTGGCTGCTGCGTTTCGCCCACAAAGTCAATTCACTTTACAGTCTATTCTATGAAGCGCTTTGAAACGTCGAGAAGATGTGAAAAGCGCTATATCAAATTCAAGGATTATTATTATTATTATAACAGGTGTGCGGAGTAAGGAAACTTGCCTAAAATTTTGCTCTGCCCAACTCGGTCCCGGGATCTAAAACTGTAAAGCGCTCTGAGACGCCATCCGGCGTGGAGGGCGCTATATAAATCCAAGTTGTTGTTGAACCCGGGTCCTCTTGCTTGCGAGGCGAGCGCTCTAACCACTGAGATATAGGACTCCAACAACACAGGACAACCACAAATGACATTTGTATTGCACCTTTCACGAGATGAGGACGTACCAAGGACAACAACTTTGTTCACAAAGAGGTAAATGTGGGTTTTAATTTTGTTACAGTGAGGAGAATGTGATGTAGCAGAAAATGCTTGAAGGGGAAATGCTAAAAGTCTAAAGACCACACTTCGTAAATAAAGGCAGGTGTGTAACACTAACTCCCGATGATCAAAATCTACCTTTGAGAGACTTCAGTTCCTCTCGAAAGTCTGTGGGATTCATTCGATGCGGTTGTTTTTAACAAAGGCAAATGTATGTTGTTTTTTCAAACTTTACAAAAAAAACATTTCAAATAGTTTGTTGTTATTATTATTATTAATTATCATTTTCAACAGAAACGTTATTGAATCGAGTCGGGAACGCGCTGCGCTCACTCTCGGGCCCCTCGTTTTTGTTAGTGTTTTTCTCTTGACTAAATTCGAACGCCTATGATCAAACTCTGAGTGGAAATACAAAACAAATTACCCTCAACCCCCCCCCACCCCCTGTAACAATAAACCAACCCTTCCAGATACTGCTCTCTCACTCCCTCCCCGCCCCCACCACAACTGGCCACTGTTCTTAGGATCTGAGGATATTAATCACTTATAAAACAAGAAAAGAGACACAAGGGAAGGGAGGACAGAGAGAGAGAGAGAGAGAGAGAGAGACGAGATAGAGGAGGGAAGAGGAGAGAAGAGAGGCAGAGAGAGATAAGAGAGGAGGAAGACAGGAGAGAGAGAGAGGAATAAAAAGAGGAAAGGAGGAGAGAAGGAAGGAGGAGAGAGGGAAGGAGGGAAGAGAAGAAAGGAGGAATGAGAATAGCAGCGATGTTCACAGCTTCGATCTCGGCGGTTCCAGTTGCAGTTTCTGCAGTTTCATGGCCAATCCCATGTTCCCAGCGATTTTCAGTTTTCCTTGGAAAAAAGCCTGGAAAATACAGGTGGTTGGTGACTGCTGAGCTGGTCGGATCTTTGTGTTGATCAGAGCCAAAGAATGACTCTGACTCAAAGCGCTTCACAGGGTTTCACTGCGAGGTGCAGTGACTGTGTATTTTGCAATTATGAGACAGAGCAGTAGCAGAATATTATACTGTTATACGAATAAAGGCTAATTAGTCAATTATCTGGCACTCACCGTTTGGGGGTTGATTTTGCCGGTCATCAGAGCCAACAGGTCAGTGTCAGACATGGTGATGGTGCAGTCCGCTTTCTTTTCTGTGAAGCAATAGAAAGTTTTTAACAGCCATTCAGCACAGCGAGCCTGGGCCACTTCCTGCAAGCAGCTCTGTGTTTCCCTCTCACTCCACCCCCACTCCCCCATTCCCTCCCACTTCCCCACCCTTTCCCTCCCAATGCTCCTCTCCCTCCCACTTGGGAAATCCACGTACCACAGTTAAAGTCCACTGAACCACTTCCGTTCTTCACGTCCACCACCCACAGGCCTTCTTTGCCGTCCGGACCTTCTTTGACTTTAAAAGCAAACACGCCCCCGATCTTACTGACCAGGCTCTCCCCTTCCTGGGTTGGGCGGGGGGTAAGGGGCGAGTTGGGGGAGAAAGAAGAAGCTGTCAATGGCTGGATCAGGGACAGGCCCCTAAGAGCCGTGGAGAATAGAAACAAACTGCGCACAGCAGAGTGTCAAACACAAGTTTAGACCCCAGTTTGCACGTGGGTTTTCACAATCGTTTGACAGCGCTCTCTCTCTCTCACACACACTGAGCTAACGAGCGCTTTGCACGCTTTGTTCCCATCGGAGCTTTAGCGAGTGCCAGGGAGATCAGAGCAGTGCGACGACGACGACAACAACAAAATTACATTCCAAGCGTTAACACTGGGCGAGTTTTTTTTTGCACAGCCGGGTGTCTGATACAAGCGGAAACCCATCACCGTGCTTAAGAGTCTCCGAATCAGACTGAGAGCTTCACACATGTGCACCAACCACACATGTCTGGAATGGAATGTGCACCCGCTCTCTCTCCCCCCGGAGGGATGTACCGAGCGAGTGCGTGCCTGGTGGAAGGTGACAATCAAAGAGATGCGTCTTAGTCCAAAGCTCCCGGAACTGCCTTGTACAAATGGTTTGCAATGTGGTGCTTTGCACATGGCCCACAGTACACTCGCAATCTACACAACCCTTGCCAGAGTTGAGGGAAATCTTTGTTGAGTCGGGGGCAAAATGAGGGTTTGGACCTGACCAGTCAGGATAGGGAAGCAACATTTGACCATTATCCGCCTCCCCCTTTCCACCCCCACTTGTGCTCGAGGGTTCGGGCTCGGGGTCTGACCTGCTGAAGTTTCTTCTCGATCTCTCTGAACACAGACTGAACCTTGAATCCATCCACACTGGAGGCAGCGCTGGTCGGCACAGCCTGAACACTCTGGCTTCTGGGGGACAGAGAGAGGGTTCAGAGGGAACTAACTCGTCAAAATACTGCGCTGCGGTGACAATTGCTCGACAACACAAACAGCAGCTTGGGCCAACGAAGGAGGGTCTGAGGGTGGAGGAAGGAAAGAGTTACAAAGCTTTGGGGCCGCAGCGGCCGAAAACGCAGCCGCCGATCGTGGAGCGGAGAGGACGAGGGATGAGTGACAGAGTGAGAGTGAGAGACTGAGACAGAATCTCTCAAGCTGACCAAGTAATGCATATGGGCGGGGGGGAGGGAGGGAGGGAGGAAGGGATGGGCGGGGGGGTATTCCGGGGAGGGAGGGAAGGATTCCGGGGAGGGGGGGGGAGGGATTCCAGGAGGAGGGAGGAGGGAGGGGGGGCAGGGATTCCAGGGAGGGAGGGAGGGGGATTCCGGGGAGGGAGGGAGGGAGGGGAGGGATTCCGGGGAGGGGGGGGAGGGATTCCAGGGAGGGAGGGGAGGGAGGGAGGGGGGGGGGGGGAGGGATTCCAGGGAGGGAGGGAGGGGGGAGGGATTCCAGGGAGGGAGGGAGGGGGATTCCGGGGAGGGAGAGGGGGCTCGTGTACAACTAATCGCAAGGCTGTTACGCAAATGATCAAAGAATAAAACTCACGCACAAAAACATTCACTCCCTCATTTACACTCAGACATGCACTCGCGCACACACGTACAAACCTACTTACACCCCCACACACACACGCACCCACACACACACACGCACCCACACACACACACGCACCCACACACACACACGCACCCACTCACACACACGCACCCACTCACTCACACCCACCCACACACACACACGCACACACGCACCCACACACACGCACCCACACTCACACACGCACCCACACTCACACACGCACCCACACACATACTCCCCCACACTCACACACGCACCCACACACGCACCCACACTCACACACGCACCCACACTCACGCACCCACACTTACACACGCACCCACACTCACACACGCACCCACACACACACTCCCCCACACTCACACACGCACCCACACTCACACACGCACCCACACACTCCCCCACACTCACACACGCACCCACACTCACACACGCACCCACACACACACTCCCCCACACTCACACACGCACCCACACTCACACACGCACCCACACACACACTCCCCCACACTCACACACGCACCCACACTCACACACGCACCCACACACTCCCCCACACTCACACACGCACCCACTCCCCCACACTCACACACGCACCCACACTCACACACTCCCCCACACTCACACACTCCCCCACACACACACACGCACCCACACACACACTCCCCACACTCACACACGCACCCACACACACACACGCACCCACACACACACTCCCCCACACTCACACACGCACCCACACTTACACACACACGGTTTCACACTCATACTGATTCACATGAAGCAGACATTTAAATCAATTTTAACCCCCCAACACGTCACTTCAATTTCTCCCCCAGCAAGAGGGGGGGTCAGTGTGTGTTAGAGTCAGTGTGTGGGTGTGACAGTGTGTGCATATGGAGGGGTGGGGGTTCGTGTGCGTGAGGGAGGGTTGTGTATGGGAGGGGTGGGGGAGCTGTGTGTGTATATGAGGGGGGGGGGCTGTGTGTGTATATGAGGGGGGGCTGTGTGTGTATATGAAGGGGGGCTGTGTGTATATGAAGGGGGGCTGTGTGTGTATATGAAGGGGGGCTGTGTGTGTGTATGAAGGGGGGCTGTGTGTGTGTGAAGGGGGGCTGTGTGTGTGTATGAAGGGGGGCTGTGTGTGTATATGAAGGGGGGCTGTGTGTGTATATGAAGGGGGGCTGTGTGTGTATGAAGGGGGGCTGTGTGTGTATGAAGGGGGGCTGTGTGTGTGTATGAAGGGGGGCTGTGTGTGTATGAAGGGGGGCTGTGTGTATATGAAGGGGGCTGTGTGTGTATATGAAGGGGGGCTGTGTGTGTATATGAAGGGGGGCTGTGTGTGTATGAAGGGGGGCTGTGTGTATATGAAGGGGGGCTGTGTGTGTATGAAGGGGGGCTGTGTGTGTATGAAGGGGGGCTGTGTGTATATGAAGGGGGGCTGTGTGTGTGTATATGAAGGGGGGCTGTGTGTGTATGAAGGGGGGCTGTGTGTGTATGAAGGGGGGCTGTGTGTATATGAAGGGGGGCTGTGTGTGTGTATATGAAGGGGGGCTGTGTGTGTATGAAGGGGGGCTGTGTGTGTATGAAGGGGGGCTGTGTGTGTATGAAGGGGGGCTGTGTGTATATGAAGGGGGGCTGTGTGTATATGAAGGGGGGCTGTGTGTGTATGAAGGGGGGCTGTGTGTGTATGAAGGGGGGCTGTGTGTATATGAAGGGGGGCTGTGTGTGTATATGAAGGGGGGCTGTGTGTGTATATGAAGGGGGGCTGTGTGTATATGAAGGGGGCTGTGTGTGTATGAAGGGGGCTGTGTGTGTGTATGAAGGGGGGCTGTGTGTGTGTATGAAGGGGGGCTGTGTGTATATGAAGGGGGGCTGTGTGTGTATGAAGGGGGGCTGTGTGTGTATATGAAGGGGGGCTGTGTGTGTATGAAGGGGGGCTGTGTGTGTGTATGAAGGGGGCTGTGTGTGTGTATGAAGGGGGGCTGTGTGTATATGAAGGGGGGCTGTGTGTATATGAAGGGGGCTGTGTGTGTATGAAGGGGGGCTGTGTGTGTGTATGAAGGGGGGCTGTGTGTGTGTATGAAGGGGGGCTGTGTGTATATGAAGGGGGGCTGTGTGTGTATGAAGGGGGGCTGTGTGTGTATGAAGGGGGGCTGTGTGTGTATATGAAGGGGGGCTGTGTGTATATGAAGGGGGCTGTGTGTGTATGAAGGGGGGCTGTGTGTGTATGAAGGGGGGCTGTGTGTGTGTATATGAAGGGGGGCTGTGTGTGTATGAAGGGGGGCTGTGTGTGTATGAAGGGGGGCTGTGTGTATATGAAGGGGGGCTGTGTGTGTGTATATGAAGGGGGGCTGTGTGTATATGCGGTGTGTGTGTATATGAAGGGGGGCTGTGTGTATATGCGGTGTGTGTGTCTGGGGGAGGGTTAGTGAGGGATGAGGGGTATTGAGGGGGTGCGATGGGGGTAGTGGGGGGGGTGGGGGCAGTGGGGGTTGTGGGGGGCAGTGGGGGTGCGGGGGGCAGTGGGGGAGTGGGGGGTGTGGGGGGGCAGTGGGGGGGGGGTGGGGGCAGTGGGGTGGGTGGGGGGGGGGCAGTGTGGGGGGCAGTGGGGTGGGGGTGGGGGCAGGGGGTGGGGGCGGTGTTGCTCACCTCACGGCCTCCGGGAACCCCATTGTGTAGATCGTCACCACGGCGGCGCCTCCGAGGCCGATGTTGTGCTGTAGACCGACCTTCGCCCCCGGAACCTGACGCCCCGCGGCTTCCGCTCTGAGCTGCCAACACAGCTCAGCGCACTGCGCCAGCCCTGCCGACCAATCACAGCGAGCCTCAGCCTGACCGCCGACCAATCACAGCGAGCCTCAGCCTGACCGCCGACCAATCACAGCGAGCCTCAGCCTGACCGCCGACCAATCACAGCGAGCCTCAGCCTGACCGCCGACCAATCACAGCGAGCCTCAGCCTGACCGCCGACCAATCACAGCGAGCCTCAGCCTGACCGCCGACCAATCACAGCGAGCCTCAGCCTGACCGCCGACCAATCACAGCGAGCCTCAGCCTGACCGCCGACCAATCACAGCGAGCCTCAGCCTGACCGCCGACCAATCACAGCGAGCCTCAGCCTGACCGCCGACCAATCACAGCGAGCCTCAGCCTGACCGCCGACCAATCACAGCGAGCCTCAGCCTGACCGCCGACCAATCACAGCGAGCCTCAGCCTGATCGCCGACCAATCACGGCGAACCTCAGCCTGACCGCCGACCAATCACAGCGAGCCTCAGCCTGACCGCCGACCAATCACAGCGAGCCTCAGCCTGATCGCCGACCAATCACGGCGAACCTCAGCCTGACCGCCGACCAATCACAGCGAGCCTCAGCCTGACCGCCGACCAATCACAGCGAGCCTCAGCCTGACCGCCGACCAATCACAACGAGCCTCAGCCTGACCGCCGACCAATCATAGCGAGGCTCAGCCTGACCGCCGACCAATCACAGCGAGCCTCAGCCTGACCGCCGACCAATCACAGAGAGGCTCAGCCTGACCGCCGACCAATCACAGCGAGCCTCAGCCTGACCGCCGACCAATCACAGCGAGCCTCAGCCTGACCGCCGACCAATCACAGCGAGCCTCAGCCTGACCGCCGACCAATCACAGAGAGGCTCAGCCTGACCGCCGACCAATCACAGCGAGCCTCAGCCTGACCGCCGACCAATCACAGAGAGGCTCAGCCTGACCGCCGACCAATCACAGCGAGCCTCAGCCTGACCGCCGACCAATCACAGAGAGGCTCAGCCTGACCGCCGACCAATCACAGAGAGGCTCAGCCTGACCGCCGACCAATCACAGAGAGGCTCAGCCTGACCGCCGACCAATCACAGAGAGGCTCAGCCTGACCGCCGACCAATCACAGAGAGGCTCAGCCTGACCGCCGACCGTTAATGGATTGAATGACCAATCTCTATTGTCCCAGGGCTCCACAGATAGAGTTTCGGCCTCGAGTGGGGGTCGGGGTGGAGGGGGGGGAGATGGAAAGCACAGTCGAAGAGGAAGGTCTTGAAGAAGGCCAGGGAGGGGGCAGAAGGCCAGGGAGGGGGCAGAAGGCCAGGGAGGGGGCAGAAGGCCAGGGAGGGGGCAGAAGGCCAGGGAGGGGGCAGAAGGCCAGGGAGGGGGCAGAAAGCCAGGGAGAGGGCAAGGCGGATGGAGTTACGGAGGGTGGGGGCAGAGTGGCAGAAGCCCCGCTCGCCAAGAGTGGGGTGAGCGAGGCAGGGGACGTGAAGCAGGCCGGAGCCCACTGAGCGGAGGGTTAGGATCTCTGTGTGATGGGAAGCCAGTGGAGTTGGGCGAGGATGGGGGCCACAGGGTCACGGAGCCTGGTGCGGGAGAGGATACGGGCTGCAGAGTTCTGGATGTATAGCCTGTGGAGGGAGGAGTTGGAGAGGCCGACAAGCAGGGAGTTGCCGTAGTCAAGCCTGGACGTAATGAATGCGTGTATGGGGGTTTTGGCGGCCTGAGGGGTGAGGCAGAGGCGGAGTCGGGCGATATTGCGGAGGTGGGGGAAGTCAGAGCGGGTCATGATATGGATGTGAGATACAAAAGATAGCTGAGTGTCAAACAAGATGCCAAGGTTTCGGACTGACTCAGTGAGGGGGAGTGGGCAACCATGGGTGGTGGGTGCTGTCAGCGCCTGAGGTGAGGAGGCGCTGTCGGGAGCCGATCAGGAGAGCCTCGATCTTGTTGACATTCAACTGAAGAAAGTTAGATCTCATCCAGGACTTGACGTCTGACAGACAGTCTGTCAGCACAGCAGTGGTCCTGGAGTCGAGGGCGGAGGCAGAGAGGTACAGTTGGGTGTCATCCGCATACAGTGGAAGTTGACCCCATGTCTGCGGATGATGTCATCAAGAGGGAAGATATAGATGTTGAAGAGGAGGGGACCAGGGACAGAGCCCTGAGGAACACCACACGAGACAGTGTGTGGGTTACAGGGGAAACTGTTTGTGGAGATGATGTGGAGGCGGTGTGAGAGGTACGATCTGAACCAGTCAAGGACAGAACCGTGGAGGTTGAGGTGAGAGGTGGGAACAGTATCAGTGGACAGGGAGAGGTTTATGATGTCTGCGAGTAGAGGGGCAAGGAATTGACTAACAGGAATCTACTTCCTGCTGCTAAACAGAGGCGTTGTGTGGGTGGGGGTAAGGAAACTTGCCTAACGTTTGGCCCTGACCTGACCCGCCCGGGAATCGAACCCTGAACCTCACTTGTGAAGGCGTCGAGTGAATGTCAATCGTATTGGGTTAAACCGGTCATTCACTTCGGGTGAGGAGGGAAAGAGGGGCCAAACCAAACTCCCTCTCCATCACGACGGACTGCTCCCCACCACCCTGCCCACACCCCCCACCCCCACCATACAGCTCCGTAGACAGATGTATTAAGTGTTACCTGTGGCCCCCAGTGGATGTCCTTTGGAGATCAGCCCCCCACTGGGGTTGATCACCCACTTCCCTCCATACGTGTTGTCTCCCCTGTCGATCAGCTCCCCGGCTTTCCCTGAGAGCGGAGAGAGAGAGCGAAGAACAGATGGGAAGCAAGCGACTCGGGAACTCAGCACCAAGCCCCCACTCACCAGCCCCCCCCAAAACCCCACAGGGGAGAGCAGGGGAGAGATCGCGCAAGCGGAGAGAACGCAGGGGAGAGAGCGAGGGGAGAGCACGAGGGGAGAGATGTTACCTTCGGGGCAAAGCCCCAGGGCCTCGTAGGTGATGAGCTCATTGCAGGAGAAGCAGTCGTGCAGCTCAATCACATCCACGTCACTAGGACTCAGGCCTGACTTCTCAAAGCACCTGCTCGCCGCCTCCTTGGTCATGTCGTAGCCCACCTGAGGGTGTACATCATGAGAGGCCATATCAAACCCCAGGGAACCTTCTCCTTACAGCCCCCCCCCCACCCCCCAACCTCCCCCTTCCAACCCACCTCCGGCCTTTCCTTCAAGTCGGGGGAGAGGGGGAGAAAGGCTGAAACACAGGTTCCAAATGTAAATGTGATGGGGAGCGAGGGAAGGGAAGAGAGGAGAGAGGGTGCGAGCGGGGGGAAGAGAGGGTACAAGGGGGCAGAGGGAGCGAGAGAGAGAGAGAAAGAGAGAGCGGGGTGGGGGCGTTCTGATTCTCCGTTGTGTAATGGAGGGAAAAGGCTTACAACTTTAATGCAGCTCTTGTCCTCGAAAGTGCTGCTCATGTCCGTCACCATCTCCTGGGCCAGGATTTCCACTGCTTTACCCTCCAGCCCATGTCTCCGCACAAACCCCTCGCTGGCCAGCACTGCTGCGGCTGCGCCATCTGAGGTGGGGCTGTGTGTGGGGGGTGTGGAGGGGGGGGCGGGGGGGGGGGGAAGAGAAAAAGCTTTTAAAGTACACGTTAAAATACCCGTGAGCGCTCTGCACCCTCTCGATGTCAATCGCACTCTTTGCTCGGAGCTTTCAGGTCGAATCCTTTACGGAATATTTGTTACATAATTTGCTAAATATTCCAATAATTATCAGATAAACAACTGCGCGCCTTTGGCCCACAAACTGCGCAGTCACTCCACTTTACAGGGCATCCTTTGAAGCACTTTTGAGACGTCTCGACGACGTGATAAGGCGCTGTATCAGATGTAAGGATTGTTATTACACCTGAATTTTTATAGCTCTACAACGCCTACAACAACTTGCATTTACACCTCGCCTCTCACGGCCGTTTGACGAGAGCGCAGAGTGTACACACAGACCAGTCCAGCGCCTTGGGACGTCCTCCCGATGGGAAACAAGTGTCATGTGTGGCTGTCGTGGGTCCCTACCAGCACTGCAGCAGCGTGAGAAACTCAAACACCGGCCGAGACCCCATAATCTGCTCCAGGCTGTACTCAACCCGGTGCTGGGAATACCTGAGGAGGAAGAGAGGGGTCGGGTGTCGCACACAACAGGGAGAGCTCACCCCCCCACCCCGCACGCCCCGCCCGCACCGCACCGCGCACACACACACACACAGACACACACACACACACGTCAACAAGCACCACACTCACTAGTTATTATTTTAATTATTACTCCCCGTCGTTCCGTGTGAGAGGATAAAACTCTCAGATTACTCACTCACTCTTAAACATGCTCACTGAACTCACTCTTACACGCTCACTGAACTCACTCTTGCACACTCACTGAACTCACTCTTACACATTCACTGAACTCACTCTTAAACATGCACTGAACTCACTCTTACACTCACTGAACTCACTCTTAGACACCCACTCTTAAACACTCACTGAACTCACTCTTACACACTCACTGAACTCACTCTTACACACTCACTGAACTCACTCCTATACACTCACTGAACTCACTCTTACACACTCACTCACACACTCCCAAAACTTAGTTACACATTCGTTCTTAAAATCTCACTCATACTTTCATGCTTATTCACACACCCACTCACACTTACCACACCCATTAAACTGACGCACTCACTTACTCACACTTACGCTCACTCACACATACACTCAAACTTACACACTCAATGACTCACATATACACACTTAAACAATCACTCAACTGCACTCTCTGGTGCACACACACACTCCCCCTGGGTGTGCAAGCTGTTCTCACACTCACGGGTTGTTGACAGAATGCTTGTGATTTTTCCACCCGATTTTTGCAAAGTGCTCGGGCTTCGTTCCTGTGAGAGACAAAAACCGTGTGTGACGGACTCCGTTGCTCATCCACAGGCACCGCTCTGTGTACACACTGGGAATGTCACTGTGTACACACTGGGCATGTCACTGTGTATGTCACTGTGTACACATTGGGAATGTCACTGTGTATGTCACTGTGTACACATTGGGAATGTCACTGTGTAGGTCACTGTGTACACACTGGGAATGTCACTGTGTATGTCACTGTGTACACATTGGGAATGTCACTGTGTATGTCACTGTGTACACATTGGGAATGTCACTGTGTATGTCACTGTGTACACATTGGGAATGTCACTGTGTATGTCACTGTGTACACACTGGGAATGTCACTGTGTAGGTCACTGTGTACACACTGGGAATGTCACTGTGTATGTCACTGTGTACACACTGGGAATGTCACTGTGTACACACTGGGCATATCACTGTGTATGTCACTGTGTACACACTGGGAATGTCACTGTGTGCACACTGGGCATGTCACTGTGTATGTCACTGTGTACACACTGGGAATGTCACTGTGTACACACTGGGAATGTCACTGTGTACACACTGGGAATGTCACTGTGTATACACTGGGAATGTCACTGTGTACGCACTGGGAACGTCACAGTGTACACACTGGGAACATCACTGTGTAGGCACTGGGACCGTCACTGTGTACGCACTGGGAATGTCACTGTGTACACACTGGGAATATCACTGTGTACGCACTGGGAATGTCATTGTGTACGCACTGGGAATGTCACTGTGTACGCACTGGGACTGTCACTGCGTACGCACTGGGACCGTCACTGTGTACGCACTGGGACCGTCACTATGTACACACTGGGACCGTCACTGCGTACGCACTGGGACCGTCACCATGTACACACTGGGAATGTCACTGCGTACGCACTGGGAATGTCACTGTGTACGCACTGGAAATGTCACTGTGTACGCACTGGGACCGTCACTGTGTATGCACTGGGACCATCACTGTGTACACACTGGGACCGTCACTGAGTACACACTGACAGTGCTCGGTGTTGCCGGTGCTCGGTGTTGCTGGTGCTCAGTGTTGCCGGTGCTCAGTGTTGCCGGTTACCGTAACGTTCCATGTGCTCTTTCCCGGCGTTGCCGAACAGCTGTGGAGCGATGGGAGCCGCCGCGAGGCCACGCTCGCTGACCATCAACTCCAAGTGGTGGTCCATCGGGTTTGTCCTGTCTGTGAACTAGGGGCAAGAGAATCAATACCAGTCAGCGCTCAGCACAGACACTAACACACTGACACACACAGTGACACTCTCACACACACTCCTACACTCTCACACAAACTAACCCACCCAATGACACACTCACATACACTCTCACACACAGTGACACACTCACAGATTCATACACTCTCACACATACACTCACGCACACTGACACACACACACATGCTCACACACACAATCCTGAATGATGGTGGTGGGTGGAGGGGGGGGGGTTGGCACATGTTTCAGTTACCTTGGACATGAGAGACCCTTTTTCCATCTTCTCAAACCCCAGAGCGAGGACGCAGTCAGCAAGTCCTTCAAAAAGCAACGGGAGTGTGAGGTCAACAACAACAATAACTGAGATCAGTCACACACACACCACAGCCCGCTGTGCACAGCAATGTCCCACAGACAGGCGTAACGCCTTGTGGGGCAGTGGGTAGCACACTCTCTCTCTCTCTCTCTTGTCTCTTGAGGCAGATGGTTGTAGGCTCAAGCCCCACGTCAGGACTTGGAATCACACAGTCTAAGCTGACGCTCCAATTCAGCGCTGGGTTGTGTGTGTTGCATTGTCAGAGGCGCCATTATTCAGATGAGCCGTTAAACTGAGCTCCCGTCTGCCTGTTCAGGTGGATGTTAAAAGATCCGATGGCAATGTTCGAAAAGAGAAGGGAATTTCTCTCTCTCTCTCTCTCCCGGTGTCCTGGCCAACAATCTCCCCAATAAAATTGGTCACTCACTCCATGACTGTTTGTGGGACACTGCTGTGTGCAAAATGGATGGCGCGTTTCACTTACAAAATACAGTCGCTATACTTTACAGTACATTCTGTGAAGCGCTTTTAGACGTCTCAAAGATATGATAAGGTGCTGTATCAAATGCAAGAATTATTATTATTATTATAAAGCGAATAAGCTTTACTGGAGGGGTGGGAGGGGTGTTGTCAACCAGTGTGGGAGTGTGCTCCATCACAGACAAGGGGAAATTTTGGTATCGACATTGAACTTTCAGCTGATTTGGAGACTGTTAAACACGGTGATGGGTTTCAGTGTGCGGTGGGACGCACTTCTGACCGAGAGGAAAGCCTCTGACCTCCCTGGATGAGTTGCCGAGCCAGGAAGAGAGCGGTGGAGCCGGTGGAACAGTTGTTGTTGACGTTGATGATGGGGATGCCAGTCAGCCCCAGGCTGTGGTATATGGCTCTCTGCCCACACGAAGAATCACCTGGCGTGGGAGCGAGAGAGGATGCAGTCAGGGCCCAAATCTACCAGCTCTTGGTCAGAGACTGAGACAGAGAGAGTCACACACAGAGCGAGACAGAGAAAGAGAGAGAGACACAAACACACACACACAGACAGAGCAAAACATAGAGAGAGGAATAGAGAGACAAGAGAGAGAGAAGCAGGTGTGGGACGAGAGGAGCCCTTTGTGTTCTTGACGCCAATGTTGAGCGGCTGAGTGTTTCTATCGCGCTCTGAGTGGCTACCCCACATGGCGGGCGCCGTCTAAACACACGTTGTTGATGATGTTGCTGTTGATGACGTGAAGCCATCCGAGACACTGCCCGCGAGAGGAACGCTGTACAAGTTGTTGTTATTATTGTTGTTATTTTTGTTGATGTTGTTATTGATGTTATTGTTGATATTGTTGGTATTATTGATGTTATTATTGTTGTCGTGTGGTAACCTCACCATACACGTAGCCCACGTAGGCCTGCTCCACGGCAGAGTAGGAGACTCCGGCGTCAGCGAGTGCTCCCTGGGCTGCCGAGACAGGAAACAGCAGGTTTCAGCAACGAATCTCTCGTACATTTCACATCAAAACATCTCACAGCACCTTTGACAGTCAACTGCTCTCGTGTAGTAACTGCGCAGGTGGAAACAGCAGATAATTTGCTCAACTTCCCGCAAACAGCCGTGACGCGACCGAGCGATTATATCCGGGGGCGGGGGTGGAATTGTCGGCCAGGAGCCCGGGAGAGGGAGAGGGAGAGAGAAACTCCCTTAATAACGCCCTGGGATCTTTATTGTCCGCCTGTACAAAACACAGTTATAATCGTCACCTGCTTCTTTGGCCATGTCGGGGTAGTCAACATTCTCCCGAGCTCCAGGCTTCTCAAACTGAGGGGAGACATGAAGAGGGGACACGTTAATACCCTTTACTGGTCCATCCAATAACTCGCTCCGGCTGATACAGCGACCACAATGCCGGGATATATCTCCCCACAAAGAGCTTCAATGTTAGAGATAAATAATAACAACAATACTCCTTGCCTTTGATACAGCGCCCGATCACACCTCCGAGGCGTCTCAAAACGCTTCACGGGATAACCCCGTGAAGTGGAGTGACTGTGTATTTTGTGGGCAAAATGGAAAAAGAGAAGGGAGTTTTTCTCTCTCTCTCTCTCTCTCGCTCTCTCTCTCACTCCGGGTGCCTTGGCTGACAATTCCACCCCCCCCAGCCCACGCAACTCTCCAACCTTACCCCCCCACCTCCCCAACCCCCCCCCCCCCCCCCCGCGCGCAATAAAATCAATCACTGCTTGCGGGACATCGCTGTGCGCAAATTAGCAGCCGCGTTTACCCACGAAACACACAGTCACTACACTTGATCCTCAGTGAAGCCCTTCGCCCCTTCCCCATATACACTGATGGTTCATTACATTAGTTACAGTCAATGTATCCACTTGTTAAAGGGACTTGTTAAAGGTAGACCCCCCCTCCCCCCACACCCCAGGCTGAGATCAGGGGCACACCTCAGGGGGAAGACCCCCAGCTCTGTCCCCCTGGCTGACAGGGGCTCCAGTACCTTGGTCATGCCGACCCCCACCACATACACACGTCTCCCCATCGCTGCCATGTTTCACTCCTTCACCAGGAACAAAGTTCATGGAGAGCCACACAGCTCAGAGCCTTAAAGCTACACCGCCCCCTCTCCGCCCTCACACAGCAAACACCCCCACCTCAAAGTTATTTTTTTTCGGGGGGTGGGGGGGGGGCGGAATCTCTCTTTTCCCATCTCCCACAACGATAATTAAATTTTGGTCCTAGGACCGTAATTCCCAATGCCTCCTTTCCCTACCTGCGGCGCACAGTCACTACACTTTACAGTCACAGTCCCGCCAAGGGCTTCGAGGTGTCTCAGCGGGAATGAAAATGCGCTGCATCAAATGCAAGAATAATTAGCAATTATTAGTAGTTTATTTGTTGTGAATGTTTTATTTCCAGAAAGAAAATGATTTTTGGGTGAAACATGCTTTCAAATTGGTGTCTCTGTTTACATTTGTCCTCTTTCTCCCCCACCTCCACACAAATATTTGTTTTAAAATTATTTTACTGCTGTAATACTAGTAATACAGCACACTACTACTAATAATAATCCTTGCATTTGATATGGTGCCTTATCATGACTTCAAGACGTCTCAAAGAGCTTCACGGAATATACTGTAAAGTGTAGTGACTGTATATTTTGTGGACGAAACGTAGCAGCTAATTTGCACCCAGCAACGTCCCGCAAACAGCCGTGACGTGAACTTGACTTGATTTTATCTGGAGGATTGTCGGCCAGGATACCGGGAGAGAGGGAGAAACTCCCTTCTCTTTCCCGATTGGGTTGTGGGATCTTTAACGTCCTTTAACATCTGAACAGGGGACTGCGCTGGAGACTAAGTTAAGAAATGTTATGCTTTTGTTTAACATGTGAGGTTTTTTTCCAACCCTTAATTCCATTGCCATCAGGTGCTAGGTATTGGAACTGCAATTGTTTCCAAAATTTTGTTACAACAACTTGTATTTATATAGTGCCCTTCACGAAATAGTGTCTCGGAGCGCTTTAGTGTAACTGCGTTGGTTAAGTAATAATTCTTGCAGTGGTCAGTGCCCCTCTACGTCCTGCCGATGAGCCAGGCTGGGCTGGACCTTGTACATTTGTAAATGGAACAAATTAGATAGCTTTCCGTTAGGAAATAATATGTCGGGATGCAGTACACGACAACAACAAATTATATAGCGCCCTTCATGCTGGATGGCGTCTCGGAGCGCGTAGTGGCGGAGGCCGGAGCCGAGCCGAGCCAAGGGAGGGGGCGGTGGAGGTGTCCACCTCCTTGTTCCCCAGACCCTCCGCCTCACCATCGGCGGCCGTTACTTTCAGCCACTTCTTCACGAAGCTGTGGAACTCTCTCCCTCAATCCCTTCGCCTTTCCCCTTCTCAGTCAGAGATTTGGACCCGAGCTGGAGATTGGGATCAGGAGGGGTGGAGGGCAGGGAGGCTGGGGGTAGGAGGGTGGCCAAAGGCGCAATTCGTTGTTTCATTCAGGCAGGTCTTGGCGTCCTCAGCCTCGGGGTGTTTGGGCGACGGTACGAAGGCAGAATGTAGCAGTAAAAATATAGCAGTTTTGCTCCTGGGAATTCCAGAGTCAGGGGAATAGGCTTAGGATCAGGATGTGAGAGCAGAGCAGCAGCCACTGATGTCTGCCACTGAATTGGTTTGCGTCCAAAATACCAAATCTGGGCAAGGGGGGAAATAAATCACTAAAAGCTTCTTTATGTTTTTTTAATCTGAAAAAAAAACAACTGCTAGGATTGAAATGACAGTGTTGGGAAAGATTAGGCTCCGGGACTCAATTGTGATTGTGTGCATTTCCAGCAGTGAGATGCACCTAAATAGAATAGAATAGAATGAGTGAAAGTTACCTGTACCATATCAATTACAGGGATGATGATGATTATTATTATTATTATTATTATTATCATCAGCTCTGAGTGAGTGGCTGAGCTCTTGGTTTAAGTGCTGGGTTTGCCTGTCTCAAAGATGGCGCCCGGAGCTTCAAAAGGTCACGTCCTGGCACTGGGCATGCGCAGCCGCTGGCGCGGGGCCCTGGCGCGGGGGGTTGTGGGGAGAGGGAGTCCCGGGCCCCGGCGCCGTCATGGCGGAGAAGCAGAAACATGACGGTCGCGTCAAGATCGGCCACTACGTCCTGGGGGACACCCTGGGGGTCGGCACCTTCGGCAAAGTCAAGAGTTGAGTGTGGCGCCTCTCGCGGGGGTGGCGGGGCGGGGCGGGGGGGGGGAGCACAACTCACACAGTCACTACACCGTACAGTATTATAATAATAATAATAATCCTTGCGTTTGATATCGCGCCCCATCACGTCTTCCAGGCGTCCCAGAGCGCTTCACGGGAGACACCGCGCGGTGCGGTGACTGCGGGTGAAAGGCGCTCCATAAATGGAATCTTCTTCTTGTTGTTGTTGTTGTTGTTGTTGTGGTCGTCGTCGTCGTCGTCGGACCGCGAAGCGCTTGGAGAACGTCTGGAGGCCGTGACCCGCGGCGGCGCGCGACGGCGACGGCGACAACAGCAGCAAAGTTACACTCGTGCACAGCGCCTTTCACGCCGGGGGGACGGCCTCGGGGCGCTGGGCGGTTGGGTGGGGGTCGGCGTCGGGGGGTGGGGGGGAAAGCAGGGAGATCGGCAGCACAGTGGAAGAGGAGGGCCTTGAAGGAGGCAAGGATACTATTATTATTATTATTATTTATTTATAACCTGGTGTTTGACAGGCAAGAGTCACTTATAATAACGCCTTATAAGTGAAGCGCTTCGAGACGTCTCAAAGACGGGATAAGGCGCTGTATCAAATGCAAGGATTATTATATATATAGAGAGAGAGGGAGAGAGAGAGAGAGAGAGAGCGACGGGAAGGGGGTTTCTGACGGGTCGGTCTCCCTGGCTCCTGGGGTCAGGAGGTTGTGGGTTGAAGCCCTTCCGTCCGTCCGTAGCTTTGAGCTCACAATCCAGTCCTTCAGATCCGATGTTAAAATGAGTTCTCTCCTTCCCTTACAAGTGGACGTTCAAAGATCTCGCAGTGCTTTTTTTTCAAGGAAGAAGGGAGGGTCATTCACTCTTTTGACTGTTTGTGGGACATTGGTGCGGGTAACTTGGTTGCTGTGATCGCACGCAGGTGCCTCGTCACATTTGACAGCAATTGCGTGCAATGTGTTTTGCAGCGTTTTGACATTGTATACGTTGTGTGGAATTATCTCGGGAGTCTCTGTGATTAAGTGTTTGGGCAAACAGGGGAGACCTGTTAGTGTGAAGTGCTGTAGCAGGACACCAAGCGAGCACGTGGGAATGATTAAGGAGCTGGCTAAGAATTTAAACCCCGCTTTCTTTTTGTTATAGTTGGTGAGCACCAGCTGACGGGACACAAAGTCGCGGTCAAGATCCTGAACAGGCAGAAGATCCGCAATCTGGATGTCGTCGTCAAGATCAAACGGGAAATTCAGAACTTAAAGCTATTCCGCCATCCTCACATCATCAAATTGTGAGTGACTGATGCTGCTCTGTGACAGTCTGGCGGTTTGCTATTTCATGTCGGGACTTGACTAGTCTAAGCTGACGCTCCAGTGCTGGGGGCACATTGTATTGCTGTCTTCAGATGAGACTTTAAACCGAGATCCCGTCTGCCTGTTCAGATGGGCGTTAAAGATCCCACGGTGCTATTTGAAATGGGAAGGGAGTTTCTCCCAGAGACTTTTTTCAACACAGATAGCATTGTAGCAAATGCGAGTGCCATTCGTTGTTTGCTTTTGGTGCCTCAAACATTGCTCGCCCTTACACTTCCTTAGATGGTGTTGGTATTTGTTCGAGCATTAGTGTCAGTGTTGCATGAAACAAACAGTGGAGATCTCTGTTCAATAAATCCCAAATAAAAGTATCTAAAACCTTTTTTTAATCTCCACTTTCCATTAACTTAATTATTTGCATGAAATTGGACAGGGTCACACGGAGGAAGAGGATTAGAAAGTGTGGGGAGAGGAGAAGCAACAACAACAATAACTTGGATTTATATAGCGCCCTCCGGGCCGGACGGCGTCTCAGAGCGCTTCACAGTAACGGATCCCGGCACCGAGCCAGGGGGAGGGGGGGGAAGGTGACCAAAGGCGCGGTCGGAACGAAAGGCCTTCAGCAGAGACCTGAAAATAGGAAGAGAGGGGGCGAGGCGGAGGGAGTGAGGAAGGGATGAGGTTGTTCAGATTCTTGGACATGAAAAATGGAGCCGAATGGCCTCCTTACTGTATTGTACATGTCTGTGGTTCTACTGTAAATTTCTGCTACGCTGCATAGCTCTATGGTTATTAACTGCACTTTTGATCTCACCAGTCAGCTACAACCTAAGTGGAATGTTAATCCGTTTGGCTTTTCTCCTAAGGTTTAGGGAACACAGTTTAAAGTTGCACCGCTCATTTGAACGCGTTTGCGAGTGTACGGTTTAGAATCCCAAGACCGAGCTCTTGTTTTTAAGAGAACTTAGCTGTTCTGCTCTTTACTTTTTATTCTTTGTGTATGCTGGTTTATGAGGTTAACATAATAAACAGTCAATTCATTTTACAGTATATCCTGTGAAGCGCTTTGGGACGTCTCAAGGACGTGATAGGATGCTTTATCAAATTCAAGGGTTATTATTCTTTTATTAACTCCAGACGTGTATTGTCTGTGTATTCATGGCAGTCAGCACGATCTGTTTGCCACAGTTCCTCGCCTGTGTGATATAGAAGCACTGTCAGAGGGCTGGAGATTGCAGGCCGATACTATACCACATCAATCATGCCACCTACTGGAAGCAAGACATTATTTGGGAGGTATTAGCACATGCCCTTTTTCCCCCCTCCCAGTAATATAACCATAGAAGCCTACAGAACAGAAGGAGGCCATTCGGCCCATCGTACCTATGCGACTTTTGAAAGAGTTACCCAATCAGTCCCACTCCCTCCGTTCCTATCCCAGAGCCCTGCGCATTATTTTCTTATCAAGTAAATATCCAATTCTCTTTTGAAAGTTATTCTTGAATCTGCTTCCGCCAGAAGTGCATTCAGGCAGTGCATTCCAGATCGTAATAACTCGCTGCGTTAAAAACAAAATTTCTCCTCGTCTCCCCGCTGGTACCTTTGCCAGGATTTTTTTGGAAAATCAATGCTCAAAACCTAAGTGGCTCTGACCCTTCAATTGTTAATTATTTTATTTTTGTGTTGCTCACACCCTGACCTGTCAAGTCGTCCTGACGTTTCTGGTTACGCAGGAGGTGGCAGAGGTGGAATAATAATAATAATAATAAACCTTGCATTTGATATAGAACCTTATCATGCCGTTGAGACGTCTCAAACTGCTTTAGAAAAAGTGTAGAGGTACGACAATTATTTTTGGTCTTTACTTGGTGCGATGTGGGTTTGACCTGTTCAGTGAGGTGAGGTGACATTTAGCTGGCCGAGTTTATGGGTTAGCTCCAACCCTGCTGCAGGCAGCTGTCGAGGGTGGGCGGCCCTGCCAGTGAGAGAGAAAAGCAACCACGGTCAGCGTTAGAGTTACAGTCGTGCCTCTGTGCCCGCACGCTCTGTGCCACCCTCTCCTCCCTGGCTCACCTGTTGGCCACCGTCAGTCGCTTGACTGAGATTCCCTTCCTCCCTTTAGTTAACACGGTAACTGATCCTAGCCATTATTTGGCAGGCCTGGAGCTCAGTCTCTCAGAAGGAAGTTAATCACATCCGACCAACATTATTAATTCCTCCTGTAATTGATGTTTCAGAATAAGTTGTACGGGTGGTTGTGACTTCACGTTCCCGGCACACTCTCATTGTTAGTGAGGAACAAAAGCACACTCGCAATGGATTAGGGACATTCCTCTCTCTAGCTGCGCAAGAGACAGTCCTGGACAAGTGCCAACAAGCTAGCTTTATAATGGAGAGCTGAGGTAAATGGCCGAGCTTGACAAACATAGGAACAGGGGTAGGCCATTCAGCCCCTCGAGCGTGTTCCACCATTCCACAAGATCATGGCTGATCTGTTCCACAATTCCACTTACCCCTAACAGCCAGCAGTTATTTGGACATAAGCGTTCAGTAGATTCTGGCTCCGTGCCTGCAGTACTGCTATGTACAAGGTTATCTATTTACATTACTCAGGATCCCACACGTTCATTCTCGCTTGATGGTGAAGGAAAATTGATGCCTTGGGGTGAATGCTCCAATGCTTAATGTGAAGTATGGCGAAAGCAATCTGTGCGGTACCTCAGTGCAAACCTTTATTCCGTTCCCTGGGCAAAACCGTGACAAATCTTTATCCTTATTGACAACACAAAGTAGGAGCTTCAAGAAACTCTAGGATGTGAATGACAAGTGAAAGCCCATTATCGATCAGCTCCAAGTCTAGCCTGTGCAGGCTTCCTGCTGGACAGACTGACTGCCAGCTTCTGGAGGGATAGCGTAAGTAATTTGGAGGCTTCTCTTGAAATGGGTATGGAATAAGTGCCAGACTATTGGGAGCGAGTAATGCTGACTGTGTCAGTGATTAGAGTCCTGTTAGGTTCTTGTGTCAAGCTTTGAGAATAGGCTTTGAGAGTCCAGCGCTTTGGGATGTCCTCCCGACGTGCAAGGCTCTGTACAAATCTAACTTGTTGTTGCTGTGTACTGTCCATAGGGTGTGTGGTTGTGTAATGTTCCCTTGCCCAGATGTTAGCCAGGCTTGACTGCTGAGCGCTGTGCCTGTGCTAATTACTGGCTGTTGCTGTTTGCCAGGTACCAGGTGATCAGCACCCCAACCGACTTCTTCATGGTGATGGAGTACGTGTCCGGTGGTGAGCTCTTCGACTACATCTGCAAAAACGGCCGGGTAAGATACCCCACCCCAACCCACCTCACAGTGAGGGGTACTTGGTTTCTGGGGTTTCACATTTCCAATGCGTTGAGTTTTCTAACGGATCTCAGTCAATCAAAGATAGAGCCAATAGAAGTGCCCTGGGACTAAAGGAGGGGCTCATCTTCAGATCACGCCCGAAGACCTTCTTCTTACGGTCATTGCCCCCCCATCTCCCCCCAGCTTGCTGTCAAGCTTTGCCAATGTTAAGAGCCCCAAGATAGTCCCTGCACTGTAAATGCAAGTCGTTAACTATCTTTTATGGAGTGTATTACTTTCACTGATGCAGTAATGTGACCCACCTTCGCACTGCTTGTTTAGATGGACGTTAAAGATCCCATGGACTGTTCGAAAAGAGAGTTTCTCCCTTATCTGGCCAACAATTCCCCCCCCAAAAATTGGCTTTCATGGCTGTTTGTGGAACATTGCTGTGCGCACTATATGGAGTTTTTAAATCGCTTCATGCCCTGGCACTAAGAACTCTGGAACACACTCTGGAACACTCTTCCTCTATTCCTCCGCCTTGCCCCTTCCTTGCCCCTTCCTTCCTCCTTCCCTCTCTCCCAATCATCAGGTTATGCCTCAAGACCTTCCTATTCGACCTTCCTAGTCACCTCCCCCTCCAGCTCGTTGTTGTGCTCCACCACTGTCAACGCTCTGGGACGCTACCCTACATGAGGGAAGCTATATAAATGCAAGTTGTTGTTATTGTTCAATTGCTATACCTAATGCAATAATGTGACCCACCTCCTCACGTGCTATTCCTTACCCAGGTTCAGGAGACAGAAGCTTGTCGCCTCTTCCAGCAGATCATCTCAGGGGTAGATTATTGCCACAGACACATGGTGGTCCATCGCGACCTGAAGCCGGAGAACGTACTCCTAGATGCCCACATGAACGCCAAGATCGCTGATTTCGGTGAGTGAGAGCCAGTGCTCGTGGGGCGTATGTGTGTATGTGTGCGTCGGGAGCTGAATGGTTGCCAATGGTATCTGTGGGATCTCTCCTCAAGTTGCGCTGTGTTTTCTCTTTGGGTCTTCATTGTTTGTCAATTATATTTGGAGAGCTCTGAGATCTTGCCCCATTTGAAGGGCGCTATATAAATGCAAATTGTTGTTGTATATTTGTTTCAAATAAAGTTCAGATGAATAGCCCACAGGGCAACGATGTATACACTTGTGGCTTTATTACTAGTGTACAATTTGTGTCCTTATTGAATTGCTGCAAAGCCCTAACGTGGGGTGGCTGTGGCTGGGCAAGAGGTGGGAGGTAGTGATTTTAGATGGTTAAACTCCAGCATGTACTCTATAGCCATACCTCTGTAGGTTTGCACAGGGTAAATAGAGATAAGCTATTTCCACTCGTAGGGGAGTCAGTGACTGGAGCCAATAGTTATAAGATGGTCACAGGAGTGAAAGGAGAGCTGACATGAAATGGTTTCACTCAGAGTTTATGGGACGTGGGACGCCAGGCTAGAGGCAGAATCGGTCGTTTGTGGGTTTGAAGAAGGAAGTAGACAGATATAGGCACATCGGCCTTAGGAAAGGAAGAGGCTTGAAAGGCTATGGGGATAAGGCGGGACAGTAGGATTAAATAAACACCTTGCAAATTTTTGAAAACATTCTTAAATCATGTCTCAATTTGGACCCTTTGACATGTCTTTTGGGTATTTCCACCCCCAAAAATGGCTTTCAAATTGAGACAGAGACTAAGAGATTTCCCAAATTCTTAATAATAATTAATAATACTAATCCTTGCATTTGATATAGCGCCTTATCACATCGTTAAGACGTCTCAAAGTGCTTCACAGGATTTACTGTATATTGCAGTGGATTGACTGTATATTTTGTGGGAGAAACGCGGCAGCCAATTGCGCACAGCAGTGTTCAAATTTACGACCGCGTTCTTGAGGCTGAGAGGAGCGAGAATTGCGGGGTTGTGGTGGGCCAGGTGTCAATGTACATTCTGTTTTACAGGGCTCTCTAACATGATGGCTGACGGCGAGTTTCTGCGCACCAGCTGTGGCTCGCCAAACTACGCTGCACCCGAGGTTATCTCAGGCAGGTCAGCCTCACTCCTTTAACCTTCTCCCTGTGTCCTCACAGCGAGTACCACTTGCCTGCCCGCAGGTCTTTGTTTTATTGTAGCTTGGCTAGAGCAACCAGTGTAAAGCTTACACCTTGCAAAATTTTGGAAACCTTTGACATGTGTTTTGGGTTGGGTTGAAGGGGCGCGAGAAGCCAAAACGGCCGACTTCCAGACCGTCATCTTGCCGGTGATGTCGCTTCCTGCATGCCTCATGCTCGCAGGGTGCAGGAAGTGATGACCCTTGTGGGGGGGGGGCCGGGGGTTGTCCATTTTGAGTTCTCCCTCGCCAGCTGGCGGGTGCAGCCGATATCTCGATCACGTCCTTTGATTATTTTTCCGGGTGGGGGGAGGGGGCGTGGGTAAGTAAATATCAGGGTCCACACCCCAACCGCGTTACAATCAGGTACCTCCTCACAGGGTCCTAAAGTACTGTTTAACGCACGTCCCTGATGATTGCATCCAAATTGAAGTTATCCTGGCCCGGCGTCGTGCTCCGCCACTGCCCAGCACCCTGGGACGCTGCCCCGCGTGAGGGGCGCGGTGCAAATGCAAGTTGTTGTTGTCGTTGACTCCCGTTTTGCTCGCCAAGGCTGTACGCGGGGCCTGAGGTGGACATCTGGAGCTGCGGTGTGATCCTGTACGCCCTGCTGTGCGGGACACTGCCCTTTGACGACGAGCATGTGCCCACTCTGTTCAAGAAGATCCGCGGCGGCGTGTTTTACATCCCCGAGTATTTGAACCGCACGGTGGCCAACCTCCTGGTGCACATGCTGCAGGTGGACCCCCTCAAGAGGGCCACCATTAAGGAGATCAGGTACCGGGGGTGGGAGGGGCTTTTTAGCGTAATCGCATCCCTGACTATTCAGCGCCCCCCGATGTGAAAGGTGCTGCATAAATATAAGTTGTGTGGTTGGTTCGCTCCCAAGACGCTACCCCACGTGAAGGGCACCAAGTAAATGCAAGTGTTGAAATATACCGACTGTCACCTCAGGGTGACTTGGTATATTTCAAACAGCAACCGAATGTTCCAGGAGGTTCGATAGTTTAAATGGTTAAAATTAGCTTTGCTGGACGGGCTGAGGTTAGCTTCTAATTACATTTCATATTTTCCTGCAAAGATGTTCACTCCTCTGAGATAATGAGCAATCGGGCCCTTGAGCGTAGATGTAAGAACAATGGACCACAGAAAGGAAAGGCTGTAGCTCAGACACCTGCCTATCTCAAGGCTGTGGAAGGCTGCCCAGAGGTTGTCCATGTTCTGTGTAAAGCAGCCTGAGAAGATGGGGGCTATCACTGTTACAAGGGGAGGTGGAGTTAGAGACACATAAAAGAAAAATGTAACTTTGAAATAGTTGGAGTTGTGTAGAGGGTCAGCGCACTTCCCAGTGGAATCTATATGGATTCTATGGAAATTTACCTCCAATAAGAAAGTGACCATTAAAAGTGGAAGAAGAGTGGTGGGTAATATGTTTTTGGTTCTGTCTGCTGGGCAGAGAAGTAACAACAGTAGTAGTGGTTGGTCCGTTTGAAACAGAAGTCAGGTTTGACAGTACGTACGCGTGAGGTGCTGGGCTTAGAGCTGATTGTTTCTGTTGAGTTTACCGGAGCCAGTCTCTGTGATTGTTGTCGATGGAATATTGTTGAGTATGACTGATTGGGTCCAAGGGCTTATCGGACGCCAGTCCCTGTTTAGTGTCGGTATTACGAGAATCAGTTGTCTCTGAGGGGTATTTCCAAGACTGATCTCTCCAGTGTATGTCAAGGTGTGATCCCAGGTCTACTAATTGGTCTGGAGTACGAAACAGTGTCCGGATACGTGTTTGTTTTGTATATCTGTGTCATATTTTATTATTATTGTATTATTGTTGTATGTCATCATCTTAATTATAGATAGAGCTTCACTGTTTGTTTTATAATATAAACGCTATACTCTCACCACCGCCTGTCGAATTATTAACACAAGATGCTGTTGATGAGCGTGGAATCCGCCTGCTAGTCTATTATCCTCTCCTCAGGGAGCACGAGTGGTTTAAACAGGACCTGCCCACCTACCTGTTCCCCGAGGACACGGCCTACGACTCCACCGTGATCGACGACGAGGCGGTGAGGGAGGTGTGTGAGAAGTTCGAGTGCACGGAGTCGGAGGTGACCAACAGCCTGTACAGCGGCGACCCTCAGGACCAGCTCGGTGTGGCCTATCACCTGATCATCGACAACCGCAGGATCATGAACCAGGCCAGCGAGTTCTACCTGGCTTCCAGCCCGCCCACCGGCTCCTTCATGGACGACAGCAACCTGCACTTCAAACCCCACCCCGAGCGCATGCCCCCGCTCATGTCTGACAGCCCCAAAGCTCGCTGCCCGCTGGACGCCCTCAACACCACCAAACCCAAACCCATGGCCCTGAAGAAAGCCAAGTGGCACCTGGGCATCCGGAGCCAGAGCAAGCCCTGCGATATCATGGCCGAGGTGTACCGAGCCATGAGGCAGCTCGATTACGATTGGAAGGTAATAAAAATGAGACACAAGCAAAGGAGAGGTTTTAATAGTGAGAGTCACAGCGAACTCAAGACAGGACAGTGAGAGGACCTGGGTTCGATTCCCGGGGCAGGGCGAAACCTTCGGCAAAGTTTTGTTACTCCACACATCTCTATTTACCTAGCGGCAAGTTGTTTTCTGGGGGTAATAGTGCCTAACAATAATAATGAACAAAAATAATAATTTGGTCACTCAAATTGCCGCTACTGTTTGTGGGACACTGATGTGTGCAATTGGCTGCCGCGTTTCAGCCACAAAATACACAGTTGATTCTGAAATACTTTGAGACGTCTCAACACAATAAATCGGTAACAAACTGTTGTTTGCAAGGTGGTCAACCCCTACCATCTGCGCGTGCGCAGGAAGAATCCAGTGACGGGCAACTACGTGAAGATGAGTTTGCAGCTGTACCAGGTGGACAACCGCAGCTACCTGTTGGATTTCAAGAGCATCGATGGTAAGCTTCAATCCTTTCGCCTTTTTTTTCCCCCTATTCCGAAATGGTCATCATTCCTTTTTTGACGAGACTTTTTCTCTTTCCCCGCGCTCTGCTTTGTTTCCGAGAAGAAAGGAATAGGGAATTCCCTCCCTCCCTCCCCTCCGACGTATACCGACTGACTTCTCTAATAGGCGTAATGTGGTATCAATGGCAAGCTATGCATTTTAAGTGATTAGACGCCAACGCATACTCTGGGCTCCCCCCACCCCAAGCCTTGGCTCTCACCTAAGAAGTCCCTCTAAGGAGAGGGAGAGAGAGAGAGTGCGCATTCCATTCCAACAATCTATCTCTGGGTTTTCCATGTGTAGGTGAGATGCAAGGAATTCTCAGTTTGGTTTGGAGACTCTTAAGCAACGGTGATGAGTTTCCACTTGTGTGTCAGACCCCGACTGACGTCTCAAGTTTTTTTTTCTCTCTCTCTCTTTGCTTAACGATGCCCAGACGAGGTGATGGAGCAGAGGTCGGGCTCCTCTACCCCGCAGCGATCGGGGTCAGCTGCCCTGCTGTACAGACCACGGCTGAGTATCGACGCGGGGGCCAGCGAGAGCCTGCCCCTGTCCCTCCCGGCCTCGCTCAGCGGCTCCCTGACCGGCTGCCTGAGCCCCGCCATCAGCCCCCGCAACGGCAGCCACACCATGGACTTCTTCGAGATGTGCGCCAGCCTCATCACTACCCTGGCCCGCTGATGGGGGTCTGGGCAGGTGGGGGTGGGAGGGCCGCTGTCCGTATCACTGGTTTGCATCAGGCAGAGATCAGCTCCTCCACCAGACACTCCCCCACACCCCCCTCCATCCTCCTCCATCCCTTCCTACCTTCTCTCCATCCTCCTCCCCCCCCCACCCCCAACACAAAAAAACACAAGGTTTGCAATAGAACTGCCTTTTCCAGTTTGTAAGAGTGCCAGCACTCCCTGCTGCGTTGCCAGGCTTCGCCTGCATGGCGTGTTATATCTAGCGGATGATGCCACAGCGTTGCCGATGTTCTAGAATCTTCCGCAGGAAACCTGGCCCCTGCTTTCTGCGTACTCCAGCACTCGGCCAAAGTGACTGGGAAAGGGCAGAAAAAACACACTAAAAACTATACGTATATATATATATTAAGCCGAATTGTTTTAGAAACCCAAGAAAAAAGTGTGCAAGGTGCTAGATTTAGGGTAAGGAGGTAAGGCTTGTGGAAAAATGTTGCAGCTGAGGGCTGTTCATCTGCTAATAACAGCCTACTTCACACCCTGACTTACCACAGGGTTCAGGGGTATGTGTGTAAGGGGGTAATGGGGAGCTGGAGTGGTGCAGGAAGTTGGGAACCCAAGCCCACCTCTGCCTGGTGTTAAACGGACTGAGCTGGTTAGGTTTTTTGATGGGTGACGGCTGACTTTTTTTGTTTGAAATTTTTATGGTAATTACGTTATTCTACACGTGAACGGTTGTGGTAATCAGACATGTTTTCACTGTAAGTTTTATAAATGATTTAAGAATCTGAATCACTTCAGTAGGGACAGTAGGGCTGCCGAGTTTTGCCAACAAAACCCACAGTCACTCCACTTTATAGTAGATCCTGTGAAGCGCTTTGAGACGTCTTGACAACGTGATAAGGCCCAATATCAAATGCAAGGATGTCATTATTGTTATTATCTTCACATTGCACTGTGAGCAGTGAGTCCCAGCTTGCGTTTTTACTGAATGATGTGTTGCTTTGAATTTGAAGAATATTTACTGTGTTACCGGTACTGTTATAGCCATCGGGGTGTTAGAGCCAGTAATGCTGGGTGAGTCTGTCTGGGTGAGGAGAGGGAAAAAAAACTAGTATTATCAACCTATTTTAAACGGTCCCAAAATCGGGATGATTTTTAACGAGGAATTTGCAAAGAATGATTAGTATTATTATTTCCTAAAAGAAATCTTATCTAATTTGCATTGAAAAAACTCAACAGTTTCTGCTTCCATCGTTCTCCCTAGGGAGCCTGTTCCATACATTTGCTGCTTGCTCACTGAAGTTCATTCAGTCGCAGTGGTTCCACTGTTCAGTACAAGATTCACTTTACAGTATATTCTGTGAAGCGCTTTGAGATGTCTCGAAGACGAGATAAGGAGCTGTATCAAATGCGAGGGTTATAAAACATGGTTACATTATCTACATTATGTAATGAACGCATGAAAAAAATACTTGAAATATCAAATTTAACGCACCTTGCCTCAAAATCTACTGACGCGGCAGTAGCATCTCCAAACACTACTCTCTTCCTACCTGGTGACCTGCTCTGCCCTCTCACACACCTGCTTCACACTGACTTCTCTCCAGCTTTTTTTTTAATGAATCGAGCAAATACTTTTGACCCCTTGAATAATTTGGTCACTCAATCCGCGACTTGTTTGTGGGGCACTGCTGCTGCTGCATTTCGCCCACAAAGTATACAGTCACTACACTTTACAGTATATTCTGTGAAGCACTTTGAGACGTCTTGAAGAGAAGATAAGACGGTATATCAAATGCAAGGATTGTTATTATTACCTCAAGGAGAAACCTGTTGTGTAGTAGTTCTTGTTGGTGATGAAGGATGTTGAAATGTTGCTGTTTTTTCACACGGGTATTTTATGCCGAGAGTTTGTATGTCAAACGTGATGTCTGTCTCTCCCCCCAGGTTCAGGGAGAGAGAGAGAGAGAAGCGCTCTGAGACGCCACCCTGCGTGGGAGGGCGCTATATAAGTACAAGTTGTTGTTGAAGCGACAGGAGGAATAAGCTTTAGCAATATTTTAAGCTTAAATCAAGAGGAATCTTGAAGCAGATTGGGGTTTTCTTATCAGAAGATTGTGGGTTCAAGCTGACACTCCAATGTAGTGCTGGGGGGGCAGGTGCATGGTTGGAGGCGCAGTCCTTTGAATGAAACGTTAAACTGAGGTCCCGTCTATACCTGTTCTAGTGGACATCCCATGGAGCTATTCGAAAAGTGTCGTTTCAGCGCCTTGGGACGTCCTCCTGACGTGAAAGGCGCTCAATAAATGGATTGTTGTTGTTGTTGTTTTTCCTGGCGTCCTGGTCTGTGGGATGTCGCTGAGCTCAAAATTGGCTGCAAAATGCACAGTAGCATTCTGTGAAGCGCTTTGAGACGTGCTCCGAATGCTAAAGGTGCTACATCAGATTATTATTAAGGATTATTTTTATTATGATGAGAAAGGGGTGGATGGTGGGGGTGGGGGTATGAGGGCGCACAACTCCCCAGCCCCAATTTAAAAGGAGTGGAGCGTTGCAGCAGGAAAAAACCCACAGTTCAGTGCGATATATTTCCCCCCTGGTAACAGCTCCGAACTCCCCTCTGCCAAGGGGGGCTTTTATTTTCCCTGTGGCGAGCCAGTCAGACCCTCACGATCCCGGGCCAATGTGCCATCTGTGCAATAGAGCCAAACAATCATCAGCCTGGACAAGTTTGTCAAGAGAGGTGCTTGTTTGGAGAGAGAGAGAGGAGAGCATTGATTGATTTGAAACTGGTACTGAGCTAATGGCTTTCACTAGGATGCACAACTTTGGGGTGGTTTCGGCAGCTTTGGAGCTACTGCGTATCATGATCTGTGGACTGATTTTTATATATAAATACATATAATTATATACACTGTATAGTTCTGTCTGAGAGCCTGCTACAGTTGCCTTAAGATGTCAACTTATTTTTCAAGTGAAAGCTTTATTATCTTGTCTGTGAGGCATGTTTGTATGCAGGTAACACTGGCAAGACATAATCACTAGAGAGGTTTTGAAGATGTTTTGATGTGTGTGTGCGCGTGTAACCGTATTGGAAAAGCATTATTTCCCCCCCCCCCACACCCCTCCCTGTTCTCACCCCAAAAATATTTGCCTGTTCGTTTGTGCGTAAGAATTTTCTTCCTTCGCTCATCACGCGTGCCAGGAACACAACACTCCTCTGCGATAAACCCAGTGTCCCATGTCCGCAGGAGTATATTTAAACCAAGTCGCTTGCATTAGGATCTCTCCGCAGCAGTAAACTGTTCTGTTCTCTCGCATCCTGAGGTCAGTAAGTGTCTCAACTGACTCGCTCCTACGATTCAAACCCTCGCCTCAGGGACTTTGAGCACATACTAGGCTGACACTCCAAGCCAGTGCTGGAAATAGGGGTTGGATGAGGAGTGGGGGTGGGTGGGTGAGAGGTGGTCGGGGTGGGGACACAACACTGGAGGTGTTGACATTAAAGATGAGACATTAAACTGAGGTTCCGTCTACCTGAACAGGTGGCAATGAGATGATGGAATATATCTCCCGGATTCCTGGCTAACTTCTCCCCCCCCCGCCCCCCCCCCCCCTCCCACCTCTCCATCATGCACAGTCACGACACTTTTCAGTACTGTATGTCCTGGTGATTCGCTTTTGAGGCGATGTGAAAGGTGCTGTGTAAATTTGCAAGGTTTATGATTATTGTACGTCAATTAAAAATAGTGGTTGTGGTTTGAGGGTTTGAACGCTGGTTTGTGAGCGCTGGCTATGTTCAGATTCATGGCCAGACTGATGGACACGAGTCTTCCCCTTAACTTATCTTAATGCATTTATGTTAAAGCTGAGGGTAAAAAAAAGCTGGTCACTACACTTTATATGTGTTCCCTGAATTAGCACTGAGAGCTCTGGAACCCTCTCCCTCTATTCCCTCCGCTTTGCCCCTTCCTTCCCCCATCTTCAGCTCATGCCTTAAAAGACTTTCCTTCCTCTTTGACCGTGCCTCCGGCCACACACCTCCCCCTTGGCTCAGTGTCATGCTCCACCACTGCCGAGCGCTCTGGGGCGCTATCCTGCGTGGGGGGGGGGGGGGGGAGGCGCTGTACAAATGCAAGTTGTTGTCGAGAAAGGAGCCCATCACTGGCGGTGAGGTGGGAAATGGAGATGTGTCCCTGGTTGCAGTTTCAAGGCAACAACATCCATTTGAGTTTACGTAGCGCCCTTCACACGAGGGGGTGGTGTCTCGGAGTGCTTAAAAGCAAGTAGTGAAGCAAGGTGCAGTGGGAGCTTCAGCCCACCCTCCCCCTCCGCCCGCACTGAGCCAGCACAGCTAAATCCACAGCGAAGAGAGAGAGAGAGCATTTTGGACATGAAGAGGTTTTACTAATTTTCGAGCGGTTTGAAAAACGCAGGACACTATTTTCAATGATATTGGCCGGACAATCGGGAGGTTCTGTCTGTTGTTTCGCTCCTCTCTCCCCCCCCACCTCTCCCCGGCTGAACTTACAGTGTGTTTTTGTTTGTGAAATGTGATGCACTGCATGATGTAGATCGATATCATGGTTGTCATTTGCACTTTAATATTTATTGACAATAATAAACTACACTGTTGAGCAGCGAGCGACTCCATTGCCTTTACTTTCCTCTCAAAAGGGTAGAATTCCCGATAGCTGCTGAGTCTCACATCACTACCGGTAAACGGCTCACACGTGTCTCAGAGAGGAGCAGGATTTATTGAAAGCCTTGGCTCTCGCCAACCTGCGCCTAATACTTTCTGGAATTAGGTAAGCAGGATGTGTCCCTCCAGGGAGAGAGAGAGAGAGAGAGAGAACGCATTCCAACAATCTATCTCTGGGATTTCCATGTGTCGGTGGGATGGATGGAAATCTCAGCTTGGTTTGGACATTCCTAAGCACGGTGATGGGTTTCTGTATGTGTCAAGACACCCAACTGACCAAAATAACGCTGGAGTCGGAGCCCTCTCCCCTCCCCCCCAAAGAGAATTACATGAAACACTCATTAAGATTACAGCAAGATTTATTAGTCATTGCAAACAAGGCAAGTGGGGGGAGCTCCTTTGATCATTTACCCCCCCTCTCCCCATATGTTGTGGGTGATTCACCGGAGGTGGGGGAGAGGGGGAACTTGTACTGAGTGGAGCCACCACATGACAGACTCACACACATACACACTCTGCAATATTTGTGAAGTGCAATATTTGTACAGTAAATCGCAGTTATAAATTACACACAAAAATCATTCACAACTTTTCTATTACAGTGGGTAGGGGGGATGGTGGGAAGAGGTAAAACGCCAATTAATACCCAGTGGTTGCTCCTTGTTCCTTTCGTCATTTCCAAAGTGAAGAATCTCCATTAGTTAATTTTCTAATGCAAAGGGAAAAAGAGAATATTAAAGAGAGTACTCCACACGCTTCTGTTTACCTCGCATTAAGTAGGAACCTGGTTGTTAGTCATATCGCTTTCCGGGGGTAATAATACATCAAAAAAATTTATTTGGACACTCAGTCCACGACTGTTTGTGGGACGCTGCTGTGCGCAATTGGCTGCTGAGTTTCATCCACAAAATATACATTCGATCCACTTTTCAGCAATACTCTGTGAATCGCTTTGAGACGTCTCAACGACTTGATAAAGCATTTATATCAAATGCATGGATTATTATTAAGTTAAAAATGTAATTTGCAGCAGAAGTAAATCCGTGAATAAATAAGGCTTTCCAACCCGAGAGAGGGTACAGCTGAGGGTGTGGTATAACTGAAGCTTTCTCCACCGAGATGGCTGAGAGGGGATGTGACATAAAGGCCTTTAAGATTCTGAAGGGGCACAACAGTAAGGTGGGGGGAATAGGAGACGAGGGAGTGTAGTCTCAGGATTGCTAGCTGACATTTTAGGGAGCTCAGAGAACATAGTTTAGGGTTTGGAATTCATTCAGAGGTGCTATTGAGCCCAGATCAATCAAACCAGTGCCAACCCGGCTCAGTTGATGGTGCTCTCATCTCGTAAGATAATTAGCAAAAGACCCAGAGGAGCGAGGAGGAGAATTTTTCTTTCACGCAATGAGTTGTTATGGTCTGGAACGCACTGCCTTGAAAAGCTGGTGGAAGCAGGTTCGGTAACAACTTTCAAAAGGGAATTGGATATTTACTTGAAAACAGCTGTAGAGATGTGGGGTAAGAGCGGGGGGAGTGGGACTAGCTGGGGTAAGAGCAGGGGGAGTGGGACTAGTTGGGGTAAGAGCAGGGGGAGTGGGACTAGTTGGGGTAAGAGCGGGGGAGTGGGGCTAGTTGGGGTAAGAGCGGGGGAGTGGGGCTAGTTGGGGTAAGAGCGGGGGAGTGAGGCTAGTTGGGGTAAGAGAGGGGGGAGTGGGACTAGTCGGTAGCTCTTTCAAAGAGCCGGCACAGGCACAATGGGCCGAATGGCCTCCTTCGGTGCTATAAGATTCTATGAGTCAGAAGGTTGTGGGCTCAAACCTCCGAGTCAGGAATTGGGGTTGGATTGTCTTAGGTGTTGTCCTGCAGATCAGACATTAAACTGAGGTTCCCTGACACTATTCGAAAAAGAGAAGGGGTTTTCTCTTTCCCAGTGTCCTGGCCAACAATCCCCCGGATAAAAAGTCAGTCAGTTAGTCACTATCATGACTGTTTGTGGGTCAAATTGCTGGGTGGCAAATTGCCCACAAGTAGTCACTGACACGTCACAGTAAAAATAATCCTGTGACGTGCTTTGAGAAGTCTCAACAGCTTGATGAAGTGTTGCATCAAAGATACAAACACACAGACCCACACTTCACAGACACAGAAGGTACTCACAGAGAATTGTAAATGCTGAATTTCCACATAACCATCTGAATACACAGAAAGAAACACAGGGTAAATAACAGCAACAACAACAAAACAATGTCATGTTCAGAGGACATCCCTGACCGCGAGACGGTCAGGGATTTGGACCCGAGCTGGGGATTGGGATCAGGAGGGGTGGAGGGTCGGGAGGGTGGGGTGTAGGAGGTTGACTCAAGGCGTGGTCGAAGAGGAGGGTCTTGAGGTAGGCCTTGAAGGAGGCGAGGGAGGGGGCGAGACAAAGTTCCAAAGGATGGGGGCAGAGAAGCAGATGGCTAGCTGGGAAGTGGGGGGAACATCTGCTGAAATATTGCTGATGTTTTTCTTCTTTTTCCCAGCATGAAAACATCCAAAACTGGAACGGCGGAGCCGGGGAGGCGCAGAGAAGCCATTCACACATCGGTTGTGTCCTGGCATGCGAGCGGTTTATATTTACACAGCGTCTTTCACTCACGTCGGGAGGACGTCTCAAAGCACTTCACACTGTGCGTCCTGGAGTGGAAGAGGGGTTTGTAGGGGTCGGGGATGGAAGGGGACCAGGGCGGGGCATGGTAACAACAACAACAACTGACAATTACACAACACCTTTCACGTTGAGAGGACGTCCCAAGGCGCTGGACAGTGAAGGGTTTGCAACCGAGCTGGGGGATGGCGATGAGAGGGGTGGAGGGTGGGGGTAGGAGGGTGACCGAAGGGGAAGATCTTGAGACGGGTCTTGAAGGAGGCAAGGGAGGGGGCGAATTGGAGGGGCAGAGTTTCAGAGGGGGGAGGGGAGTGGGGTTGTGGGGGAGTGGGGTCAATGGCTGAAATTGTCATCTCAAACAACTCACATTTCCCCTCGACGTCGCGACAGATGATGTCTCCCTTATCCCCTGAGACATCGATCACGTCCAGCTTGTCTCCGGTCTTTACACACAGGTAATCAGAGCCTTTCTTGGGTGTAAAGTCGTTGACGACTACGGCTGTGTTCTCTACCGAGATGGGTTTTGTGTACTGCAGCGAAAGGTGAGAGATAAACCGACTTTACCCAGCATCAGAGGTGGTTCCCAATGCACTTCACCATCACCCGAAATTGAGGGAGGGGTGTGGGGGTGTGGGGGGCTGGGGGGGGTGTGGGGAGGCAAGGGAGACAAGGGGGGGAGGGGGCTGAAAGCATGGGCAAAGATGTCAATCTTAAAACAGGTGAGGTGAGGGAACCAGAGAGTCGGAGGGTGTCTTGGTTAGAGTTCCAACTTGGTCCGTATTCCCTCAGAAGGTTGAGGTGATCTGATTGAGGTGTTAATGAAGGGTAGCTACAGAGAAACTATTTCCTCCGGTGGGGGAATCCAGAACGAGGGGGCATCATCTTAAACTTAGAGCCAGGTCATTTAGGAGTGAAATCAGGAGGCAGTTTTTCACCCACAGGGTAGTGGAAATCTGGAACTCTCTCCCCAAAAAGGCTGTGGATTATGGCTGGATCCATTCACGTTTTCAAGACTGAGGTTGGGGATAGATTGGTTTTAGGTCAGGGTATCAAGGGATACGGGGCAAAGGCGGGTAATTTGAGTTGACATACATGATCTTATTGAATGGCGGAACAGGCTTGAGGGGCTCAATGGCCTACTCCTGTTCTCTGTGGGTGTTGGTGGCAGGAGGTCTGGGTATACCCAGCGATGTCTGGTACATGATTGTATCACAATGATGTTGAGACTCACCTTGAATCTCTTCCGAAACTTTTCCTCGTTCAGCGCTTTCTTTCTCTCCTCTTTGTTCTCCTTTTCCTTCTTCCCTTTCCCCTTTGTTCTATCATTTTTGCTAAAGAAGAAGAACAAAAGACTCATTAAATCCAAGTGCTCCCATGGAGTCGCAAAATATAACATAAGTTTACACAGCGCCTTTTGTGTCGTGAGCATTTGACTTATGAAAATATTATTAATAATAATAAAATTAAATTAACGTTGTATTATTATGGGGTCAGCAGGTGTCCTATGTGTGTGACTCACCCAGTGAGGTTCTCTGATGTGTTATCCACATTGCAGTTGTCTGCTGGATTAAGCAGAGAGAATAATATTAATAATAATCTTAATAGCATTAATAATATGAATAATCTTAACAATGGTAATAATATTAATTAATAACAGCTATATTGTATTTGATATAGCACCTAATCACGTCGTTGAGACACCTCAAAGCGCTTCACAGGATACACTTGTAAAGTTAATTGACGGTATATTTGTGGGCGAAACACGGCAGCCATTTGTGCCCAACAGCGTCCCACAAACATGGAATCCTTCAGCGCAGAAGCCTGTGCCGGCTCTTTGAAAGAGCTGCCAACTAATCCCACGCCCCCACTCCTACCCCACAGCCCTGCAAATTTTTCCTCTTTAAGTACCCATCAGGTTCCCTCAATCCGCAGCGCCAACATTCGTGGATTGAGTGGCCAAATTATTATTATTACTATTTACTTAGAAGTGATTATTACGCCTGGAAAGCGACAACAGAACAGAAAATGCTATAACTCACCTTCAGTGCTCTCATCGTGCCTGGAAGGGGAGCGGGCAGGGGGGGAAGGAGGAGGAGGAGGAAAGAAAAATAATCAATACTTTTTGGTCAATATTTACAAATTTTTAAGCGTGAGAGAGACCGAGAGAGAGAGAGAAAGGCCGAAAGCGAGAGTGAGCGAATGAGAGAGAGAGAGAGAGAGAGAGCAAACGAGAGAGAGAGAGCAGGGTGTAGGGAGAGGAGAGGAGGACAGAGAGAGAAGCCGAGCTCTCAATGTAAATAAATAATAAAAATAAATACCTGACATCCGACTGTGATTTGGAGTTTCGCATTTTGGCCATTTTTCTTCCCTTTTTGAAGAGTTTCGTGAACACCTTCACACCTTTGAAGACGGCTCTAGATCAGAACGAGGAAGGGGGCCGGTTAGTGAGGGAGTAACGGAGAGTAGGGGAGCTCACCTCTAGCATTTACCCTCCCACCCCCTGACCCCAAACCTCAGCTCCCACCAACCCGCACTGACACTCCCTGGGATTAAGCGCATCCCTTTGTGGGTAGAGAGGGAGTGTAATGACTGTGTATTTTGTGGATGAAACGTGGCAGCACAATTGCCCACTGCAACGTCCCACAAACAGCCATGGAGTGAGCAACCAATTTTATCCTGGTGGATTGTTGGCCAGGACACCGGGAGAGAGAAACTCCCTTCTCTTTTCGAATAGCTCCACAGGATCTTTAACATCCACCTGAACAGGTAGACAGGACCTCGATTTAACATCTCATCCGGAGGACGGCACCTGGGACAATTCAACACCACCCCGGCATTGGAGTGTCACCTTAGACGGCTGACACGAGTGAACAAGAGCCCATTCAGCCCATCAAGCCTGTTCCACCAGTTGTTGGACCTGGTCAGGTCTTTTGATCCTGTGTGTTTTATATCCCTTCATATATTTTATCTAGAACCAGAGGACACAGTCTACAATTGAAGTGGGGGGGGGGGGGTTAAACTCAGAACAAATCTGTGGAAACATTATTTCTGTGAGCCCGACGGAGACAGACGGTGGAAGCAGAAACTGTGGATTGTTTCAAGAAATATTTAGATAGATTTCTGATAGAAAATAATATCTCTCGATATAGTGTATAGTTTAGGACAAGACATGCCAAGCGACAGCCGGGATGGTGGCAGGTAAACCAGATGGTATTCTTTCACCAGCAAATTCTCATGCTCTTACACCTCAGTGTCCACCTCTCGTTCAAATAACAGTTTCTCTGGAGTTTTATCTCTCATCCCGTACTGTAGAACCACACATTCCACGATTAGAGGCCAATCCTCTCACTCTGGAGCCAAGCAGCCTGTTGAGTTCCAGCTCATCGGAGGTTTTGGGAAATAGATGTATGAAAACAGATGTAAAACGAAAAGGACTCACTCCGCATCCACTCCGCCCAGGTCCTCCCCGAACGGTAACTCTCCTTCTGAAAGAACAACGCAGACAGCAAAGCCACGAGGTTTTAGCCGGTTAGAATCTAGCAGTTACCCCCCAGCGCACACACTGGGCTCCCCACCCCCCACCCCAGCCCCCACCCCACTTGCCGACCTGCATTTCCATTCCAACAATCTGGGATTTCCACGTGTAGGTGGGATGCCTGGAATTCGCAAGTGAGAGGATTCGGGTTCGATTCCCGAGCAGGTCGAAACGCTAGTCAAGTTTCCTTACCCCACACGCCTCTGTTTACCTAGCGGTAAGTAGGAACCCGGGGTAATAATACCCCTGAATGTTTTTTTTAAATAATAGTAATAAAAAATAATACTTTGGTCACTGAATCCACGACTGATTGTGGGACGCCGCTGTGCGCAATTGGCTGCCGTGTTTCGGCCACAAAATATATAGTCACTACACTTTACAGTATATTCTGTGAACCGCTTTGAGACATCTCAAAGACCTGATAATGTGCTACATCAAATGCAAGGATTATTATTATTATAAGAATGCTGATGGGTTTCCGCACGTGTCAGACACCCAGCTGAACAAAGTGAGGAGGGCGGTCAGTGGGGGTGGAATTCTCATCCATTAATCGGTTTATCTCGGGACATCTCAATCTCTCAGCACCTTACCTTCCCCCTCTTCTCCCTCCTCTTCCTCCTCTTCTTCCTCCTCCTCTTCCTCCTCCTCCTCTCCTTCCCCCTCTCCCCCCTCCTCTGATGCAAACCCGCTTTGGTTTCAGGAGCAAAGGAGAGAAAAAAAATGACAAAGTCTAATGAACGGAGACGTTGTTGTCGACGTTTGTGTTCGGCTAATTATTTTTCTGAATTCCAACTGCCCATTGTCCATCCATCAGCTGTCGGCGGTGAGATGTCAACCACCATTGGCGGTCGGGCATTTAGCATCTCTACCCCCTCTCTGTAGGACTCTATCCCGCAATCCCTGTGCCTCACCCTCTCTCTTGGCCCCTTCAAGTCCCATCGAAAATCCTTCCTCTCCAAACGTGCCTTTGGCCGCCCCCCCACCACCACCCCCCCACCCTCCACCCCTCCTGATCCCAACTCCCAAATCGGGTCCAAAAAAACCCTGACTGTCTCGCGCCTGGGATGTCTCTCTGACGTGAAGGGCGCGAGACAAGTGTAATTTGTTGTTGTTGAGTCACTCATCTGTAGAGGGTGACATATGCCTCGCCTGACCTCTACCCACACCCACCCACACTCGTCCAATGTGCACCCACTCACACCCCCCCACCCCCACACACAGTAGAGGGCGGTGTAGAGGGTCTGGGAGCAGTGACCCTGGCTGATTTTCACCTCCCTCCCCGGTGCCACCCCACACCCCACCCTTAATCGAGGGGAGCTGAGACCTTTTTGCTGCCCTCCCCCCCCCCCCCCCCCCCCCCACACGGCTGAGATCAGCTAACTCGACACAGCTCGGCATTCGAACCCGCTGCCAGCCAGTCCCTCAGTTGGTCGGATTAAAGACAGACAAACGAGCCTTAATTACCTGAGACGTCCGGCCACCTTGCCCGCAACACCAGCAGCACTTTCTGAAGAAAGAAAAGAGAAAGACAGTGAGGGTGAGAGAGAGAGAGAGAGTGTGTGAGAAAGAGAGAGTGCGTGAAAGAAAGCAAGAGAGAAAGAGAGAGAACAAGCAGAGAGAGCAAAAGAACGACAAACAGAATTCTTTTTTTCTCTCTCTCCCTCTCTCATGTTAGGCGTCGAGAGCACCGTGTTTCCCATTGAAATAAAAATCCTTTACAAAAGCAAATACATCTCAGCATCGAAATCTTGCAGGAGAGAGAAAAAAATATGCTTCTTACCCAGATTTGACAGTGTAAACCTGCACGGGAAATAATAAATAATACGATTTAATGTAAGATGGACTGAATTGGATTGAAAAGGTCTATTTTCAATTTATTATTAATAATTATCACCATGACAGTAGGTGGAACTGAGGGCCTGTTGGTGCCCTGTTCAGGTGGACGTTAAAGATCCCACAGCGCTATTCGAAAAGAGGAGGGAGTCTTTCTCTCTCTCTCTCCCGGTTTCCTGGCTGACAATCCCCCGAATATTTGATCCATTGACTTTCACACAGGGAGGACATCTCAAAGCGCTTCATGGGATTTTACTGTAGAGTGTAGTGACTGTGCGTTCTGCAGGCGAATGCGACAGCCAATTTGTGCGCAGTGAAGTCCCGCGAACAGCCAGCGACCGATCTTACTGTGTCTGACTCCCCGACAAGGAACCCCCGCCCCCCCACCCCATCCCATTCCCCCCTCAGCCTGGAACGTGAGCTCAAATTTCCGACATGGGTCTTGACCCCACAATCTTCTGGCCCGAGGCCGGAGCGGGAGTGATGTCACGCAGGGCAGAGTCTCGAAGCGCTTAGCAATGGCGGAGCCTGACGCCGAGCCGGGGAGAGAGAGGGAGAGAGAGAGAGAGAGCAGCTGAGCGGAGGCACGGTCAAAGAGGAAGGTCAATAAAAAGCAGCTTCTCCTACCCCTTTTTCTTCTTCTTCACCTCCTTTTCCTGTGATTTCTTCTTACTGCAATTAGAGAGGTAAAATACACCACTATTAATAATAATAATAATCCTTGCCTTTGATATGGCGCCTTATCACGTCTTCAAGACGTCTCAAAGCGCTTCACAGGATATACCTTAAAGTGGAGTGACTATACTTTGTGCGCAAAACAGCAGTGTTCCACAAACAGTCGTGGATTGAAGTGACCAGTTTATTATTATTTTTTTTAAGGAATAATTACCCCCAGACTAACAGCCAAAGCAGCCGGTGGAATAGAGTTGATGGAGATAAGGGGATGGGGTTGTTGGCAGGGTCCTAATTTGGGGGATCGTGGGCCAGGACCCAAGTCAACTGGAGAGCGCAGCTCAGGACAGGGCATTAACTAGCTGGTCAGCAGAGGTCAAGCGAAAGCTCGGTCACTAACCCACTCTTCCCCAACTCGGTCTGACCGTCCACCATCTCGTACAGATCATCGCTCTCTGAAGGGGAAAAAGAATAGGTTTAGTGTAATAATAATCCTTGTATTTGACACAGTGCCTTATCACGTCTTCGAGTCGTCTTAAAGCGCTTCACAGGATATAGTGTAAAGTGGAGTGACTGTGTATTTTGTGGGTGAAACGCGGCAGCCGAATGCGCACAGCAGCGTCCCACAAACAGCCATGGATTGAGTGACCACATTTTTTTTTGAACTAACAACCGGGTTCCTACTTACTGTTGGGTAAACAGGAGGCGTGTGGAGTAAGGAAACTTGCCTAAGGTTTCGCTCTGCCCGGGAACCGAACCCAGGTCCTCCCGCTTGCGAGGTGAGCGCGCTAAGGGGAGGGGAAAGGGAGAAAGGGAAAGGAGGGAAGGGGATGGTGAAGGCGGGGAGGGGGAAAGGGAAATGGAGCTTTCTGCTCTTTAAAACGTAGTCTCTCTCTCTCAATCGCAATCTGGCCGGTACTCACCGGGAGAGGTGGAGGTTCCTGGAGCGGGGCTGTGGAGGTGTCAAATAGAGGAGTGAGTCAGGGTCAGAGATAAACACTTTATTATATGGTCTAACGACCCGTAACCGGAGAGCGCGAAAGAGAGCGAACACGAAAGCCTGAGAGAGACAGAGCGCGCGAGAGAGAGAGAGAGAGAGAGAGATTGCGTGGGAGAGAGAGAGAATAAGCAGGGTGTGTGATGGGGAGAGGGGGGAAGAGACAGAGAGGGTGCGCGACACCCCCCCCCCCCCACCCCCACACACAGTCTCACCGTAAGTAAATAATAACAATCAATACCTGAGATCCGGCTGTGATTTGGCCTTTTTCATTTTGGCCACTTTTCTCCCCTTTTTGAAGAGTTTCGCGAACACCTTCGCGCCTTTGAAGACGGTCCTAGATCAGAACGAGGGAGGGTGTGATGTTTACCAAATCCGGGGGGCTGGTTAGTGACGGGGGGGGGGGGGTAACGGAGGGTAGGAGGGCAGCGTTCTGAGTTAGGAGGTGATTAATACGACTTTTGCAAAGACATCTAAGTGACAGGTACTCGGGTGCAATTCTACGACTGGTAAAGATAAGACTCTTTTACTGTGTTAAAGTCAAGGCCATTCAGACCCTCGAGCCTGTTCCACCATTCTATCAGATCGTGATTAATCTGTACCTCAACCCCAATTGCCCTCCTTTGCCCCGTAACCCTTGATACCCTAACTTGACAAACATCTACCCACCTCAGTCTTGAAAATTTCAATGGAATCACACAATCCGTTGAGTTGGGGCCCAGAGGAAGGCCTTTGGTTAGGGGTTTGGGAAATAAAGGCGTATTTTGGAAGCGGGTTTGTTGAGCGTGAGGAAGGGTTAAGTTCATCGAATGAAATCAGACGTAAAACCAAAAGGACTCACTCCACATCCACTGCGCCCAGGACATCCCCGATCGGACACTCTCCTTCTGAAAGAACAACGCAGACAGCGATATCGATGGCAAAGCCAAGAGGTTTTAGCCGGTTGGACTCCAGCAGATACCCCCAACGCACGCTCTTGGCTCCCCCCACCCCCAAGCCTTGGCTCTTGCCAACCTGTACCTTATACTCCCCAGAATTAGGTAAACAGGATGTGTCCCTCCAGGGAGAGAGAGAGAAAGAGAGAGAGTGAGCAGGTCCGAAAGCGCAGTGAGATGTGCATGTGGGGGGAAAACGACGCACTCTCCAGGCGAGGGCAGAGGTGGGAGGAGAGGGGGGGAAGGATGAGGGGCGAGTGCGGCCATTAAATGGTTTATCTCGGGGCGTCTCAGTCTCTCAGGGCCTTACCTTCCCCCTCTGTTGCAAATGCACTTTGATTTCAGGATCATCCGTCACCGGGAAAAAAGGAGAGAAAGAAAGGTTACCATCGAGGATGTTGTGGTTGACACACAGCCCCCCCCAACCCCACGCATGTTCCTCCCCCTGTCCCACTTCTACAACCATTCACACGGCCTCTGGGTCTCAGACACATCTTTACTTTCTATAATCTCTCACCCTTGCCTTTTGTCCTGCACCACCAACTCCTCTCTGATCTCCTCATCTCCTGTCCTCCGCCTCATTTTTTCCTGCGCTTTTCTTTCCCCGCCCCCCCCCCCCTTCTCTGATCGTCCTTATAAACTGCTCCCTTCCAACATACATTACATTAGAATCCATTAGAATATACGGCACAGAAGCCGGCCATTCAGTCCAACTGGTCTATGGCGGTGTTTATGCTCCACATGAGACTCCTCCGGCCCTTCCTTAACTGAGCCTTCAAGCATAACCTTCTATTCCTTTCTCCCTCATGTTCCTATCTCGCTTTCCCTTAAATAAATCCATGATATTTGCCTCAACAACTCCTTGTGGGAGCATGTTCCACATTCCCACTGCTCTCTGTGTGAAGAAATTTCTTCTAACTACCCTATTTGATCTGTTGGTGACTATTTTATATCGTTGGCCCCAGCTCTGACGAAAGGTCATCGACCTGAAACGTTAACTCACTTTCCTCTCTCCATAGATGCTGCCTGACCTGCTGCGTCTTCCCAGCCACTTGTGTTTTGATGTCACACGTCAGCTCGACAGTGAGCGTTGCTTACCCGTAAAGAGCGCCATCAACACACACACACACACACACACAGACACACAGGCGTGTACGTACACACGCGCGCGCGCACACA